TTGACTGACAGGAGTTGACTATAAGAAAAACACATTGTGTTTGCATTTTTATTTAAATATTTTGCTATTATTTTGTGGCCTAAAATTCTTTGTGGTGAACTGGATTCTTTCAAGAACAAAACATTCTTTGCCGCCATCATATTATTGTTATTATTATATTATTATCCATTTTGGCTTTTGGAGCTTTGTAGGGTTTGGAAACTGCGAAATTTCTCATCGTATTTGGCTATGAGTTGGAAATTTCGGATATATACACATAGGAACGAAAAGTACAATGGCGATTGAAAATGATGAATATATATCTACCAATTTTCTTGCAACCTTTTATGAACTTTCTAAACTTTGTTTGCTTGCCTCAAGTGTTAAATATTGTGTGTGGCAGTTGAATTTGACTCGGTGTAAATGATCCAGATGTTCAGAGGTGAGCGTCACGTAGAAGTTATGGTGGAAGTTATTGTTTTTGACATCAAGATGCTTGCTAGTAAGCTACAACATGTCGTTTTTGACGTCAAGATGCTTGCTAGTAAGCTACAACATGTCGTTTTTATAGCTACTTCCCCGTCAATGTAATAAGGCAACGTATGAGGTTTCAACTTTTTTTTCTAGAGTATGAGGTAACCATGTTTGGGATCAAGTGTGGCCTGAGTTGATTTTTGATATTTTGGCTAGATGTAAACCTTTCAATTCATCTTGAATAAAACTCTCTTCGTTTGGTGAAAAACAAAAAATAAAAAAAATACATATATCTATTTTCTTAATATTAGAAGATATTTTAAATTCGAATGTCCTTTCTCCCAATTGATGAAAAAAAGAACTAGTTATTAGTATGATAACAACCCTCTATATAAGGAACACGTGTTTATTTCGTTAATAAATTGGACGGAAATTTAGACGTGTCAGAAACCACTAGAACAAAAATGAAAGGTGCAGAAGATATAAATAGTGGAAATAGCCCTCTTTTATTGGATGGAAATCATAGCAAATATTTTAAATATTTTTTATTATCGACAAATGAGAGACAATATCTTTGTGTCGTCCTTCTCTCAAGAGGATTAATAATTGTTTTGTGGGCTACTTCAGCTGGCCTCAATCGAGTAGCTTCTTTTCTACGGTGCAAAAGCAAATGCGTTTACCAAAAGACCACGACTTTGCGACATGGAATTTCAGGCATTAGCTTCCAACGTCGCCTTCGGTTTAGCCATGAAAGAGATGAGAGGCCCCATTTGATCTACAATGGTGGTGGTCCTAATGGGATGAGGCATGCTTTCTCAACTAAAACACGTATAACATTTATGATCTCTTTGGTCCGTAGGGGGAAAGATGAGTTTCTTTTTCTTTGAATTTTTTCATGTTCATATCCACCTAACTTTTTCTGTTAATTAGTTTTAGGAATAAAATTGTGAGATGTGTGAGATAAGAGTTGCACAAGTATAACGTCTTGAATTGCACATGTTTTGGACAAATTCGGGTCTTGGACAAACGTTTTATCTAGTGTTACCTAAATTGATTCAAAGTCTTGAAGTGTACATGTTTTTTTTCTGTTCAGAAAATGTATATTTTGATGTTTGGATGATGGCTTATGGTGTTTAAGAATGTAAAGTTCCAAATCGGGTTCCGGTAAAATTCCACACATACTTGGCTTTGCAGATAGTTAAGTTAGGAACAATATCGATACTGGTAATAATGGGAGTTGATAGGTGTCTATGAAATCTAACATACCATAATCATGGATTCATGGAATGTAGGTATGGTTCAAAATCCATATATAAAAGAGCACTAACTAGACCCACCAAGAAACTACTTACTAGCTTCCTTATCCCTATTCTCAGTCCACACTCTAACGTACTTTTATTTTCATTGAAAGAGTACTCTATGTTGTAGATACTACTAAGTTCATAATGGAATGGTGTGAAAAATTCAATGGCAGTATTATTGATTACTCACTTACCCCTTCCTTTCGGCCTCATACGGTGAAAGAAATGCTGAAAAGGAGCCACTTTATACTTATTGCATGTTGGACCAAGCTAATTCTCGAATTTTTAAGTCAATGAATGACCTCAAGAGTTCAAGGCAAGGGTTTTCGTACCAAATGAAGCCTCCTATCCTCATCCATTATATAATGTAATTAGCTCTTATCTAACTGGTCTTTGGTCTGCTAGTAGTATCCACTTGATTGGAGGGAATTTCAGATTGTTATTGTGGATGTGTTGACGCGTTATAAAAAGTATCTTATTTTACGTAAAAAAAAATAAAAAAATAAAACATCTTTCATTTGTAAATTTAACTATGCTATATATATATATATATATATATATATTGTTACCAAAACTAATAAGGGAAAGGAGGAAAACTCACACAAATGAATCCATGAGAACTTAAATTTAAGCCACTTAAAAAGTACACCATATACCTGGACCGATTCAACTAACACCTGATTGTTACATTACTGGCTACATTTCAACTCTTTATCATTGTACCACTCACAATTAGTGGATAGGCAGTTGCCAACGGTGGGAACTTGTTAACACTTGCGACCCTTTCGGTCAACACATCCTATCCTGTGGAGACGACTTTTGGCATGTTGTTCAATCAACTAGGGCAACAACAACCAAGGATAAGCCTTCCAATATCATTATTCATTGTCAACGGTCAACCTTATTGTGTTGGATAGCAGTTGATTGGCTTGGATTTTCATACTATTTTATTTTTATTTATTAATTTATATTTTGATCTTTCGCTTTTATTCACATGGACGAATACAACTCATGAGAAAGACCAAGAACTATAATGACCTCAAAAACCAATCAAGAGGCCCCCCATGACTTGAAGCCATAAATAATTGAACATGCCATAACTAAAAATGTGGCTACTTTTCAGCATCTTCCATCTTCCACCATATAATTTTTCTTCAGATTCCATGACAAAATTCAAGTTGCTTTCCCTTTTATGCCGAAAGGAAATACCAAAATTCCAGGGCATCATTCATTAATCTAAGTATTCTTTTAATAACCTTTTACAAATAGACCCATTTTAAGGTGATATTTTATACAAAAATTCTTAAAGAGTCTATTTGGAGAGAAAAACCATCAACTAGCCGCTTGTCATTTTTTATATATTGATTCTTAGAAAATTGTAACACATTAAGAACCAATTAGAAAATGCAAGTGGCTAATTTAGGGTTTTTCTCTCCAAATAAGCTCTTTGAGGTTTTTTTTTAATAAAAAATTTATTTATAAAATGTCATGTTAGAATGGACCTCTTTGTGAAAAACCCTTTTAAAATGACTTTAATCATGTCCTTATCTTTAATTGATAAGGTATAAAGGTAGAGTTACACTATCACCCTCTGAGGTTTTCAGTATTTTCACAAAACGCCTTGAGGTTTAAAAAATTACACAAACACCCTCGATGTTTCAAATTGTTTTCACAAAATCCATTCTCGTTGATTGTTCGTTCAAAAATTGATGATTTCATAAATAAAAAAAAACTTATCCAAATGACAAAATTAACCTCACCTCAAAGGCTAACTTTGTCATCCGGAGAAATTTTGTATACAAAATCATCAATCATAATCAACAAAAAGGGGTTTTGTGGAAACAATTTAAAACCTCATGGGGTGTTTGTGTAATTTATGAAATCTCAGGGAATTTTGTGAAAAAAAAACCGAAAACATGAGGGTATGTTAGTGAAAACAATTCTATAAAGGTGGAATCTTGTAAAGGTGATTATTTGTTCCCACATCCAGAACATTTTTGGCCATGCTTCAACATATAAACTGCAGTATGATAATTATATACATTATCTGCAAACCAAATGGGTGTGAAACTTTCCAGCAAACAGCTTTTGATTATGTTAGTGAACAACTAAGTATATGCTTTAACAGCCTATTATTCTCAGCTCACAACATCACATTTTTGTTTTTTATATTAATTTTTTTTATCAACGAGGGAGGGAGATTCGAACTTGAGATATCTTCCAACATAAATACCACTAACCTAATAGCTAGTCGGGTAGAATTGGAATGCTTAGGAACAATTATATTCTTTGTTTATGATTAATATTTCTATTAAAAGCATTTTTGTGGGGAAACGTTTTTACAGATAAAATCCTATCATCATACTTCGGCCCAGCTGAGTGTTCTACATTTGATATCAGACCTACAAAAAATTTTGGGCTCAAAAGTAGTTTCAATCCGTGTGGGTCAAATGCAGCCTTCTTGAATCCATGTTGGTTTGTTTTTTCCCTTCGGCCTAAACCTACTCAATCCCTGTGGCGTTTGTTCATGGGAGCAAAGAAAATTGTAATCCCGAGTCTTATCAAACACATGCCCTTAGCTCAAGCAAATAAATAATGTAATCCTGTGCTTGTTTTTAATGTATTCAACACCACACCAAACTCTCGTCTATGAGATTTGAACTCAAGACTTCCTTTAAAAAGTGGAGACTAAATGTCGCTAAACCAAATGATTGATGCACCTTTAGAATCCGCTTTTAATTTTTTTTTAAACTAAGAGCTTGGATGCGAAAAGCAACCAATTGTGGTGATCAAATTGGCATATAAAACCCACCCAAGGTAGGGATTACCTAGGGACACTGCAGAATTGGCAATTGTTAGGCATATATGCGGTTCATAATCCGGAAGCCCATCTGTTGAAGCTACGATGCATTTGAAATTTAGCCCCTAGTCACACAAACATTTTCACTTTTCGGTTACAGAAATCGAAAGGGGGTAGTAGTCCGAATTCTGATCTTGGATACATGGGTAACTGCTCGAAAAGAATACAAAAACAACTCAGAAAATAAGACCCTTTTCATAGGATGGCATGAAAATCAGCTAGACACCATTTACCTTGTTGGCTCTAAAATTGGTTGGCTTTTTTGTTTTGCTCTATTTTTGTCAATGTGTCACAGAGCTCAATGGATGCGGTTTCGACTTTGCATACATTCCCATTCACAGAGCTTTTAACGCTTAATCACTGCAGAGCCGAACGACAGCTACTCATTACAGAGAGAAACTCAAGTATGCTGCTGCCATGCTCACCAATGGAACAGATATATTGTCATCTAGTACTTCTGTAATTGGAAGAGACTCCACTATTGTTGCCACCAGAGAAATCAATGCTACTTTTTCAACCGTCTCGACCCAATTCAACTGAAAATATCCCAGAAATGAGTAATAGTAGAGCATCCCAATGGAAATCAAGAACCCAAAAAGAAACATGGATATGCTACCAGCCCAACTCTTTTTTTGATTATAAGGGATCTTTATGGACCCAAATTTTCTCCCCATGATATCAGCAACACCTATAAACAGCCAAGTTGAAAAGGTTATCATTGCACTATTGGAAGCAGTAAGAGAAAATTTTCTTCCATACCACCAGTTATATACAATCGTGTCGTGTGCGTATCTCTCACATCACATGACATGCCATGATGAGAGAGAGAGATAGGACTAAACTTACTGCAGCGGTTTCCCTGCCCTCTCTCACATGATGTGTGACGAGAGATGCGCGGTGAGAGAGGGGTAGTGAATGTTACAAGTAAGTTTTTCTCGAGAGATAGACACGTTGTTGTATAAAACTGGTTTTATGGAATAATGAGTAAGGGACAAGTGAATTTGGTTGGAGAAACTAAAGAAGTTACCATCCCCACCACACATCATTGCCAAGGAGACCACTCCAACTGGAGACTCGCGCCAAAATACAAGAGCACATAAAATCAAAATCAGAACATAATACAAAGGACCTCTAAGCAACTCCCTGCAGATATTAAAAAAATGAAGCTAAATCACTCTGGCTTTAGAAAAATTAGCTGCATGTATAAGGTTTAATTATTGGTAAAAGTTACTTTGGGTTTCCTTCTCGAGTGACAGATTTGACTAGTCCTTCATTGGTGACTATGGAGAGGCCATGAAGAAGAAGCCTCAAGCAATTGACAAGGGGAACCACAGTGGCAAAGTAGCGAGCCGCTGTTGAGGTGCTATTCTAGGATGAAAGATGAGCTCAAGTAGTCAAGGAAACTTCTAGCACTGCCCGCTGGGGATATAAAAGAATGAACAACAAACAAGTTGTAGAAATTCTGAACAAAAATAGCAAAAGGGTTACCTGAAAATTGGCCAGGAAAGCATGAAGAGCAGCCCAGACAATATATGCACCAATTTTCTGCTTAAACTCTGCATTAAATTATTGTGTAAGCAAAGAAGAAACGTGAAAAACATCACATGCTACTTAACAAATAAAAAAGTAACACGTTACGTATATTACAATTTATATGCTAATGATATAGGTATGCATTTTAAAGAGTAATGCTAGAGAGACCAAAACGCCACGAGTAAAACCTACATATGCCAAGGTGTATACCTCCTAGTGCCTGCCTATAACACTTATCAAACACTTATAGCACATTATAACTGTTATAGACACAAAGGAGATATACACCTCATTAAGGTAAGTTTTCATCAAACACCACATGCTACGATAAACACCACACGTTATTTATTATGTTCCATTTGCTCACAGTGATGTCCAACTGGCCTAGCGAACGTCTGCAAATTTACTTTAGACCTCAGGTATTTTTAAGAAGTAAAATCCTAAGTCACCATTTTTTAAAATATATTTTTTATCCAACATTTGTTGTTGATAAGATTTGAACCAAATAGTGATTGTTTTTTTTTGGGGGGGGTCAAATATAGTGATTGGTTTATGTGACAAAAATTTGAGAAAAAGTTATAGGACTATATGCCATTATGGCTTCTTTTCTTTTAAGTAGGCAACTATGGAGCTATTGTTTTTTTTTTGGGGGGTAAGTAAATGTTACCCCTTCAGTAAAATATGGTAACTTCTCAACTTTTCAGTAAAAACAGAGAAAAACAGAACAGTGTCAGTGGGGTTGTCTTATTTCCATTTTCAGCATTTCACAGATTCACAATCAAAGTAGCAATCTGTGACTCCATTTTCAGCGTTTCACAGATTCACAATCAAAGTAGCAATCTGTGACTGAAAACAGAATAAAAATTCCACAGGGTACCAGAAATGGAAAATCAAAATGGAAATAATTAATTGGAGATTTGAAGAAAAATCAATGGGAGAGCAAAATGACCTGCTGGAGAAGGTTTCGCTGCGTGAGATTGTCGAAGCAGAGGACGAGGCCGTAGGCGCCCGCGAGCACAAACGCGGTGGCTCCGGCGTCCTGCAAGAGGTCATCGGCTGCGGCGCGTAGGGCGGAGGCGGAAAGGGAAGGGCGTGGGGGAGCATGCGGCGCACGGTAGAGGATCTGGACACGTGGGAGCGGATGTGGGTAGCTGATGAGGAGGGTGGTGCGGCTGAGGCGAAGATGATGGCGCACGTTAGAGAAAGTGGGGAGGCGCTGAGAGGGGGTGCTTGGGGTGAAGGCTAAGAGGCTCGTCATCAGAAAATAAAACTCACACCGAGTTCAAAGTAGTCTTTTCCTTTTAATGATGGAAAACACAGTGACGGCACACGTGTTTTCCTATTTTGCCACCTTGACAACTGTACGACATACTTTGAACCAAGTTTCGGAAATATCAAAGGTCATTTCGATAAAGTTGCGAAAATATGGTCCGAAAATGGTAAAAATTGAATACAAACCATGGAATGTTAAAAAAACATTGAAATTTTTTATTGAAACTTTGGAAGATGTTATTTAGGGTCAGTTTGACATTGTTGTATTATGAAAATAATCGTTATCAAATTTGTTTTGAGAGAAATCATATGTGAAAGAAAGTAGTTTGGCGTTTAATAAACTTTTTGTTAAAAGTGTTGTTGGTATTGATTCCTGCATAATAAAAAATGATTCCCGTGTAATCATTAAATCCAGCGCCTCTTCAAAATGGATTCCTGTATAATCAGAAAATGAAAGCACCTCATTCGCTGTTTTCCTTTATAACTTTATCTCACAGTAATTTTTAACAAGAAATGAGTTTTTTTGTTTGTTTTTTTTTAAATTTATAGTTTACCAAATGGGCTTCCTAAATTTTTTTAAAAATCACTTATAACCCCAAATAAAATGGGCACTTAGTCAATTATCTATTAGTTTATCACAAAATAATGGAAGAAAATGCATTGAATGATGTGTTTAACTTATTTAAGTTGATTATATAGTAAGCTGACAAACACTGGGAGTGTAGAAAATATGTAATAATTAATGAAAGAAGATTAAACACACCATAATCATTTATTTATAATGATTTACTACAATATTTTACACTTTATACATTGCATGGTAAGATAAATAGGTAACTTAATAGCACATAGAGTTCCTATGAGATTCAAAAATTTCGTTGTCTTCATCATCTTGATATTCTTGATATTGTCGCAATATTTTGGCCAAATATTGTTGAAGTGTGTGAGAAATTATAGATGTCTATATTTCTCGATATTATCGATAATTATACGATATGTGTATGAATATTGTGAGAGTCAGTACTTTTTTTTCAAAGTTTATTTAAAGGGAATAAATATTATTATATGTATATTTATAAGTAATTATCTTGGTAAAAAGGAAATATATATTGTTTTGCATTGATAGTACTATTCTAATAATTATTTATATTTTACTCTATTTATATATATATATTAATTTACTTTAGTAAATTGGTTCTTGAAAAGGTGGTTAGTTAAGTCCACGTGTTCGTTTTCTTAATTTCTTTAAAGGTTTTGATTTAATTTAATTTTAATGTTTATTATTTCATGGCTATGTATTCTTGCTAAAAGGATAACTCCATTTTTATACGTGAATAGTAATTAAAAGTACACCTCCTCCTTGTTAGGTGTCAATAAGCATGTCACTCATGCATGCTAGTAGCAAAGCTACGTTTACTAGCCTTGTCTACTCATCATTCTAACATGAAAATTGTTAGGATATGATTGGTGGAATTGGAGTCACCACAACATGTCTTCATGGTAATTTTTTTCTTATCTGTTGTTGACTTGGAGTGCAAGGCCATATTGATATATTGATATATATTACTTGGAGATTAAGTTCTTACATAAATGTTGATATTATCATGTACTATAGCTACCGTCTTCACTACACTATAAATAGACCATTCCACTCCTTTGTTTTTCATTCTCATTTCAGCCAAGTTGTGAAGTATTTGTAAATTTGCATGAAGAAAAAAAAACAAAGAAGAAGAAATATTAGAGAGAAATATAGTGGAAGACTGAGTTTTTACAGGAATTGATTTAATTAAATTTTGTGAGCACTATGTTATGCGTGATATTATAATGGATGTTCTTGATGTGGGGTGTTTATGTGTTGTTAACTATTCGATTAATGTTGGCATGATTATATGTACATTGGTGATATTTAAATGATTACATTGTTTTTAGATATATGAGATATGTGAAAGACATAATTATATTATGTCATGGAAATTGGTTGGAGTTCTTGGTGTGGAAAAATACTAATGGAAAATAGGGTAATGAAAATTATCTTTTGTGTAGTTGAGTCTAACTCTTGGCAGGTATCAGATCTCAGGGATCCCACAGTACACATGATTTTTATTGGATGATACGAGACTGTCGATAGAGAGTTAGACAAAATGACTAATAAAAGGGGATTTATGAGATGATTGAGATGAGGGTTAGTTCATATAAATGAGCATTCAGGACCAAGTGGTATAAGCATTGTATGAGATGTGCAGCTTGTCCAATTATATGAATTAACGGGATTAGATGAAGAGCATTTAGGCATTATTATTAATAATGTGATATTTGGCTGCGTGATTGTATGTCATTTAATTTAGTTATATCAATTTACCATAAAAAGGTATATGTCCCTACTAAGCTGTGATTTCACTCACCCCCTAACAGATTTTGCAGGTACTGAACCTGAAATCTAGAGCTTGTGATGATTTTGGCATATCTATAGAATGTATTGTGTACATAGCTTGTGGATGAATAATGAGCTACTTTTTTAGTGAACTCTTGAGTAGTTCTAACTTGTAAAATAATGTAAAATTTTTAAGATTTCAGAAGTTTTCGTTTCCACTGAATATTCTATGTGAAATATTTATTTTATGTTTATTCACATTTTAGCTATAGTTTTTATCAAATTCTATAATTAAGGTGTGAATCATGTCTTAATCCAAGGTTACATAAATCCGTGAGTTTCCGTCCCTGTTCTTGTCGGAGGACTATTCCTCATACCCACCCCGAATTCCGGATTTTTTTTGCATAAAAAATATTTATCATACATTTTAACATTAAGTTTCCTATTAAATTATCATTCAACACATCCAAATTAACTATAAAGTTCAACTCAACTATTCAAAATCACATCAATATGAAATTCCATAGAAGATTAGGAAGAATCAGGAGAGAGAGGTTAACTTAGGGCTAAACATAAATATTATAAATATTTATTTATTTATTTAAATATAAACATATATATTTTTGGGTCGGGTTTGGGAATTGGGACGCCAATACCATCCCCTCCTCATACTCGTCGGGGAATTTTTAAGTTCAGGGATCCCCATATCCAATACTCGTTTGACCCCGAAATCTCCTTTCATTAGGGTTAGGGTGGGTCCCCGTCAGGGATTTTTGCCATCCCTGGGTGTGACAGATATGTTCCAAAATATCATAGACCCGAAAGAACGATAATATCGGCAATATTTCGTCGATATTTTAGTCCTTGCTTTGAACTGACAGTGTGAGATTCTATATTTACTTTCCTCTTTCGCTAGTATCATTTACATTATAAAAAAAAAAAAAAAAAAAAAAAAAGGTTAAAAATATTTACCCATGCAGTCGAGATCCTAGATTCAATTCCCTCTTCTCCAATATCACTTATATAAAAGAAAAAAAAAGTTATTTTAAAGAAAAATTTATGACATTAGAGAATAAAGAATAGTAGTTTAATTGCTTGTCAAAGCAAAGCAATCTAAATTCAACAAAACGAATCACTGGACAGATTGCTTTGGTTGGGTAGAGTCAGGAGTTTATAGTGACTCGAGGGATTCCTCAAATAAATTATTTCATGGACACTCTTTAGAGCACTTTCACTCATGGTGCCATGGCAAAGGCAAAGGGCATATTCTATTTATGTGAATAGTGACTACCCTAACAATTTTTTTGATGCATTCCCACCTATTTCCATGGCAACATAAGGGTAACCACTATTCACATGGGATATAAGGAGAGGAATTTGTATGGATTTTGGTGTGGGAAGTGAAGGACATGGCTATGTATTTATAGAAAAAATTTCTAAATTTCTTGGTATTTTGTTCCCCTTTTTTTTTTCCAATTTTTTTGATATTTAAATTGGCCGCTAATGTCACATTACAGGCCCTACAAAGGAAAAGTTGTCATGGCAAGAACTGGGGCAGTAAAAGTGGGCAAGCCAGAAAGTAAGACTTGTCTGGGCTGTTGCCTGGGCAAGCTGACGTCAGAGACTAATTTAAATACAAATTTTTATTATAAAAAAACCAAAAAATTCAGAAATTTTTTTTTCTTCTATAAATACCTAGCCATGTTCTTTATTTCCCACGCCAAAATTCATACAAATTCCCCTCCCCATATCTCATATAAATAGTGATTGCCCTTGGGTTGCCATGACAATGGGTGAGAATGCATCAAAAAATTGTTAAGGTAGTCACTATTCATGTGAATAGTATTTGCCCTTACTTGCCTTTGCCTTTACGCTTTGACATGGCATAATGGGGTGGAAGTGTTCTTAGGGTCCCCTACGAAATTTTTTCAACGATCCAAACCATTTATTTTTCACTTCTTTATTCAATGATCACCCTTGCAAAAAATCATGCAAATTGAAAATCATTAAGGCAGATTGGAATCAACAAAATCAATGAACACGGTATTTCAAAAAAGTACTTGAATTTCAAGAATTTAATTGAAGATATGTTAGATCATAATGATTATTAAATGATTTTTTTTTTTTTTTTTTTTTTTTTTTTTTTTTTTGGGTTGGGGTGTAGATGATCTTTAAATGAATATCTATAAAATAGACGTTTGGATTAGTGAAATATAATGCGGAGTGAGCCCTATAAGGGTGTTGCTCAAATAAGCTTATTTGAGCAACACCCTTTAGCATCCCTTATGATTTTTTTTTCAACTATCCAAACCATCTATTTTTTAAGTTTACATTCATTGTTCATCTTTGCAAAAAATTAGACAAATCAGAAACTGTTTCAACATCCAATTGTGTCCTACAAAATCAATGAACACGGTGCTTCAAAAAAGTACTAAATATCTGATCAACTCATGGACTTGGACGGGAAGGATTTCATCAACTGGGCCATGTTTTTCCCACCAGTGGAGGAACCAGTAGGGAATGAGACTTTTAAACTTATTGTCAAAATTGATAAACCAAGAATGACTAAAATCCTCAAATTGATGGAGGAAGATAGAATACCAGGCTTCAATATAATCAAAATAATTATATTGTAATTTTGATTGGAATGTTTTTAACTCATAAGGATGACTGCTGAATGACTCTTGGCTTATAATTTTATGGACATATATGGCTTATAATTTTAAAACGACTATTTTTTTCTTCTTTCGACTTTTTAGACCAATTTTTCTTAGGGTAAAATTTCTTTTTTCTGTAAAACTCATTTTGTTGTCGTATTGGGATGATTGTTTTCTACGCGAATAATGACGTTTTTTTTGGATATGACTATGGTAACTAGGCTTTTCTTTCCTAGAAGGGGGGTAATTAGCAAGACTTTATTGTTCGCAGAAAGTTCCTAGCTCATACTTAGTTGACTTTCTATTGGACTGTATTTGTTTTCCAATTTTAAAATCAACACACATTTTCATACCAACTTGGTTAATTGTGCTAATGATGTTTCCGTATGTTAAACTATTCCAATCAATTTGACCTTGTTCATTACTAAGGACAGTGCGAATCTTATGAGCAAATAGGTTTGGGAGACCATAAACAAATTTTTCTTTCCAAAACGGTTGGTTACTGTCATCCCTGATCATGGATTCTAGCCGTAATATTACTAGGGGTTTCAACAAAATGTTCTATTATTGTATAAAATAAAGTGTTAACTCCATCTTCTATACCTTGACCTATTTGTTCGTCAAATATAGGAAGACCTTCTTCATCAAGTTTAACTGCATGAATTATTAAATTTTTGGACTCAGGGGTTAAGTGTTTATCCCACAAATACCGGAGGGTTCCCGTAAAACCAGTGACAAGTAAATGCACAATTTCAGACTGCTTAAAACTGTGGTTGGTGATATAACTATTAGCAACCATGGACATATGTTGGAGCTTATTAAAGATTTCTTGTTAAGACAAACCATCAATATTCCATTCATACAATTTGTCAGAAGAAACTGAAAACTGGCTTCGGAAGTTTCGTTCTTCAAATTGGATGTTTGGAGGTGTTGGCCTCGGGTACCAATTTTTGGTTAGACTGGTAGGGGTGACTCGATTAGTTAACCTTTTGACTTTTGGCTTAGTTTCAATTTCTAAATTTTTAAAGGCATTTTCAATCTTTGAGATATTACTAGTTTCTTTTCCTGTACCGTCTATTGACTCTGTTTCTGAATCGGAAGTATTGACAACTGCAGGGGCATCTAAGGTTTTAAGACCAGATTTCTCTGGTTTAATGGACTTCAACTGTTCTAGCATTTCTTCTATTTTCTTCATTGTTGGTTTGATTTTAAGTGTAGGACTAGACTTAAGATCTTGGAATTGAACCAATGGTTTTTCAACTTTCGTTTTGCTCTTACTATCCTGGGGGACTAGTTTGTCAACTTTGGTTTCAATCTTATCTAGCTATTTTCCTATGACAATTAGACTCTGATTTGTATAATTACTTTGTTCCATTAATCTTTTACCAGGATCATTTTTCTCTTGAAGTTTAAAAGGGCTTGCAGGTATCTGAATTTTCTTAAAATCAACTATGGTTGACTCTACTGGAAACGACTGTTTGGACTTAAAACCTTAGATGCCCTCTACAGTCAAAATCATCATGTTCTTATAAATAAATAAATAAATAAATCGTAAGGGAGAAACCCTAAATAAACCTTAGGCCGAAACCCTAAATAAACCGCACCGCACCCACCATGTATAAAATGAAATGATCTATATACAAAACGTAAGGGAGATCGAACTCATGTCATGGATTCAATACGCAGGTTAAGCTTGCCATTTGAGCTCATGTTATTTGTGCTGAACCAGATCAATCTGGTTAATCTGGACAACATATTTTAACCGAAATGCATAATCCTATGAATATTAGATTTACATGAACCGAAATCAAATCCCAAATATGAAATTTGAATTATGGGGATGAGCTTGGAAACTAGAACCCCTTTGGCTCGTACTTTTACTGATAGATAAATGGAAAAGTTATTTTTGATTGAAGACAAACAAACACAAATCACAAATGAATAACATTGAACTAAAATACAACAGCTTAACCTAGATTAGCACAACTATGTAGCTGATTTCTTGCGAGAAAACCGCTGCAAAGATGTTGGTAGCTCCACTTGCTCAATTACTTTCTGCTTCTTCCTAGCCACTTGTTCTTCCTCTTTCTTTTGTTGCTCCAAGAAAGGCCTCTTGGCATTCGCAACTATCTCCTGCTTCTTCTTTGTCCTCTTACTTGGCTTATTCCTTCCTTTTGTTTTCTTCTTTGGTTCAATGCCCTTGACCGCTTCCACAGCGGCTTCCATGTCGGCCTCTTTCTCCTCCTTTGTTTTCTTCTCTTTCCTCCTCTGAGGCTTTACTGTGCCAATCTTTGTGGGATTCAACATGATTGTCTCAGGCGGGAGCTTATCAAGTAGAGAGTGCACTTCCTTCTCTCTTCTCTGTTTAGATGTTTCAAATGGATTAGCCACCCAAGAATCAAAGTTGGGTTCCCCAGAACCAGGAATCAGAATACTAGACCACCCCATGGAGTGCCCAATGCCGAGAACATCTTCATAAGGTCGAAACAACACTTTTTCTACTTGGTAACCTTTAATTATTTATGAGTCATATAATTATTGTAGTTCTGAGTCCCAGATGAATCTCTAAGGATCTGTACAAATGATGAAGTTGAACGAGCAAGCAGACCTTTCTGACTGAAATCAAGAGTATCTGCATTCCCCGGCAAAGTCTGGAGTGGCTCATCCTTAAGGTTCCTCAAATCCCAAAGCATAATTTTCTTCTCTTTCCCAGCTGTAGCCATGAGATGGCCATTTGGGTGGAATGCCATTGCCGTGATGGGCCCCTTGTGACACAGCCTCTTGAGAAGAGCAGTAGAGCTTGTGGGCTTCCACATGGAAACTGTACCAAGTGAATGACCCAAAGCAACAACCCCATTGTAGGGGTTCACCTGCATCACATCAGTACGGCCTAAGCCAGTCCTGTAATTAGCTACCATCCCGCCCATTGTTACATCCTGATAACGAAGCTGCCCAGATTTGTTTATTGATGCCAAGAGAAAATGGTTTTTTCAAAAATTGAAGCCTTAAAACTGCGCCATGTTCCTACATGATAAGAAGTATAACTTTAGCTCCATACAGATGCATCTGAAAACCATTCACTTAACTATTAAAGGAGACTTCACAACAGATCACAAGGAACTATTTGACTTGTAAGAGTATTAGAGCAAATTATGGAATAAGCTGCATATATATGAGGAACACGGTTCCTAGAAATTGAACGCCTAGAGCACAATTACACATAAAAGCAAGCAACTGACTTTTAAGATTCTGGTTCGATGCTTTATCTCGCATTATTTAACATGTTTGACCTGCCTAAGAATTTATCTAAACCAATTTATTAATGGGATAAAGGCAGAAATCACAGCTCAGAAAATTAAGTTTTAACTGTGATCCCAGAATAGATTAAATATCTATTTATGAAGTGACCATGAGTCGCAGATTACAATTTGAGAAAAGAAAGGAGTAATCTTAAAATACTGCTATTTTCCCAGAGCATCACCAACCTATCTGAAGAGCTTTTAAACTCTACGCAATCTATAATATAAACTCATTAGGAGCACAAACTGAAGATATAATTGATTAGCCAGTTCACAATACATGCACTGTAATGAGACAACTCAAACAAAGACCTGGGATAAGAAAATAAACACTTGCACGATAATTAGTATTGTGTTACTAATAATAGGGAAAAGCCTTTAAATCATTGCGATCCAATGTAGTTAGACAACAATCTATTCAATACAGTAAGCTAACCTTTAAGCAATGAAGTTCAGTGCCATCCCTGTTATAAATATATGGATACCTGTTGTTAATTAAAATGGTTAGCACCTCTAAATAAGATAAAACATCAATCTTAAGTAGAAGATAAACTAGTGAAAATTACAAAATGAGATTTTGCTTATAAATTGAACTCGTGTTTATTCACATTGCAAAGGGAAAAAAAACACATGTACTTAATCGAAGGCCATGGCAGAGAATATTGGCTAAAACAACATAAGTGAATCCTCCAACAAGTACACAGGGCTAAATCAATGTATATAAAATCGGACAAAAGTGCATCACCATGCCACCACCAGGAATAAAGAAAAATGTGGTTGTGAGAGAGATCTATAATCTGCTGGACCAACAAGTCAGTTCAAAGTAGATTGAGCAGGTTTTAGTAATATCTGGAGTTGTCCATTTGTCCAAACAAAAATTTTACAATGGGAGTATTCAATGTTTGGCAATATTAGTCACATGCAACAGAAAAAAATTTCCATCTATAATCTACCCTTTAAATGTAAAAAGATTACCAAACTACAGAACATTAATTTAAGTAAAGCAAACAGTTTTATACTTTTTCTGGGCAGCAGCAAAGAACAACTCATTGTGCAAGAACACCACATCACGCACTGTTTCTCTAACCTGAACAAACAATTAGCTAATCAGTCCAATGTTCCAGTTAAACCACGAAGTACAAATCAAACAAGGACCCAACATTTGCGCATAACATTTAAAAACATAGAAAAAGATGTTTCCCACTAATGAACTAAATGTACATTGAGGAAAACAACAAGGGTTTACTACAGTAACATCCACCCATCTAAACTTTCACATTTGGACAGTGGGAAGCTACAACTACATCGAACTGATAATTTGACTCAAAACATATCAAAACTTGATAAGGTTCAAAGATTAAACTGTTTAAAATGTACTTGCATGATGCCTTTCATTCTCTCTCCCGCAACTCTTATCTTCATAACGTTGGTTACAAAATTCAGAATCTAATCTAGTGCATCAAATTCCACACTAGTACATTATATCTTTGCATATGAAGACTAAGACATGGGGACATGGCTGCAAGAAACATATCTAAATCAATCTAGCAAGAGGCGAACAATTTTGGTAAGAAAAAAGAGAGGCGAACAATCATGTATAATATAAGGTCACAGTATCTGACTGAAAAGGTATTACTACTCGGTAGAAAAAATATAGTTTTATTTTGAATTCATACTGCCCAAAATACCTGAATTTCTTTAACCAGGCTCATATTCTTCATGTCTAAAATAGCCAGATGGCCCTTGCGTCCACCAGCTGCCATATACCGACCACTTGAGGTGAAATCCAGTGTGTAAGGACCGAGATCTGCAGATAAGAATTAGGTTTAAATCATAAATTTTTGAGTAAGATTTGTGATGCAGGAGACCTCACAAAGCATAAACCTGCTTTTAGACCTCACAAAGAAATCTGCCTTATTTTAAATATCTATGTTATCGATCCCACATTCAACCCCTTGAACCATTATCTCAACTAATATCCAGCACCCAACAAAGCTATATTTTTTATTCTGCTCCAGTTCATTTATTTCTTCTTTCCACCAAATATCAATGGACTTATCTGAAAAACCTGTAAAGAGAAAAGAAAATTTCCAGTTTTCTTTTCATTCTTTATTGTCGATAAATCAGGATATTCCAAACTCTACTCTCTTCTCAGTCAATTCAGGTCATCCCAAAACTAATTTTGCTTAGGCCAGTTGAATCAGAATTTGCATAACTGAAATGAGAAAAGCCACACAACCAGATATAGGACATGAAAACTTTCAACTTCAATAAGGAAAACAATAAAGTCTGAATGAAAAATTCTGACTGACTGTTAATCATTAGAAATCAATAAAAACGTTTAGGTTTCAACCTGGTAAGACAATATCATATTGACTCCTTGCGCTTAAGATATCTACTTCACGAGCAATTGATTCTTGTTTGATCCTCCATGTTTTCTCTATGCCTTCAGCCTCCAAATAGCCTCCCTCACTTGGCAGAAGCCACTATAATTTTGATCACAAATGAAAATTCATTAAAGTCTATTGTTATTACATCTAATAAAAGAAAAGGAGAAGCAAAATATCTTGTAGAAGATCAGCTTGTATGAATTAAATCCAGTAAATCCGAGAAAACTATAATTCAGATGAAAAGCAAACAGCATACGACTGGAAAAAATACAAACCATAGCTGAATCTATACAAATTAATACAAAGGCCAACAGAATGCTTAAGCATGACTGTATGTTAGATTTTTCCCCTACTGCTATGACAGAACGACAGATCACATTCAATAAAAATTCACCTTCTCAGCCTTGGCAGCAGCTTGTGCAGATTTTCCAAACAATTCTTCTCTAACAGCAAGTTGACCCTTCAATTTTTTATCTTGCAAGCCCTACAAACACGACAATCCAAGATGCAATAAGAAATAAACAAGTCAAATTTCATGAAAAGTCAAATTCCGTTGACAACATGGTACCTCCAAATTAGTTTTTTCGCCTCTAAGAAACTTCTTCACTCTGATATCTAACTCATCAGAGATCTTCTCCTGCAAATTTAAATATGAACATTTATTTTCTAATCATGTAACAGGAAGCCATATATTTACATAAGAACCTAGTGTTCAGCTCTCATGTTGGAGGAGTGAGATAGTGGAGATATGTAAAGAAGGTGTCAAGATTACAGCTCAAATTGCTTAAATGGTCAGGCACATTCCAAATATGTAGCTAGAAAAAAAATAAAAACAGATGAGAGTTTAACTATTTTCACAAGTATTACTTATAAACAGCCGAATGTGGTTAGAAAGCAGGAAGCAACAAAGACAGTAGTACAATCAGGTAAGAAGAAACGGCCATAAATATAAAAAAAAAAAAAAAAAAAAAAAAAAAAAAAAAAAAAAACACAAACAAAAAAAACAAAAAATATTAAAAGCAAAATGCCAAAATATATTACAATCGAATATCTTAACCAAACAGATGATGAGCAAACATCTATGAGACTGAATAGAACCATAATTGCAAGCACATGTTGAGGGACTGCTAGTGCTAGATAAGATATAATTGGTTGATTTTCATTTGGATAAAATAAAATGAGAATTAATGCGTACCTGTTCAGATGTAGGCATAATACTGCCATCGTCTTGTTTCACACCCATCTTGCTTAATCCAGTTTCGTATTTGTAAAATACAAAATGCCCTGAAACTTGATGAGTAATCCAATTCAACTACAATATTCAATTTTTTCTAAAACAAGAATAAATAAAATGGTTCACATAATCTTTTAGCCGGAGAATCCATATCCTATCTCGAGCTACACCCATACACATTCTGTACAAACTAGCAAACCCAACTCAAAAGGTGAAGTCTGAATAGCAAAACACTGAATTGAAGAGGAAAGAGGACAGAAAAAACTCAATGCATTAAGAAAAACAAAAATTAAATGCAAAAAGAAATCTATTAATATCAATGTATTATGAACAAATTCACATTAAATTGTGATCGTTGGACCTTTATCGAGGGGCAGGGTTAGAAAGCTCAGGCAAACTTAGGAGAAGAGATTATTCTGAGAGAAGCAGGACCCCTATTCAATTACAATCCATAAATTTAAAATCCATTAAGAATTGATTATTGTAATGAATTTGAGACAATCAAATTCTGGGTTTTGTCAAGAAAGGATAGAAACACTACCCTATCAAAAGAAAAACAATAGAAAGTGTAAGCAAAAGATTTTTACAAGAACGAAACACAAGATAGAAAGTCAGTATGCAGCTGGTGTGTTGGTACCTAAATTACTTAAAAGCAATAATGAAAAAGAAAACAATATCCAACATGTTTCTTGGAGACATATCACCAAACAATTGGTGTGCATCTTGGAGAGCATTTTATGATGCACCCTCAGTGAGTTAAGGCAATACCTCTCTGGTCCCAATTTAGTTGCTGCTGTTTCTGGAGACTGGGAGAGAGAGAGAGAGAGAGCTCAGCCCTTCAATGCTTCTCTGACAGATAAGCAGTTATACAGTAGACGAATGGAAGCTTAGGCTTTGTTGGGCAACAGAGCTTTGAAATTTCACGACGGAGACCCAGAAAAACGGTAGGGTTTTAGTATTGAGGTTTTGCTGCAGTAAAAAAACAGAAAAGAAAAGAAAAGACAAAGGTTGGGCCCATGGGCCGAGCTCAAACCATAATGGGCCTTACCAGGCCCAAACCTAGTCCTGTAGGGGTAAAAAAAAAAGGCGCATAATCTTTGGGGCGAATATCCATCAACAAAGTTGACATCGTCCCATCCCGCCAACAACATTGTTCTCAGCATCATCGTCGTCGATACAGCTCCGTGGGACCCACAACGACAACAACATGGTCGTCGTTCTTGTACCTTTTGGGGGTTTTGGTGGGGTCCATTTTTAATTCTATAAATAAATATCCGGGGAGAAAACTAACGAAATTTTTAATTCTATCCCTGTCAGATTTTGCCTCTGTTTTCTCTCTCTCTTCTTAGAAATTGAACTGAATGGCGAGCGGTGGGGCAGAACAGCAGGGTCCGGTGACGTGCGGGTCGTGGATCCGACGGCCCGAAAGCGCCAATTGGGCGGTGTTCGGGAGGTCCAGGCGTAAGGATTCTTCTTCGTCGTCGTCTTCTTCACTTCTCGAGATCTTCTCCTTCGACCCCAAGACTACTGCTCTCTCTTCCTCTCTCCTGGTCTCTCTCGCTCTCTAAAATCTCTTTTTATTTGAAATTTACAAGCTTTGGATGCAATTTTTGCTGCCCTGTGAATTGGGTATTCGTATTTTGGGTTTTTTTGTTTTACCGGTTTGACCCAAGAGAGCTTGAAGAAAGGGTTGACTTTTTTGTTTGCTTGCGTTTGACTTTAACTTTTGTTTTGTGTGTGTTTTGAATTGATTGTTTAGACTACATATGTGCTTGAAGAAGTGGAGGGTGAGCCAGTTTCCATTGCGGTGCACCCAACCGGAGACGATATCGTTTGCTCTACCTCTAATGGTGGCTGCAAGTGAGCTTTCTTTCTCTTCTAGTGATTTTGTATTTCGAAATTTAACAGCTGTTTTTTGTTATTTTATATCCGTGGTGCTAGTTTTTATTTTGGGTTTCTTTTTGTTTCCCAATTTGATGCTAATTATTAGTTGACGCCTTTTATAAGTTTAAAGAACCCTTTTTTTTTTTTTTTGGTTTATGGTGTTTGATTTAAAGCTTGCTCAAACTGTACTGTTGTTTGGATGTTGTTGGAGAGTGGCTGTGCTGTTTGATTGCTAAAACTGGAGCGTAAAGCTTCCCATCTGATTCATTGCTTCATTGTTGTAATAGTACTATAATTATAGTGCTTGGATAGGATATGTGGGTACACATCTGTATATTTTCTTTTTTAAGTGCTTTTTTATTTTTATTTTATTTCGGTGGCAAGGTTCAAATATTTGGCTTTCTTGAACCATTTTAAATTTAGAACCGAGAAGATAAGTTTTTTGGGTCTTCCATGTGCTTTGTTTTCCTACTATCACTGCTTTTTGTTTGCACATTTTGACTTCACTTCAACTAAAGAACATGATCTCTGTATAAAGATATCATTCAAATTTAAGGTGGAGTTTATTAGGATTAAACCAAGATAGAGACAAGAGCATGATGGGGATACTTTTCTCGTATAAATTGTTGTTCAACTTGCCAGTGTTTGTTGGCTGATTGAGCTTCTTTTCCTCCTGCTCCTCCTCTTTCTGTGTTAGCTAGTCTGTTTATTGAGATTCTAGTGGAGGTTATGTAGTCCTCAAGTGTGGCCACATCCAGTATTTTTCCGTGAGTTGTCAGTATATCTCATATATTGAATTATATTTTTTTGGGAGAAATGCAGATTGTTTGAGTTATATGGCCAAGAATCAAATGCAAAGCTGCTGGCAAAAGAACTAGCTCCTTTGAAGGGAATTGGTCCACAGAAGTGTCTAGCTTTTAGTGTTGATGGATCTAAATTGGCTACTGGTGGGGTGGTAAGCAATAATCTGTATTACTGTCCATTTTCACCATACACGTCTCATGCAGCAGCTTAATTTTTATGCCAAACATTTATTTAATTATGCCCTAATCAACCTTAGGATGGGCATTTGAGAATTTTGGAGTGGCCAAGCCTCCGAATAATTTTAGATGAACCAAGGGCGCACAAGTCTGTTCGTGATTTGGATTTCAGGTGAGGAAAATGCTTGTTGATTGTCTTGTGTACATTTAAATACAGATAACAAGGCATAAGATAATGCTATAATCAGATATCTGTTTACATTTTGTTGGATTTGGCATTATCATATGATTGAGCAAGAAGAGTTATGTATCTTAATCAATGCTACTGCAGTTACATAGGAAAAGGCCATGATGTTTTCCCGCAGTACTTATTGCACTCATCTAAGAATCTCAAACAAACCACCTGTCTTGGTTGAATTTAGTATAAGCAAAGATGAATTGGTTATGTAATGAAAATAAAAGACGTTAATGGATTCTTTTTCCCTTTCATTTTCTTTTGGTGTATGGGGTCTGTAGACTGGAATATTTTAAGAAGATTTGCACAGTTTTCCTATACTGGATTTTGAATGTTTTGGTCTATGTTTATCCTACTCTAGCCTAGACTCCGAGTTCTTAGCTTCAACATCTACTGATGGAGCAGCAAGGATATGGAAGATGGAAGATTGTGTTCCTTTGACTACTTTGACTCGCAACTCGGTATGGCTTATTCATTTAAATTTTTGAAATATATTCCCTTTTTTTTCTCTCCTATCTTGCATAATATTTGGTGTGTTTTTTTTTTTGGGGTGGAATCTTGGGGTAATATTTGGAGTTTAATTCATGCAGGATGAAAAGATTGAACTCTGTCGGTTTTCTAAGGATGCAACAAAACCCTTTCTATTTTGCACTGTTCAAAGAGGTCTACCTCTCTAAAATAATTCTGTACTGCTATATCATTGTTTCTCAGAAAAGTAAATATATTTGTTTTAATCAAACAGGTGATAAAGCTTTCACCGCAGTTTGGGACATAAGTACATGGACTAAAATTGGGCATAAGAGGCTACTTAAAAAGTCTGCTTCCGTTATGTCTGTCAGCAAGGATGGGAAATATCTTGCTCTGTAAGCGCTTTACTACATTTTATCTTGTGTTTATATACTAGGCTTTAAATGAGAATTTATTAAACAATAAATTGCTCTGCTGGTGCATCGAATTGAACATTAAACATCTCTGGTAATTAGACTGGTTCATATTAATAATGAATTGAGTGCTAATGTAATGTACACACAGATATGCCTGCTCACACACCCTTTTAAGAGAGATGACAAATCTTTCAAATGTTCAATGTTTATGTGAATCAGAGAAATATATTAATTGACTGTTTATTATGTTCTTTCTTTGGTTCAATGATAAGTCACTCCACATTTGGATACAGCTTTGATGATTTGGTAAATATTATCAGAATGTTGTTGTTGGGACATGGTTTACGATATCGGTTTCACCAGTTTTTTTCTTTAAATTGCAGAGGAAGCAAAGATGGAGATATTTGTGTGGTTGAAGTTAAGAAAATGGAGATTTGCCACTGGAGTAAGAGGCTACACCTGGGTACATGCATTGAAACTCTGGAGTTTTGTCCCACTGAAAGGTAAGGCCCTTCCAACCAATACAGTTTTGTGAATTACTACTGACATGTTTTTGTATGTTGAATTACCATAATTGATTGACCGGTGCTTAACAATCAATCCATTCCTTGACCGTGATTTATAATAAAATTTGACTTTATTTTGTAATACAGATAGATTTGCTGTATAATTTGCATATGTTATAGAGAAGGTTTTACTTGTGTTATTAGAGCTCATCTTGTTTTCAGATCTAAGGTCGCGCTTGATGCACTTTTGTAGTACGTATTTTTCATGAAAATGCTTCTTTAGAGGCCATTTTCTGGGTATTTATTCTATTGAATGTATTAAGGATCAGCACACAACTTTTTTCTAGTTTTCTTAATGCTTCTATTTGCCTTAATTGAACAGCATTGGAATTATAGTCTTGCTCAGGAAGGGGCTTTAACTCTGGAAAAAAATTTCTTGTTTCTTTTTCTTCTGCATCGGAATGCTAAAGTAGAGTACTAAGCGTTGCTGGAAACTTCCAATGAAATATTTAGACATGTTTTGTAACCCAAAAATTTGGAGTATGCAATTCTTTGGTTGTTGGATGCTCACGTTTTTCTTGGTTTCAGGGTTGTGCTCACTACTTCTAATGAATGGGGAGCTGTTGTAACTAAGTTAACTGTTCCAGCAGATTGGAAAGGTTCTCTCTCTCTCTCTCTCTCTCTCTCTGTTTTCTTCTTCTTTTGTTATATATTTTTTGGGGTGTGGTTTGACAGTTTTGTTTACCCTTGTTCCAAATATGCAGAGTGGCAGATCTATATGGTGCTTTTAGGACTGTTTTTAGCATCCGCTGTCGCCTTTTACATCTTCTTCGAGAACTCTGATTCATTTTGGAACTTCCCTCTTGGAAGAAATCAACCAGCAAAACCGCACTTGGGAGCATTTTTAAGAGATTCAAAGTCTTCTGATGACAGAAATATTTGGGGTCCAGTTGATATGTGATGATTTTTATTGTCCACTCTCTACAATCGATGGGAACAAATATCGTATCAGTAACTGGACAAAAACTATTCTCTTTCAGTCCCCAAGCTAACCTAGTTTATTTCAATCCCATGGGACATTATTTTTGTGGTGTATATAGCATTCACAGAAATGTAGTAGAGAATTTCTTCCTCTTCACAATACATAATTGATTTAAATTTGTTGTGGGAAGCCACAGTGTTGTGTGATTGCATTTATGCGCATAGCAGTACTTGCCGATGATTGAATTCTTAAGAGTCCTTACCGTATTTGCCTTTTTTCTTTACTAATTTTCCTATTCTCAGTTGACATCTTGTTCTTAGTCAAAAGTATTTTTTCCTGTGATCATTTTTCTTCTTCTAAAAGATTTGGGTGACCATATGCTAATAGCATGTTGTACTGGTCTAGAACATTTTGGTGTACATTTTTAGATTAGGAGATCTCCACCATTCATCATGTGGACTTTTGAGGGAGGCCTACAAGATGAAGAGTAATGGTCAAAGTAGCGAATTGGAGTCCAGCCCCTTAATCACGTGTTGTTGTTACTCTCTCCAATCCAATGTAATCTAACGTGCTCCAATTCTACATTATAATTAAATACAATTAGTCACCAAAACAAACATGGTCTTTAAGTACGTGCAGCTATCTAAACTAAATTCCTAAAAAGTCAATATATTTTCACATTTTCTTTTTTAGATAAATTATATTATTATCTTCTTTTTTTTTTTTCTCGGAAAAGGCAGGCTAAGGCCAAAGAAAAGGAACAAACTGAACAACTACTACCCTATCATGAGCTTCACCCATCAGAGTCCTAAAAACAAACCAAAGAAGCAAGAGAAAATACATTTCAAGAAACAATGATGATGTAGGGGTCGCTCTTTGTTCATGTGAGGAGAGCCCTGACGGCTAGGGTTAGGGTTTCTTCAGTTTTCTTTCCTCATTCTCTGAGTCATCGTTCTCAGTCTTCTCTGATTGTCTCTTTGGGTTCTTCTTGGTGAATTGGGTATGACGTTTTTTTGTTGTTGTTGCTCTTTTGTTCTCCGTGGGGTGGCTGTGTTGGCTTCCTTTCTGGGTTCCCAAGGAGCTAGTCGCTGGTGAAGGGTCTCCATCTTAACGCTATGGAGATGGCCACCGCCTCTTCTGCTCAATAGGATGACAAGTATGTGACACCAAGCGGGAATCAGAAGAGTGCGAAAACTGGTGTTGGGCATCTGATTGTTAATGGCATGGATTTTTCTAGTAAGCATAGTTTTTGTATCGATGATTTTATTGACAAAGGCGGAGGAGACCATCCTCGAGGGGTCTCCAAGATCTCCCTAATAATTCTCCTATGGAACGTTTGTGGGCTTGGTAACCGATGAACGTTCCTACTATGAAGATCTTTCTTTGGAATTTTCTTCAGGCTAAGAGGCCAATCTTGGTCTCCCTTGCTTGTTAGCTGGGATTTTGGATCAAGAAAATTGGAGGTGGCGGTTGGTGTATGGCTGGATCTGTTAAGATGCTCACAATACGTTTTTGACTTTGTACGAAGAATTATGATGCTTTCTTTAGATCATAGGAGGCTTTCTTTGACAGTATCTGCGTAGTGATGGGATGTGTTTCAATGGTTTTGCGGTTGGGTGATTGGTTGGATCTATTTTGATACCCATAGTACGTTTTTGACTATGTACGAAGAACTATGATGCTTTTTTTAAATTATATGAGGATTTCTTTGACAATACTTACGTAGTGATAAGATGTTGTTTTAAGGGTTTTGTGGTTGGGGTTTAGGTTGGTTTGTTTCGTATAAGTTGTTTGACTCTTCTATTTAGTCAATAGTATGGGTGGTACTCTTTCCTATACTTGGATTTTGTTTCTCTAGGAAGGTTTTAACGAGACCGCCGTTAATATGTTAGTTCTTACTATGTAATGTTCCTTTCGGTTGAAAGAAATACCATATTTCAATCTCAAAAAAAAAAAAAAAAAAAAAAAAAAAAAGAACAAGAGCAGTATAAAATGAGCAATAGAATAAATTATTTTTCATATTAAAGAAACGACTACATATATAATATATTGTTTATTAAATACATAGCTTTCTCCACAGGCAACGTCGCTAACAATTCGGCCAACGGGTCATCCATCATCGACCCACGCTATTGGTGCCCAAACCTTTTCGACCAAAAACACCCAAAATGGAGGCTGAAATTATAAAAAAACCCAACACTCAAAACACTTTATAAACACACCCAAAACCCATCATTACACACACTCAAAACCTATTTATAAACACAACCAAAAAATATACAATTGTTGATTTTATGGTTGATTTTGGGTGTGTTTCTATGTTTAAATAGTGTTTGAGTTTTTTTATAAATACATGTGTAGGATTGGGTTTATTTATAAATTTGTATAATTACTATACTACATCTCATGTCTTTATTGGCTCGCAAGGAATCATACTTTCATCACAAATCCTAATTTAATTTGGAGGCCACCAAGCTTTCTATATAAACGTCAAATGCCAGTAACATTTCATACCGTATACTCACTATCTGCTTCTGCTACAGTTCTACACCATACTCAAACCCTGATTTCTTGCTTGTCAATTTTTGTCTCGATCGAATTTGCAAGTTGATGGATCAACCGACAGGGATTCCTAGCAATTGATTTGAAAACCAGCCAAGCTTATATATATAAGTTGCTAACTTTTACAACCAAAACACAAAGTTGTTAGTTTCCAAAAAGTGCTCGATTGATCACTGTGAATCAAGAAGTGTGCGTATAGAAGATGACCATGTCGATTGAAGTTTTGTAAAGGGTGGTGGGTGACCCTCGTTTCAGACTTACTACAGAGCTTGAAGCCGTAACTGAACCCCAAACCGAGCTGCGATCCACCAAGTTCCTTCTGAACATGGAGGCTAGGGTTACACGCCTTCACCCCTGCTGGGATTTCGAGTTTGAGGACTTGTACAAGGACAACCACATTGACCATAAAAATTGCACCACCCTCGTCAGCCTTAAGCACGAAAAGCTCGAGATCAACCCCTTCGAGGCTGGCAACGCCTCAGACGAGGATTTGACGACTGCCATATCCGGCAAGCTATCTTGCCTAAGCGTGCCAGCCGCGATTCGTCAGTGGATGACAGATAAAATAATGAACGATGCCTCTTTCTATTTGTTGGTTACCAGCGGTGGTACCGGGCATAAGGTTTTGAATCTTTCGGTGTTCATCAATGTTCATGTTGTTGACACTTACGTGTGGAACGATGACATGGGGGAGGCCAGATTAGAATTCATGCCGTGGTCGAAAAAATTGTGGGTTGAGAATAAGTTGGAGAGGGTGAGAGAAGTACAAGTTTCGACTGTGTGTTCGATTTGTATGGAGGAGATTGTGGTTGGTTCGGAAGGGACTTGTATGCCATGTTCTCATCTTTTTCATGGAGCTTGCATTCTCAAGTGGCTGGACAAAAGCAGGTCTTTTCCATTGTGTCGATTTTCCATGCCTACTTTGATGCATGAAGAGAGAGGTGTGAAGAGATGATGGACGAAGTTTTTAGATATGATGCAAGCAAGTATGTAGCTCAAATTTTGTATTTTTTTAAAAAATATTGTAGCCAAGCCAATGAAGGTGAATTTAATTTTTTTGGTGAGATATTGATTAATCTGATTCTTGCAATTTCAACATAATGTACTTTTGATTAAAATAACTCTTTAACTTTCTTGTATTCTTCAATAAAAGCAAGAAAATTAGGACGCGGCTTTATTCTGTAGTTCAAAGCAAATATGTTGGGAGTTACGCTAATGAGGGGAAGCTTTATTAATTTTAGTGTTACAAATAATAACTAATAAATGGGTTGTGGTTAATAATTCAAAGGATTGCTGAAGACGGTTAAGTGATTAAGAACATTTATCCTTGCATTTGAGATTCTATGAGTGACACACAAAATACACATGTTACATATAACTCAAGAAGAGGAAAAGATCCACAGAAGAAAGCACATGTCATAATATGAGAAGCTACACCATCCAAATCAAGAAAAAAAGAAGAGGAGATATTTAGTTATATACTCTTTCTTACAACTTTGGGTTTCGACAACCTTGGTGGAATTGAAGGTGAGACGCCGAGTGGTGCGCCTGATGGGCCCGCAACAAATGTTATTGTTTGTCTTTTGTACTACGAGTAATAGCAAGGCAAAACTGAGATCCTGCCCAGAGTCAAAGAGTTGCTAGGCACACGCGATTTTCAACTAACTTTTCTTCGTAAAAAAAACAAATGTTTGTTCCATTATTGAATTACTATACTACCCTTTGACCAACGACCGCTCATCAATCCTAATGCAACATGGAATCCTACTTCGATCACAATTCCTAATTTAAATTGGAGACCCGCCTTAGCTCTCTGTATATAAACGTTACAAGACTTTCCAACAAGCCTCACAATTTTCTTCTGCTACAATTATTCTACACCATACTCAAACCCTAATTCCTGTCATCTTCAGTTCCTGCTTGTCAATTTTCGTCTCGATGGATCAACCGACGGAGAGGCGAAGCGAAGTCTCCTGCCGCTGCCGGTTATCTACATTAGCCGTGATTGAGCCTGAAACTGAGTTGCCATGTACCCAATTCTTGATCACTGTCAAGTCCACGACATTTACTTTTAATCACGCCTCGGATGAAGAAAACGACGCCGTTTCACCGCCCACTTCAGAATACTACTCGCACGAGCTCCAACTTGACCTACTGATGGACGAAAATGCGTCGAGGGCAACGCTCGCCGAGGCTCTGCTTTCCGAGCTGCATTGCCCGCCGGAGATCTGCGCAGCCATGGTGGATAAGGTAGCAAACGGCGCCGTTGCGGAAGAGGCTGGTTCCCGCCCTTTCTCGGACTTCATGGTCGTTCACATCGAGGCGTGCATCGATGTTTTCGTCGAGCAGTTCGGGGGCTCCGAGGAGGAGGAGGCGGCCGCCCCGAAATTCGTGCCGGCGAGCAGGGCGGCGATTTCGAAGTTGGAGACGGCGACGGTGGAAGAATCGGCGGTGTGCGCGGTTTGTCTGGAGGAGATGGCCGTTGGATCGGACTCCACGTGTATGCCGTGCTCGCATCTTTATCACCGGGGCTGCATTGTGGAGTGGCTGCAGAAGAGCAGGGTTTGCCCGATGTGTCGGTTTTCTCTGCCTGCCGATCTGTCGGGCCGTGGGTCGGGTCGGCAAACCGGATCTTCTATTTTGTTGCCCGATTAGACAACGGACACCGAAGTGTTTGTTGAAATGCCTCCGAGAGGATACGGCACCAAATATCACTTGCCCGATTGATATTCTTTATTTCTTTAATTTTTTTAGTCTGTGGATGGATGTAATTTGATGGTTCTTTTTTTATTATTATTAATGAATATGATTGTTCCTAATTTCCAATTAATTTGTTACTTTTTCCAACAACAAAAATTAATTTGTTACTTTCGACTGAAAGAATTGGATTTTGGGCACTGCTATCCGCACTAATGAAATTCAAGATTTGGGGCCAGCCCTTAATAAAAACTAATTGGGGAGTTTTATAATTTCCCCTTTAACTAGCTAGTTTTTTTTTTTTTTTTTTTTTTTTTTTGGTATTTATTTTTATACTATAAATAATATAAAATGGAATGGAATTAAATTGTTGAGCTAGCCTAAGTCTTAAACTTTTTTCACTTAAGAACTTGCCTTAAAAAAAAAAGCAATGAAATATATTGAAGCAAATCAAGATTATACTAAGGTCATTTACTAAGTATTGAATCGATACAAATATTTTATATCTACACTTTCCTATTATTTTATTTTTGTTAAAAATTTCTTTTATATATGTTTCCATAGAACATCCATTAATAGATTTTTCATTGATCTAGGGTCTTTGTGAGCGAAAAATGTACTACTTGAAAGCTATCCCAACGACACAAAGGTGCCAATGGCACCCATGATCGAATCCCAGTGAGATTTTCTTTCCTCCAATGTAACCAAAAAAACAAAAAACGAAAAACGAAAAACAAAGGTTTCATTTTTTATTTATTTAAAAGGGTTCACTTGATGGATAGTTGACTGAGTAGCCAAGGATGTAATAAACCATAATTTTAGGGTTGGTTTTGCAAGCTAGGTGGAGAGGATTTGAATGAAATTTCTACTAGGTAGGTTCTAGATAAATCTCCTTAAACTTTAACAAGTTAAAAAATCAGCTAAAAAATGAATATGACAAGATGAGTCAACCTTAAAAATCTCCAGCACTCATGAAATACTTTGGCACACAAATTTGAGCAATTAAAATAAAAATTTTCAATTTTTAGTTTTTTTTTTAATTCAAAGGAATAAACATATCATTGCCATAAAAAGTTACATATAAGTTCAATACAAAAATTATTAGAACAAAGAAAACAAGGGCTTAACCAAACAAAATAAAAGCCCAATACAAAATACAAATAATTTAGGCTCAAAACACAAAAATCCTAAAAACAAGCAGTCGTCGCCACTCGATCTTTGTGACAAGGAATTTGATAGTGCTTCAATCATAGTTGAGGTGAGTGCTTGATCACTCTGATTCACTCAATGAATTCAAAGTGAGATACTATTGAAGGCAAGTCGATTCAATTCAAGTCCTAACATGACACATTGATTACAAAGATAAAATGGATTGAACCATTGATATAATATGCGTGCACATGAGTTTGACGAGTGAAACTCATGTAGATCTCTTATATAGTGGCCAAGGGCTAAATTATGATACTCATAAGAACTACGTTACAATACTCCTATAATGGTGTCATCTAATTAATTAGCTCATCGATTCATCTTCTATTAAAGATCATCTTTAGAGACATATTCTACACTCTTGTTCTCGACTACAAATTAAATCCCTGATGATTGCGTACAACTCATCATTAATATCAATGGTGGAGTTTCCCATACATTTTTTTTTGTTCAATTAAAGTTCATTCAAACCCCAAAAGGGGAAGGAAAAACAACGAATACATGAGCCAAAAAGGCCAAGAACATAGTACAACAAGCACACAAAAGATTAAACTAAAACTAGTACAGTCTAGTATAATAAATCTTCCCCATCACAAAATCAAAACAAAATAAAAAAAACAAAGCCACATCGCCCCTAAGGGAACGGGGATTGCACCAAAATGGCCACAAAAGAGGAGATACACATCCTCCACACAGGTCAACACCGCTGCACTTAATTAGAGACCCACCGATCATCTGCCAAGGAGAAAAATTCCCGAAAACACAGAAAATACATCCATCCACACACCAATAGTCATCCAGGAGTCATCTTCTCCATCACACCCAAATTCGTCTCTGGACCCAAGATAAAACAACGACCATTCACACCAACATCATGGTATATACCCAAAGATCGACATAGCTAGCTAAAACTAGTGGTGCAAGCACCATATCTAGAACTGTAGCAAGAGCTCTATACACATTCCCAGAAAGACGGAAAAAAAAGCATATAGAGATAGTTTATATAACCCAATGGAGAGGCCAGATCTAGAATGAAGAGAAGGCAAGAAGAGGAGGGGATGTGGAGGAAGAAGTAAATCTAGTTATATAGGGTATTTGGCGAAGAATGGGGGACACAAAATCAGTCTGAGACATTAAATCTCAGAACCAAGCCCAAGGCTCAAGCAGTCACCATAGGAGGAGAAGCAATCAAACTCTCAAAGATAGCCATAGGCAGAGCCAAAACAGGCTCAAACCGAAGGTAAGACCAGTCCCACCAAAAGAAGCCAAGGTAGGGAAGATAGGGAGGTAGCAGCATGAAAGAGAAGAGGAGGGGAGGAGGGACATACCTCCTCCTCCCCAAATGAGGCAGTACCAGTGCGATGTTTTTCTGTGAAGTGCAGCTAGACATCTTGACAGAGAGAAAGAGGGAATGAGAGAGTTTTAACGGCTAAACAAGGCAGAATAGAGGCAACAAAGCAAAACATACGAGAGAAGTGCACAAGTCTAATGAGAGAAATGCTCTAGATTTTTTTTTTACACAAACGATATTTTACTTTAATTTAATCTAAACTACGGGAATGAGGATTTAAACTCGGGTGCAGAGTGAGGAGCGCACATGTGCTCTAGCCACTTTGGCTATGCTCATCTCTGCAAAAACGGTCTAGATTTATACAGAAGAAAATGTGTCCTTTCATTATTATTTTTTGTATAAAATACAAGCTTCCTTAAATTCATTTATATATCATTAAAAAGGTGTTAGAGCAAATTAAAGGAAAGTGAAAACAATATTAGTTATATTTTCAAATTACATATCTTTTTTTATCAACAATTGTTTTCATCGTCCCAAATCAAATTAGCATAAGGTTTGCTTTGTACACCATATTTACTATTTTATTCTCACTAGACTTCCAAATTAGTTCATCCAACAACCTCCAACTGGGTCCACACAATAAAGCACAACAAAGGAGAGAAGACATCCAATGCATATGGTCTAGAAAAAGGAGAAATGTTCTAGAATTATAGGAAAGAAACTGTGTCCATATAAAACTAGGGATGTACATGAACAAGAAGGTGACTGAATATAGACCTAAATGAGAGCTTTCAATTTGTTGTCATATTAAGAAAATATTGTAGCAATTTAAAGGAAAGTGAAAATAATATCTGAGTTGGATTTTCAAATTACATATTTATATGGAATAATCGCTTTTAAGGTAGCAAATCCTATTATTATAATGTTTCTTTGCACGCTATATTTACTATTTATTCTCACCGGACTTCCAAATTAGTTCATCCAACAACCTCCAAATGAATTCGCACCTACAAAACTTTGAAATTATCAAAATGTCTTGCATGAAGAGTTTAGTGCTCTTAATGTGTGATTTGGCATTTAAATCCTCACAACTCACTGCATAGTTACCTTTCCTTTTATTTTTATTTTTTACAAGCGATAATCTACTTTAAATTAATCTAAACTACAAGAAGGGGGATTCGAACTCGGGTGCAGAGTGGAGAGCATATCCGCTCTAGCCAACTTGTCTAAGTCCATGTCTACCCTTTCTTTTTATGTTAATTAATGTAAAGTAATTTGAACTATTGGTGGGCTGGTCCTTTGCCCTCATGGTGTACAGTTGTAAATTTAGTAGCCTCTACCAACTTTGTAAGGTCCTTGTGGTTTCAATTTGGTCACTTTTGCCCTTGTGGTTTTAATTTGAAGTAATTTAAGGACAATCCTCAATTTGGGTTATTATTATTATTATTTTTAAAACTTATGTTTGTTTTAATTTGAAACAATATAAATTTATATTGTTTGGTGATTTGGTTTTTTAAAAATTGGTGTTGTTTATTTCCAATCGCCATAAGAGAATGAATTTATAAATTTATGTTGTTTATTTCCAAAATGAATGAATTTTTTAATAATTGGTGAAACGTTCTCTTAGTTTCGTGGAATTGATTTGAGGCCTACTCTAGTTTCATGAGTTTCAGGGTTTAGACTTTCATTTATTCTTTGAGGCCTACTCTGTGTTTTGTGAAATTGATTTGAGAACTTGCCTTGCAACTCTAGATAAATTTATATATTACAATTCCCATATGTATTTGGGAATGATTCATGACTTATCTTGTCTAGAATTAATGGTAGCGGTGAATAATAAATGTTCTGTCCCTCACCAATTTTAAACCTATAAGAGCATCCACAATGATGCTCTCTATTTCTTAGCTAAAATTTAGCTAAAAATATAAGAAAGCTATTTTAGGAGCTCTTTAAAAAATTTCAACTCCAATCATACTCTCTAATTTGGAGAGTTATAAATGCTATAACTCTTTTTTTGATTGGTCCATCTCTATTAAAAAATAAAATAAAAAATAATTAGCATTAAATAAAGGTTTGAAATACTCATTAAATAAAGTAGAATTAAATTATAGGGAGTCACTAGGAGTCCTTTCTCTCTCCTCAGATTTAGGAGCTCCTAGAGGACTCCCTATTTTAGGAGGTGGATAGGGAGCGTGGTTGGGGTTGTATTTTTATGATTCCTCCCTAAAATTTGTCTAAGGAGGTGGTTTAGGGAGCCCATTGTGGATGCTCTAAGTTTAGGGTCCAGTTGATAATCATTTGAGTTTTCACTAGTTTTCATTTTTCATTTCATTTTTTAAAAATTGAAAATTGAAAACGTATTTGGTAAATTAGAGATGGAGGCTGAGGCTACTAGAGAAGCTTTGCGTACTTGCATCAAAACTCGAATGCTGTGTGTAGAAGTTGAGTCTGACTCGGTGCATAATATGTAAATGCTTAGAGGAGAATGACAGGTAGAAGTAGCAATGGAGGCCATTGTTTTTGATATCCAGATGCCTGCTGGCCAATTGCAGCAGGTAGTTTTTAAAGATACTCTAGGCCAATGTGATAAGGCAGCGCACCAGGTTGCTGTCTTTGTGTCTAAAGTAGGAGGTAACCATGTATGAGATCAAGTGTGGCTTGAGTGGATTTTCGATATTCTTGCTAGTTATGTAAACCATTTCCATTTGACTTTAATACACCTCTCTTTCGTTTTTGGTAAATTATTTGAAGTGATATAAGGTAGAAAATGGCAACTCTGCCAAGGTTTGTGGTGCTGAGATCTCGCAGCAACCACAAACACCTGCACTACAGACATGATGAAGATGAAAAGAAGGTGCCATTAGCAGGGTTTCTCAAATTCTCAGAAGAGGACATTGGCAGCGATTACTCAAAGTTCGAGCTGGAGAGAGCAAAGAGCAGCTAGAATGAGGGCCTCCTACACATCAGATGTTGTTACAATAACAAATACCGGGTAAGGCTGCAGGGCACGGACAAGTTCCATAAGAGCATTTCCACCAGTTAGCCCTTTGCCATGACAAGAGGAGCCCTAGGGCAGCTACTATTCATGTGAATAGTGGCTGCCCTAGCCCCCCCAGCAAAGTGTGTTTCCAGCAGTTTAGGCTTGCCATGGCAAATACTATTCATGTTTTTGTTTTTTTCACAACTTTGTTTACTTAAACAATTAATTTAGATAATATTTTCGGATAAGATTTTTCGGTTCTTACGTGTCAATACTATTCATATCGGATAAGATTTTCGGTTTCAAATTTCAGATAAATTTCAGATACATTTCAAAATTCAAATTTAAGATAAATTCAAAATGTCAAATTTCAGATACATTTCGAAATTCAAATTCCAGATAAATTTCAAATTTCAAATTTCATGTGAATTTCAAATTTCAGATAAGATTTTCACCCTCTAAAATTGCGCCACGTGTTATCCCTATATGCCTAAATTTTTCTATAAAACCAGAGGCTCAGCTCATACCTCCCACACCATATCCTCTCTGCATCTTCATTTCTCATATTTTAGATTTCATTTCTTAGATTTTAGATTTCATTCTCCATTCTCAATGTCAGACATGGAAGAGGTTTTGGAGAGGCAAGAGCGAGAAAGGTAAGCAAGAATGCGTAGAAGAGCTGCCAGCAAAAGGCGCAGAGAGAACTAGATGAGCAACTTGGTGTGGCTGTTGCTTTGCTGGAGGAAGAAAACCAGAGCCGTCGTGGTTCACGAGAAGGCCGGGCATCGAATGTGGACAGACATAGACATTCTCGGGGTAAAAATCTTATGGAAGATTATTGTATCCCACAATCTCTGTACTCTGATGTTCATTTTCGAGCAAGATATAGAATGCAACCCCATTTGTTCAATAAAGTCATGCATGATATTTGCAATTATGATGACTACTTTGTTCAAAAGAAAAATTGTGCTGGAGATTTGGGGCTGCTTCCTGAGCAAAAGTTCACAGTTGTGATACGAATGTTGGCGTATGGGTCATCTGCTGATCAGGTGGATGAGATTGCCCGGATGGGGAAGTCCACTATTTTGGAGAGCTTGGTGCGATTTTGTGATGCAGTGGAAAATCTGTACACCAGGGACTACCTGCGCAGACCTACGCTCAGGGACCTGCAACGGCTTCTACAAAAAGCTGAGTCTCGTGGATTTCCTGGAATGATTGGTAGCATTGACTGCATGCACTGGTAATAGAAAAATTATCCAGCTGCTTGGTAAGGGGATTATGGGAATCGGAAAGGGCAGAAAAGCATCATCCTTGAAGTAGTTGCTGGTTTTGATACATGGGTTTGACACGCCTTCTTTGGAGTTGCCGGCTCTCAAAATGATTTGAACGTCCTGAGTCAATCCTTGGTGTTCAATGACATTTTGAGAGGTGAAGGCCCAAATATCACATATCAAGTCAATAATACCGTATATCAGAACGGGTATTATCTAGCTGATGGTATCTACCCGAGGTGGACAACATTTGTGAAATCAATTCCACATCCTCGATCACAGAAGGAAAATTTTTTTGCTGCCTATCAAGAGGGGTACAGAAAAGATGTGGAGATGAGCTTTGGTATCCTTCAAGCTCGGTGAGCTATTATCAGGGGCGCGACACGTCTATTTGACGAGGAGATGCTTAGAAGTATAATGATGACCTGTATCATCCTCCACAACATGATTGTGGAAGATGAGTATGATTACAATGTTGATGAAGTGTATGAACCAGATCCCATGAACACGGCCTTAACACGAATTTATGAAAAACCTATGGGGCCAAATGGAGAACCTGTGCAGCATGATCTGTTGGTTAGAGACGGTACTTTCATACATCGTATGATTGAGCGCTACACGGAGATGCAATCGTCGTATATTCATGAACACCGTCAAGTTGACCTGATGGAGCATTTGTGGATGGTGAAAGGCAATGAAGGTCAATGAAGTGAAGTGAAGATGTTTTTTTAGTGCATTATGTTTATGTTGTATTTTTAGTTATGCTTTGTTGTTTTTTTTATGCTTTTGTTGTGGTTTGTTTATTTTTTATGCTTTTGTTGTGGTTTGCTTTTTATGTATGGAATGTTTTGAATAAAAAGGAATTTTGTTGAATATTTTCTTCATTCACTACAAGAAAATCAATACAACTCATAAAATAAAATACATGAATTACCACTAATTTTTTCAATCTTTTCTTGGCGTGCATACTCCCTTTCTTGGCGTGCATACCCTTTGTTGGCGTACATACTCCCTTTCTTTTGCATTTTCTACATCAATTGCCATATCATGCTCTTGTTGTTTCATGTCCATTTCAATTCTCATGGCTTGCATCTTTGAAAGTTCCTCCAAAAATTTAGATGCATTCTTGGTAGAATTACTCCATCTCTTCGCCTTCGCCGCCTTCCTCCCAATAGGCCTAGGCTCCTTTTTGATAGGTGAGTCTTGACTCATCGAGGAATCCATAGGTGAATCCGATGCCGGTATCTCATGGAGTGGCGTCTCGTTCAAGACTACCGTCGGACCTGTTGGAATAATTTGGAATTTCTTACAATTCTTCACCACCTCCCAACAATGGGTATGGTTGAAACTTTTTTTTCTTTGCCCAGTAGCACCAAAAAACATTTGTGCTTGTATAGTATATAAAAAAAAATGGAAATGCAAGAAACTTTAAAAATTATTGGCAATGCAACAAGTATAAAAAAATAATAATGGAAATACAAGAAACTTTAACAATTTATTAGAAATGCAAAACAAAATTTAAATATTGCAACAAACATTCATATTAATATTGGAAATACAAGAAATATTAACAAAATATATAAATTGCAAGAAATATTTAAATAAACTTTAATATGACATAGAAATTAATAAAACAAAAATTACAAATAATTTACCTCACTGGTAAGGTTTTCCCCGCTTCTATGGTTGTCCATCGCCTTTGCCAAGGCATCCCTCCATTTCGCCAACTCTTTGTTAAGAATTTTCCACATACTAGATAGTGCCTGATCTGTACGGGTCGAATCAATTACCCTTTCACAAAAATCCTGATGAATTTTTTTCCACATATGACAGAATTTCATCTCATTGCCCGTTACGGGACAATGACTAATGTGGAGCCAAGACTCACACAAGCTAACATCTTCCATGACGCTCCATGCCCCTCCAGTTTTACTAGAAGAACCCATAAATTTTTCTAGAAAAATACAACTTCAAAGTGAAAAAAATATTGACTAAAAAGTGAATAATGGTAGAAGGAGAAGAAAATGTATGAAGAGTTGGTGTTAAAAGTGAAGAGTATTGGTTGGTATTTATAGGAAGAAAAAATCAGTATTTTTTTTTAAATTTTGATTTTTTTTTTCATGTTTTTTTTGGGGAGAATATTGGTTGCTGTTGGATTGCTAGAAGAAATGAATCGGAGCGCCCAGATCATCGCCACGTGGAAGAGAGCCGTTGGTGGGAGTTTCGATTTTTTTTTTCATTTTTTTATTCGCGAAAAATGGCTGCCGTTGGATTTGGAATAAAGTGGATCGGATAGCTGCTGGGAGCGCCACGTGGAATAGACTCGTTGGGAGGTCACTGTAGCGGGTGCGTCAACATTAAAAAAAATTAAACAGCAATGCTGACGTCGTCGTGACGTCAGTGCGCTGACGTAAGCCCAAAACGAGTTTTCCTCCTCGGGCCGAACCTCCCCAAGGGCTAGCCCAGGTCGCTGGGGCCCACACCTTGCCCTGGTAGATTTTTGTTGCTGGAAACACCATTTTGTGCTTGCCCCACCCCAGGCCTCCCCCAAGGTCCCTTGCTGGAAATGCTTTAAGGAGGGTTTGATTGTTACTGGGCCAGACGAACCAAAGGAAGACCGATCCAAAACCACATGCACTTTGTTTGAGCCCATCTACGAACTTCTCGAATCATACTATGAGGGAGATTCCTCATCTTTTAGTTTGGATAATAAAATTTTATCTCTCTAGTTTCGCATGTCCAGCTTGGAAGCTACGCAAGCCTTTGCCTGAAAAATAATGCCTGCAAGGAAGGTGTAGAAAATGATTTCCTTGATTTAAATCTGTTGTAGTATGTACAGCCATATAGGAGATTTGTATGACTGTTACAAGAAGTAATAAATAGCGATAATTACAAAGAATCAAAACTGATCTTCAGTTACACAATCAGTTTTGATTGAGAAGAGGAAATCTCTCTAACACCCTCCCTCAAACTTGGCGGGCCTGCATGAACAAGTTTACGAGTAAGAAGAACATGACGATGCTTGTGAAGAGGCTTGGTGAGAAGATCTGCAGGCTGATCTATTGAAGGGATAAAGCAAACACGATGGCTCCCAAGTGCGACTTTCTCATGAACAAAGTGGTAATCAAGTTCAATATGTTTAGTGCGGGCATGGAACACTGGATTAGAAGCCATGTAGTAGCATTGAGGTTGTCACAATGCATGAGAATGGGAAACTAAATGCGAGCACCAAGTTCATAAAGCAAGTAAGCCAACCAAGTAGACTCTGCACTAGCATGGGAAAGGGAGCGATACTCAGACTCAGCACTGGAATGAGCAACGGTAAGTTGCTTTTTAGAGCACTAAGAGACCAGGTTGGTGCCAAGATAAACAAGATAACCTGACGTTGAACGACAAGAGTCTGGACAGCAAGCCCAATCAGCATCAGCATAGGTAGCAAGATAAGTAGGATGATGTTGAGTGAGCCTTTGATGTAGCGAAGGATGCGCTTGGCAGCAATCAAATGAGGTGTGCGTGGCTGACTCTTGAACTGAGTGATAGAATTAACAGTAAAGGTAATGTCAAGACGAGTGATTGTCAAATACTGCAAGGAGCCAACAATTTCCCGAAAGACCAATGGATTCGAAAGGAGGTCACCATCATTAGAAGTGAGAATAGCCTTTGCTGACATTGGAGTACTAATTGGTTTACTAAGCAGCATATCATGCTTCAGAAGGAGATCATACGCATACTTGAGTTGACTGATATGAACACCTTTATTTTGAGATGTAACCTGTAAACCAAGAAAGTAGTGTAGATTTCCAAGATCTTTGATGTCAAAGCCCCGACCTAATGCATCAATAAAACTTTGTAAAAGTCTATCATCATTACTTGTGATTACAATATCATCAACATAGAGGAGAAAATAAATTGTATGACTCCCGAATTGGTGAACGAACAGAGATGAATCAGCCAAACTTTGAACAAAGCCAACTGATAGTAAGAAGCATGTCATACGGTGAAACCACACACGTGGAGCGTGCTTGAGGCCGTAGATGGCCTTGTTGAGCTTGCAAACATGAGATGGCCGCGATAGTTCAATGAATCCCTGTGGTTGAGTCATATACACATCTTCTTTAAGAAAGCCATGAAGGAATGCGTTCTTTATGTCCAATTGACAAAGTGACCAGCCTCGAGATACAACAAGAGAAAGCACAACACGAATAGTTGTAGGTTTAATCACAGAGCTAAAGGTATCAGTGTAGTCTATACCTTGTTGTTGATGAAATCCTTTAGCCACAAGTCGCGCTTTGTGACGTTCAATAATGCCATATGAATTGTGCTTTACTCGGAACACCCATTTGCAGCCAACAAGATTTTGAGATGAAGATGGGGGAATCAATGTCCAAGTATTGTTTTTCAGCAAAGGATTGATTTCATCAGCCATTGCAGCACGCCATATCTCATGTTTAGAAGCTTGAGTGTAGCATGTAGGCTATGTAGTTTCAATGACAGTGAGGAGAGCACGAGGAATTGGATATTTGACAGTGTCATTCGTGCGAATTTTGGGCTGCAGAATACCGTGTTGTAGTCGTGTCCTCATGGGTGGAGAGGGTGGCGGTGCAGGAAGGGACTGAGGATCGGTTGGTGAAGTTGGGGATGGCATCAGAGGATTAGTGATAGGCGGAGACTCACCAGAGACTAGTTGTGGAACAGTTGCAGCAGGGGCAGATGGCTGGAGAGAGGTGGATGCAAGCAGTGAAGAATCTGGATGTAATGAACGGCGACACTGATAGGTGAGGATGGGGACAGTGGTGGAAGCTGGAGACTGGGACGGAGTCGACGGCGCTGAAATTGGGAATTCAATACCTACTTCACGCGGCTCTGGTTGAGATACATGATGAGATTGTACGGCAGTACAAGTAGAGGTGTCATTCTCAGCAGGCGGGTTTGGGCCAGAAATAGTGGGCAATGGAAGATTGAGTCATGGGCTGGACAAGAGTGTGAACTCCAATGAGCTAGCTTCTGGAACTAAATGTGCGTGCAACTGTTTGTAAGGAAAAATTGTTTCGTTAAAGATAACATGCCTAGAGATATAGACACGACTAGTGGTAGGATCTAGACAACGATAACCTTTGTGTTGAGAACTGTAATTGAGAAAGACACACTCAATGCTACGACTTGAAAGTTTATCAGAGACATAAGACCCAAGATGAGGAAAACAAGAACAACAAAAAACGCGAAGAGAGGAATAGGAAGGCAGACTGCCATAAAGACGAGTATGTGGATTATCCCAATTAAGAATGGGTGTGGGAAGAAGATTAATAAGATAAACAGAGGTTAAAACAGCTTCGACCCAAAGATTATGTGAAGCACCAGAAGTGAGAAGGAGACTCCGAGTCATTGTGGCAATATGGCGATGCTTGGCGAGGCCATTTTGTTGTGGTGTATAGGGGCAAGAAAATCTCTGTTGAATTCCCAAGGATTTACAATAATGAGAAAATGCATTATTGACATATTCAGTCCCATTGTCACTTTGAAGAAATTTAATGGTTTGGTGAAAGATATTTTGAATCACGGCAACTAAAGTTTGAAAATGAGTTAGGACTTTATTTTTGCTACGCATGGGATAAATCCAAGTGTAGCGTGAGAATTCATCAGTAAATAGAACATAATATTTAAAACCACTAACAGAAATAGTAGATGAGGACCAAACATCACTATGAATAATGTGAAAATGAGTACTAGTAGTCTCTTTATTGGAATTAAAAGGTAATTGGTGAGACTTGCTAAGTGCACAGTCTCGATAAAAAGAACGAAAAGACAATTTGGAATTGATTGTAGGACCTAGACGTGCTAAGACATTTGACGACGGATGACCCAAACGATTGTGCCAGATGGAGGAGTGAACGGAAGCAAGGGCTTGTGGAGGAGTGGAGACGCTGGACAGAGTGAGCGGATATAGACCATCTTTACAAGGGCCCTGAAACAATAGACGACTAGTACGTAAGCAATAGATTTGATGGAAGTCAGGTGCAAAAAGAAAGAAAACAAGATTTGCTTTAGTGAAACGAGCAACATATAGAAGATTTTTACGAATGGATGGAATACGAAAGACATTTTGTAAAGTGAAGTTGGAAGAGCCTAATGAAATGGGAAGGTTACCAGTATAGGAAACGGGCCTTGAGTCTCCATTACCTATATATACATTATGCGGCCCACCATAAGGTTGAGGATTATTGATGGGCATGGATGTCATGTGATGGGTTGCACCTACGTCTAGGTACCAATTTGGATCAGCAGCATAATATACTCCAGCAAATGGAGCAGCAGTATTTGGGCCGGAAAATCTATGTGGACATTGAGAAAGGCCATGTTGACCTGAGTGACAATTAGGACACCATTGGGGTGCTGGGCCAAGAAGACCATTTGGTGGGGGACGAGCAGCCCAAGCAAGTGAAGCAAAAGGCCCAAATGAAGGCACATGTTGCTGTTGCATAGGAAAAGGAGACGCAACATGTGATTGTGGAGTGGCTTGCTGCTGGGAATGACGGCCACGTATAAAGCGGCTATTGTTGGGATGACCACCGGTGGGAAAGGAGCGGTTATCACGATGGGCAGAGGAGGCTTTACTGTGATTGAAGAGAGCAGTAGCCGCAGTGGAAGTAGCAGGACGAGATTGTTGGGCATCAAAGGAGAGAATTCGAGCCCGAAGTTCAGAGAAATCAGGGAGCGGAGGATTTTGAGTGAGGGCAGTGTGAAGCATGATGTAATCAGGGCCAAGACCATGAAGGATGACTCACAACATCTGCATCATTGTGTGAAGCTGACATGATAGCCACCGATTGGGACTTTTTGGCCACGACACTTCCCAGATACATGGCTTTCAAGGGTTGCAATGGCAAATACCTCAGCGCCCAAATGATCAACAGATGCCCGTATCTGTTGTTCAAATCTGATGACTTGGGAGATCTGATAGTAGGGAACCATCTCTCAGCCAAACCAGAAAGAATCCTCCACATAATATCCATTTCCTTGTTCGAAAAATGGAGGCTTACCAAGGATGACTGGATCTGCTCAGACTCAAATAACTTCTCCCTCGATGACTCTTACACATTTTTTTGGCCACTCAAAGTCGAGGACAATCTCATTGCTCTCTACAGCATGTGTAACAAAAATTTCTGCAGGCCGATTACTGCCGGCGATGATATTACAAGCGGTCTCATGGCTGACGTCCCCACTATCCACGCTGTAAAGCCGTTGAGATATTTTTCGTCTTGTTAGGCAGTGTAGGAAAACTGTTAGTATTGATAAGAGAAGGTTAGAGAGGTTAGAAACACATGAACAAGGCCTTTACTCACCTAATATAAAGACTGTAATTGTGCTCAGTTGAGTTTAATAAGAAATACAACAAGTCTCTTCTCTATCTTTGAAATTCTCTCTACTCTATCTCAATTCAGTCTTCCTATCTTAACATGGTATCATTCGCCATAGATCGATCCTGATATTCTGTTCTTCTGCTTCCGCACTCTCTTCCTCTTTGTTTTCTTTATCTGGCTTCTTTCTCTACTCAAACACAGCAACCAATTTCATGTTCTTTGCTCTACCTATTACCTGTTTGATCTTTTGTCTCCCTAAAACTTCTTTTTCAATATTCCTTTTTCTGAAAATTTCTTCTTTCTCAACCCTAAATTCTTCTCTTTTCTTCTTGAATTCTCCACATGGTGACTACTACTGAGCTTCAAATTGTTCAATCTCCCATTACCACTTTGATTCCCGTTGTTTTTACTTTTGTGACAGTCATTATCTGGTCTAAGAACTCATCAAGCTCCACCTAATTCTAGCCCTGGCAGTATTGTTCCTGACACTGACATTCCCACATGTCAAATTTGCAACAAGAAAGGCCATGTAGCTGCTAATTGTTATCAAAGGCATAATCAACCCTCTGCTCCTACCTCATAAGCTCAATGCTAAATTTGCTGGAAGTAAAGGCATCCTACCATTTAGTGTTACCACAGAGGCAATTTCTCCTATCAAGGCAGACCTCCTTCAACCAATCTTACTGCAATGCATGCCAACTTCCTATCTTCTTCATCTCATGAGCAATTTTAGGTAGCAGATAATAGAGCTATGACTCATATGACTTTCGATTCGTCTCAGCTTAGTTTAGCTACTCCTTTCTTAGGAAATGATACTATCACTACTTCAGGGGGTTCAGGTTTGAGCATTTCTAATGTTGGTTCTTCTACTTTGGTTGCTCCACAGTATTCTTTACAATTAAAGCAAGTTTTACATGTGCCAAAGCTTTCTCAGCATTTTCTTTCCATTCATAGGCTATGTAAAGATAACAATTGAAGATTTATATGTGCTGCCTTTGGTTTTTGGATTCAAGACAAGATCACGGGAAGTGTTCTTCTCAAGGGATTGTGTAGAGCTTGCTTGTACCCTATTCCTTTCTTCACTTCTCCACCCAATCACCATCAGACATCTTCTTTCCACAAGAATCATTTTTGCTACCTTAGACATCACGTCAACACAAGTCTCTGACACAAACGATTAGGTCTTCCCTCAAATAAAATCACTTCAGCTCTTTTACATCAATCATAGGTTTCTTTTTCTTTCAACAATACCAAATCTGTCTATACTACTTGTTTACAAGGCAAACTTGCCAAGCTTCCCTTTCCTTATCCAGCAGTTCATAGTGATGCATGGGGTCCTTCTCCCATATTATCTATTGAGGGTTACAAATATTATGTTAGCTTTATGGATGAATGTACTCGATTTACTTGGATTTTTCCAATGATCAATAAAGGAGAAGTTTATTCTATTTCTGTCCATTTTCATGCATTCTTAGTTACTCAATTCTCTACTACTCTTAAAAAATTTCAAAGTGATGGGGATGGTGAGTACCTTAGTACTAAATTCAAACTTTATCTTCTTGCCAAGGGTATAGTTCATAAAAAATCATATCCATATACACCTGAGCAAAATGGTCTTGCTGAAAGAAAACACAGACACATTTTAGAGACTGCAATCACTTTGTTACAAACTGCACATCTACCTTCTAAATTTTGGTTTCATGCTTGTGCAACTTCAACTTACTTGATCAATCGAATGCCCTATCAAATTCTTCATTTCAAATCTTCTTATCTTTTATTGTTTGGTTCCAAACCAGTCATTACTCACTTGAAGATTTTTGGTTGTGCTTGTTTTCCTCTACTCAAGCACTCCAATTCTCAAAAACTTCAGCCCAAAACTTCTACTTGTATTTTTCTAGGCTATGCATGCCAATATAAGGGGTATATATGTTTTGTACCCTAAACAAACAAGTTGTTTGTGACTAGAAATGTCATATTTGATGAAACTATGTTTCCTTACACATCTGTATCTCATCCCCATGTTCCCTCTTCTTCTCCCACAACCTCTAGAGCCACAGACTCTTTGAATACACTACCTCCTAGTGCTTCAAAATGTTTGATCTCCTCTTCACAAAATCTGCCGGTTTAAGCATCTACTACACAGTCTCCTCTCCCTGTGGATCCTAATTTTCAACCTGAGAATCTTCGTGTTATATTACCACTTCCAGCCATCTTCACCTTATGACAACCATGTCTAAGAGTGGTATTTCCAAAAGCAAGGCTTATTCTGCTTCTGTATAGTCAATTGATTTATCTCAAATTGAACCTAGTTCTTTCAAGGCTGCTTATACAGTTCTAGAATGGCAGTCTTCAATAAGGGAGGAAATTGAGGCTCTTCATGCTCAAGGTACCTGGGATTTGTTTCTTCTCCCAACTCATAAAAATATTGTTGGTTGTAAGTGGGTATATAGAATCAAGAAACAAGCAGATAGTTCTATCGCTCGGCATAAGGTTCGTTTGGTTGCTAAGGGATTTAGTCAAGAGGAAGGTATCGACTATAGTGAACCTTCAGCCCTGTAGTAAAACCAACCACTGTTCAATTAGTCCTTGCTCTTGCAACTCAGTTCAACTGGTCCTTACGACAACTCGATGTAAAAAAATGCATTTTTGCATGGTACCCTTCAAGAGGAGGTTTACATGACTCAACCCCAAGGCTTTTAGAGCAAGCATCATCCCTTTGAATTTGTTTGCAGACTAAGGAAATCTTTATATAGTTTAAAATAGGCTCCTTGTGCTTGTTTTTTTTTTTTTTTTTTTTTAAAAGTTTGTTGGGTTCAACTGCAGATCCCTCTTTGTTTGTTCAACATTCTTCTCTTGGCATTGTGGTCTTACTCCTATATATTGATGATATCATCCTCATAGGCAATGATTCCTTTCTTATTGCATCTGTTATTGCAGCTTTGACCCAAGAATTTGATATGAAGGACTTAGGCCAGTTGAATTATTTTCTAGGGCTGCAAATTTCATATCAGTCCACAGGTTTATTTGTGTCTTAGACTAAATATATCAAGGAATTACTTGATAAAGTTGATGTGCAAGATTCAAAACCATATGCCACTCCTTGTCTTCCCTATCACAAATTACTTAAAGATGATGGGAAGCCTTATTCTCATCCAGCACAATATAGGAGCATTGTTGGAGCTCTGCAGTACCTCATCTTCACAAGGCCAGACATTGCCTTCTTAGTGAATCAAGCTTGTCAATTCATGCATAATCCCATGGAATCTCATGTTATGGCGGTTAAGAGAATCTTGAGGTTTTTGAAAGGCACCATTGATTTTGGAATTCATTTTCAACCCGGTCTTCTTAATATGCAGACTTACAGTGATGCTAACTAGGTTGGGGATCCTAATGATCGACGGTCTGTCTCGGGGTGTAGAGTTTAGTTAGGCTCTAGTCCTATTTCTTGGGCTTCTAAGAAACAACATACCGTCTCCCGTTCATCCACTGAGGCAGAATATAGGGCCCTTGCTATTGTCACTGCTAAGCTTGCCTGGATTAGACAATTGTTCTATGATTATCATGTGTCTTTACATATTCCTCCGTTAATTCATTGTGACAATATATCTGTCATTTCTTTTTCTTCTAATCCAGTATTCCATTCAAGAATGAAACATCTGGAAATAGATTACCACTTTGTCAGAGAGAAAGTTATCCGAGGTGATTTGCTTGTTCAACATGTATCTTCTGCAGACCAGTTTGTTGACATTCTCACTAAGGGTCTTTCTACCCATCTGTTCCAGCAACATTGTTCCAATCTTATGCTTGGCTCCTCTAAGCATGCGATTGAGGGGGAATGTAAAGATATCAATGGTCCTAGTGCTGCCACATGTCAGAAGATTAAAGAGTAAAGATGTTGAGATATTGTTAGTCTTGTTAGGCAGTTTAGGAAAACTGTTAGTATTGATAAGAGAAGGTTAGAGAAGTTAGAGAGGTTAGAAACACATGAACAAGGCTTTAACTCAGCTGATATAAAGACTGTAATTGTGCTCAGTTGAGTTTAATAAGAAATACAACAAGTCTCTTCTCTATCTCTGAAATTCTCTATGCTTTATTTCCTTTCTCTCTGCTCTATCTCAGTTTAGTCTTCCTATCTTAACACATGCGAGGGTCTATAATAAAAGGTTGTTGAAATGGCCATTAGAGAGGCCATTAACCATGTTGAAGAATCTCACGCCATAGAGGTGAAGCTCTTGTATACAAAAACTAGGAGCAGTAGTTGGAATTCTATCTTTTTGTCAAAGTTGAAGTTAGGCGTCAAGAGTAGCATTGACGCCTAGCTTCCGGTGATCGCAGACAACGGAAAGATGGAGATTGAATTTGCAGGAATAGTGCAGCGGGGAAGAAATGAGTTGACTATGGTCACAGATAGTGTAAATGAGGCTGTGTGTAAGGTTGTTGTGTCGGCAATGACTACAGTTAAGGTGAGGCTTCTGGCGACGAAGGCTTGGTGCAATGTTCCCTTCTCCTACTCCTAGAGCGACACCTTTACTACCAGAGAAACAATAACTAGCGACAAGGATGATGGTGTTTACACCGGCATTAATACCTTTGACTTCAACTTCGACACTAGAAAAGAAAGGCTTTAGCTATCCTGCAGGCAGTCATCCAATGATAATGTTGCATATTAACTAGTGATATCCTTTTCTATACAAGAAGTCGGTATATAGCATCGAGTTTAAGGTTAAATATTGTTTATCATTTTTTATAAGTCAGTTTCTATTGGTATTTCTTACTTTTATTGCTTAGTCTTAGGCTTAGTTTAGTATTGCTGTGTTGTGAGAATAAACAACTGTGAAGTGAAGCAGCTACGTGTTTGGTAATCTATATTTGTAAAAGTGTTGTGAATATAAAAAGCAGTGTCATGGTGTTTGGTAAACTTTTTATAGAAGTGTTGTGATTGTATATAATGACCAAAAGGGTATGACAAAAAAATGTTATTGATTTATGTTTTTTTTTTCAAAAGATAAAACTTTCAATACATCTTTTTTCTTTAATTTTTCTCTCCCTTTTCTCGACCATTCTTCTCCTTTCTTTCTCTTTTTGACAGAGACCATTCTTCTCCCTTGTCTTGGTCTCCCTTCTCTGCAAGTCTTTTTTTTTATTTTGATTTATTTTATCGAAAGTGTAAGCTTTTCCATCTCACACCTTTCTATCTTTTCTATCTTTCTCTCCATCCATGCATCTCTTAAATTTCATCAAGATCTAGGGGCTTGGGATGTTGGCAACCTTGAGTTGGTATTTGGGTTTGGCGATGACGCTTGGGACGGCGATGCTACATCCCCACCTCTCTCTCTTTGCTTTATGGATGTGAGTAGTGGGATTGTAATATTGGGTTGTGTTTTGGTGGGAAAGGCAAGGAAGTTGGGGGTTTGGTTTTCTTTTGCTAGAGGAGATAACTGGTGGCTAATCTGAGTGTTGAATTTTTTGTGGCTGTGGAGCTAAGGTTGGGCTTTTTTGGTTGAAGGGAGAAGATATTCTGGGTCTGTAAAATAGGGAGGTGGGTTGGTGGGGTTTTGGGTTGAGATGGTTTCTTTGATGGATTGAGGAAGTGGAGCAAGTTGCAGAGAGATGATGAGGCGAGCAATCCAAAAAATCCAAGAGGAACGACACTTGGGAGTCTCGAACCCAGAATGACAAGGATAGAGCATGTAATTGTTTGAAACAAATAAGGGCAATATGGGCAATTTGAAAGTTTCATTAAACTCTCCGCATGCTTCTCCGCACAGCAGATTTTAGAAGCAGGGTGAGAGCTGCTTCTTGTTTTTGGTTATGGATGACAACATATTTTAAAATAAGCAGCTTGGATTGGTTTTACCAAATGCCCAAACATCCAAAACTTCTTTTCAAAGCTGCTTATTTTTTAAGCGCAGCAACCCCAAACCAAACCTTATTTTCAGTGAAATGAAGTAAGCTTTTATTTTGACTAAGTCAGTGTTTTGAATTTGTCATCATAGGTTATTGTCAATGTTAACTTGTCATTTCAATTTTAAAGACGTCCATGGTCGCATATGTTAACCGTGTCTTTCATCCTACTATATGGATTAATTGGTCAACGAATGTTAGAGAAGTCCTTAAATTAGTTTTTTTTTTCTCACTATTTTAACCTAATGTGTATTCTTACCACCTATTTTCTATTTAAACTCCGCACTTCTCTTTGTTTACCCCATATTCTAAGTTCACCCCAACTTCTAATTCAAATTTTCACAATTTCTAAGAAAACCCCACTATCTTCCCGAACTATCCCTAAATACACACCAGCAGAAAAAAATAAAAATAAAAATAAAAACCTTATCAACCTCACACCCCACACCCCACACACCGCTATTTTACCCCTTACCACTCTAAGTTCACCTCAACCGCTGTTTTACCCCTTACCACTCTAAAGTATTTAAAATCAAATAATAATTGTAATTAAAATAAAATAAAATAATTCTCTCCTTCTCTCTCCCCCTTCTTGACCCATCTCCACCCCCCTCCCAAGCAACCTTAGCTACGATTCCTCTTCCAAGCAACCCAGCCACCATTCCCTCCCTCACCTCGTTCACCCTCCATCGCATCCCTATTTTGCCTTTAAACGCAAAAAGAGTTGCATAAAGAAATGAAAATCCCAAGTTGAATTCCAATCACTTTTTTCAAAAGCTTCAAACTTTTTCTAGGCCTTCTCTCATTAACAATCACCACTAACAACAACATAGCTTAGAGAAACGAAAATCCCATGTTGAATTTGTTGGCTTTACTTTGTGGGTTTTTTGTGATTGATAAAAGCATGAACTCTGCAATTCCCATCAATGGTGCTGAGCCTCACACTCATTGGAGGAACCCAAGTGGGTGTGAAGATATTATTATTAGTCGTTTATTTTTAAGTTGTTTGAATAATCCCTAAGTTGTAGGAACATGGTTGTAGAGGTTTATCTTTGACTGTTTCTCTAGCTAGTTGTTGAGGCCTAAAATGTCACGAGAAGCCAAACCAATAATATATTTTTCCTATGCCAATCACCTTCTAAGCTCACATGAACCCGAGTCATGTGGTTTACGGGCTTGCACAAGGGACTGTGGTGTGGAAGATTATGGAGGTCCACAAGGCCCACGGAAGCTCTTGGATAATGAAGACTTTGGGCCAGCTACTTAGGAGCACCAAAGTCCAAGCCCATTACTTGGAGTTCTCCAATGTGGGTGAGCAAATGAGATATTCTTTAAGCACTCCCTATTATTCACTGGAAACAAGCCAATTCCGACACTTCCTTTTACCTTTAGGAAATAGTCATTTTCCAATGCCTAGCTTTACCTGCCGGAAATAAAAATGTCCCAATGCTCTCTTTTATTCGTTGGAAATAGACTAGCTCCAACACTTCCTTTTACCTATTGGAAACCAAAGAGAGCCTTCACCTTCAATAAATTGGGAGGCATTGCCAGGCAAAACTAACTCTTCTTGGTTGCTGCAAGCCTCTCAGCAACCATGAGAACTCACCCTTTCTTCAGCTACTGCAAGCATTCCAACAACCATCATAGTCATTCTTGAGCCATCAACCCCCATCCTTTGGCTGCTGCAAGCATCCCAACGACCATCAACCAATTCTCTCAGCTGCTGCCAGCAGCCATCACAACCATGTCTCACCCTTGAAATCCATCATCTTCTCTATAAAGCCTCACCAAGCATAACTCCAAGCTTTTCCTTCCTCCTCATATCCTTCCAAGCTATAAACACCATAGCCGTCAAGTCTCAAGCTTTTCCTCCCATCCTTCTTTTCTTGAAACTCTTAAATGACCATAGCCATAGCCACAAATCAACACCCAAACTCAAGCATATCCAACACCAAGCCAAGCACATGCATTCACATTTGCTAAACCTGTAGGGCTTTAGCTCCCACACTCTAAGCTCTTATGCCAAGCTCACATAATCTTGGTTCAACATCAGCAAGTCATCTTGAACCATTCCAAAAGTGCGACCAAGCATTCGTCAAGCTACTAGAAAATTTACTCAAGCCACTTATCCATTCATCCCCATCTCTCTCTCTCTCTCTCTCTCAAAAAGCTCTATCCTAGATCTAAAACACCTATCCTTTCAAGCTAAGTTGAAACCATAGTCATCACCTTCTTGGTAAGAAAACGCAGACATCACAAGCTCATCATCTGGTTGCCGAAAACACCCAAAATCTCAAGCCTCGATCCTTTATTTATGTTTCATTTTCTCTTAGAAGACCATGCTAAACCCTAAACATCACCCAAGCATTTTTGTAAATCATCATCCTAAGAGTCAAACATCATAATTAACTTTCTCTATTTCAAGAAACCCATTCAAGCTGGTGGGAGCAATTCGAAAGTTGTCGAAAGATATAGTCTAGCTATAATTCCAAGTTTTTACCTTTCTAACTCTCTCTCTTGCTAAACTTATGGGCTCTTAGCTCCCACGCCACAAGCCTCTCATGCCAAGCCTGTACAACATCAATGCACCATTTCCAACTCTTTCTAGAGTTGTCGGAAACATCAACACAAAACACACAGTCGCTGGAGGAAGAACAGAGTACTCCTCTGGGAATTGCTTCTCCCCCGGGATGCTTTGAGCCTAGTTCTCGCTATCTCAGAAAAAAGGGCAACGAAGACTTGATTCACTACTCTATGGTGGTCCAAGAATCAACAAGCTCGGACAAGCCTTTCGACAGAAAAAGACCACAACACCAATATCCCATGAGATTAGGACTTGTTATTCATGGGATAATGTTTCAGCTTTTTCCGTTGGTTTCAGTTCATGTAAAGGCTATATAGCCTAGTTATTTTATCTTGAATAAACACTGTGAGAAAACTTATTCTTCTCAATCATATTCTCAAGCAAAACTTAGTTTAATACCAACAATTGGTATCAGAGCCCCAATTGGGGTAGAGAGAGCATAAGGAAGCTTGTAGCAGTAAGAATTAATGGCAGGAGAAGGAAGTAGCTTTGTGCAACCAGCAATTCCATGCTTCGATAGTCATTATGACCACTGGAGCATATTGATGGAAAACTTCTTGAAGTCCACGGAATATTGGGGCCTAGTGTAGAATGGAATCACACGGTATGCAGAGGGTGCAAAGTTGACAGAAGCTCAATTGAAAGCCTTAGAGGATCAGAAGCTCAAAGATTTGAAGACCAAGAACTATCTCTTTTAGGCTATTGAGACCATCTTGAAGAAAGATACAACGAAGGATATATGGGATTTAATGAAGAAGAAATATCAAGGCATGGCGAAAGTCAAGCATTCTCAACTTCAATCTTTTTGCAAAGAGTTCGAGATGTTCAATATGAAGGTTGGAGAGTCAGTCGATGAGTATTTTGGAAGGACTCTAACTATGGCTAACAAGAGGAGGATCAATAACAGAGAAGCTGGAAGATGTAGCTATTATCGAAAAGATTCTGAGATCAATGGCACCAAAGTTTGACTATGTGGTGTGTTCGATTGAAGAATCAAAAGATCTTGATAATCTCTCTATTGATGAACTACAAAGCAGTTTTTTGGTACATGAACAATGGATGAATGGCCATGCAATGGAAGAACAAGCATTGAAGGAGAGCCAAGAGAATCACTCTCCGGGGAGAGGAAGAAGAAGAGGTCGAGGAGGCTTTTGAGACGTGGAAGAGGACGCTAGGGTTAGGGATGGCAAAAATCCCCGCAGGGGCGGGTCCTCGTCGAGTAACGGGGGGAGATTTCGAGGCCAAACGGGTATAGGGTACAGGGATCCCCAAACTTGAAAAATCCCCGACGGGTATGGGGAGGGGATGGTATTGGCGTCCCCATCCCCGAACCCGACCCGAAAATATATATGTTTATACTTAAATAAATAAATATATAATTATAATATTTATGTTTAACCCTAAGTTAACCTCCATCTCCTAATTCTTCCTAATTTTCTCTAGAACTTTATAATGATTTGATTTTGAATAGTTGAGTTGAACTTTATAGTTAATTTGGATGTGTTGAATGATAATTTAATATGAAACTTAATATTAAAATGTATGATAAATATTTTTTTATGCAAAAAAAAATCGGGGATTCAGGGCGGGTGTGAGAGATAGTCCCCCGATGGGGATGGGGACGGGGACGGGGATTCCCTGAAACCTATTAAACGGGGATGGGTTCGGGGACGGGGACGGGGATGGAGAGCGGGGACGGGGATGGTATTGTCATACCCGGCCCCTACCCGACCCATTGCCATCCCTAGCTAGGGATCATTTGGTAAATCAATTGTGGAGTGTTACTACTGCCATGAAACGGGACACTTTCAATATGAGTGTCCCAAAAAGGAGAATGAAACAAAAGATAATGTAGCTGAAACTGAAGAAAAGTTGTTGTTGATGGCATATGTGGAAGTCAAGAGAGAACAAATCAATAGCACATGATATTTGGATTCAGGCTGTAGCAATCACATGAGTGGAAATAGAAAGATGTTCACCAAACTTGATGAGAAGTTCAAGGAGAATGTAAAGCTTGGTAATGATTCAAGCTTAAAAGTACAAGGAAAAGGAGATGTCAAATCTAAAGTCAATGGTGCTATACAAATCATATCAGGTGTGTTTATGAGCCTAAATTGAGAAGTAATCTGATCAGCCTTGGTCAGCTGCAAGAGGTTGCCATTCTAATTCAAAAGAATTGCTGCCAAATTCATCATCTGGAGAAAGGTTTAATTATGCAGGTTGAAACAGCTTCTAATAGAATGTTTTCATTACAAACACAAGCTGCATTCACCAAGCAAGTATGTCTGAAATCAACTATCCAATATGATACTTGGTTGTGGCATTTTAGATATGGACATTTGAATTTCAAGGGCCTAAATACTTTACATGAGAAAAGCATGGTGGGAGGACTACCTTAGTTTCAACCTCTAACTAGGATTGTGAAGAATGCATGATGGGGAAAACAACATAGAGAAGTGTTTTTTTCCAAAGGAAAGCACTTGGAGAGCATCATTAGTATTACAACTTGTTCATTCGGACATTTGTGGACCTATAAATCCTATTTCCAACAGCAACAAAGGGTGTTACATTACCTTTATTGATGATTATAGCAAGAAGACTTGGATATATTTCTTAGCTAAAAAGTCAGAAGCTCTGGCTATTTTCAAGAAGTTCAAAGCTGCTGTGGAGAAGGAAATTGGTTTGTTCATCAAAACATTATGAACTGATTGTGGAGGAGAATTCAATTCACAAGAGTTTGTTAATTTTTTGTGAAATGAATGGAATTAAAAGACAATTGATAACAGCTTATTCACCACAGCAAAATGGAGTAGCCGAGAAGAAGAATCGCTTCATCATGAACATGGTCCGTAGTATGCTCATTTTGAAGAAAGTTCCTAAATTTCTTGGTCAGAAGTAGTGAACTGGAGCAACCATATCCTCAACAGATATCCAACCCTAATAGTGAAGAATGTTACTTCAGAATAAGCTTAGAGTGGAAAGAAACCTAATGTTGGCTACTTTAGAATATTTGGCTGCTTGGCATATGCTCATATAAGTGATTCTCAACATATTAAACTTGATAATAAGTGTGTAAAATGTGTAATGCTTGGTGTTAGTGAGGAATCAAAAGCTTATAGGGTTGTACAACCCAAATACACAGAAGATTGTTATTAGTGAAGATGAAGGATGGGATTGGAGTAATGGAAAAGATCAACATGTCACTGTTGACCTAGAAGCAACTGAAGAAATTGAAGATGCCACACTTCAAGCTTTTCAAAATGTGTTTCCAGAAAATGACTCATTAGAGAACAACTGTAGAAAATGATTTTCCCTTATTTTATTCATTCCCAAAGTTACATGATATATAGAATATATTTGATACGGTAATTAATTACAATTGAAATCATTTGATACAGTAATTGAAATCATCAAGTCAACCCTATAAGACATTCTAAATTTAACTCAATCAAGAGGATTGGGGAGAGATATGTGGAGATTATGGAATCTCGCTAACACCCCCCTGCAAACTGGATGGCCTCAGTTGTACAAGTTTGGAGCAAAGGAAGGTGTGACGCGGCTTGTGCAGCGCCTTAGTAAGAACATCGGCAGGCTGATCAATGGAGGGTACAAAGTAAACTCTATGACTACCAACAACAATTTTTTCACAAACGAAGTGATAGTCAAGTTCGATGTGATGAGTGTGAGCATGGAAGACGGGGTTTGCAGCCATGTAGGTGGCGTTGAGATTGTCGCAGTAAAGATGAACAAGAAACTGTATAGAGACACCAAGCTCATATAGAAGATAAGATAACCATGTTGTTTCTGCACAAGAGTGAGAAAGGGGCCGGTACTTAGACTCAGCACTAGATCGAGCGATAGTGGGCTATTTCTTTGAGCACCAAGAGACAAGATTTGAACCCAAGTAAATTAAGTAATCACTGGTAGAACGGCGGGTATCAGGGCACCCCGCCCAATCTACATTTGAATAAGCACAAAGGCGTGCAGTTCGTGTCTGAGGTCTAAATACAAGACCATGATCGACAGTCCTTTTGACGTACTGAAGAATACGCTTGGCGGCAACAAGATGAGGAGCACGAGAGGCATTCATAAACTGTGAAACCGTATTCACCGCATAAGCAATGTTGGGACGTGTCAATGTGAGATATTGAAGGCAGCCCACAAGTTCACAAAACTCCGTTTGAGAAGGAAGGAGCGGACCATCGGTGTTGGACAAAACCACCTTTGCAGCGATGGGAGTAGTGACCGACTTGCAATGTTCAAGATTATGCTTTTGTAACAAATCATGAGCATATTTTAATTGATTAATGTGCAGGGAATCACCATGTGGAAGGACTTGCAATCACAAAAAATATTGAAGGGGGCCAAGATCTTTGATGTCAAAACCACTGTCCAATGCATCAATAAAATGTTGTAGCAAAAAATTATCACTCAGTGAGAACAATATCATCGACATATAAGAGCAAGAAGATGGTGTTATGGCCAAATCAATAAATGAAGAGTGATGGGTCAGCAATACTTTGTGTGAAACCGATAGTAATAAGGAAGGAGCTAATGCGATGGAACCACGCCCGGGGTGCCTGTTTGAGACCGTAGAGAGATTTGTGTAGCTTGTACACATAATTTGGACGATCGGGGTCGATGAAAACTGGAGGTTGAATCATGTAAACATCTTCTTGGAGGAACCCGTGAAGAAATGCATTTTTGACGTCGAGTTGGCGTAGCGGCCAACCACGGGAAATGGCAACACTGAGAATCGTTCGAATGGTGGTAGGTTTTACAATCGGGTTGAATGTCTCACCATAATCAATTCCGAGCTGTTGATGAAAACCCTTGGCCACTAAACAAGCTTTATAACGCTCAATAGATCCATCAGGCTTTCGTTTTATCCGAAACACCCACTTAGAACCAACTGTGTTATGATGAGGTGAAGGAGGAACTAGAGACCATGTATTATTTTTAAGCAAAGCATTGATCTCTTTGGACATCGCAGAGCGCCACTTATGACTTTTGGAGGCTTGAGAGAAACAAGTGGGCTCAAGTTCAGAGATTGTTGTGAGGAGGGCTTTTGGGAGAGGATAACGCAGGGTACCATCGGTGGGATGCTTGGGCTTGGTTATGCCAAGGTGGAGACATGTTATCATTAGATGCATTGAACCTGAGAGGCTGCATGAATGGATGGGACAGTGGGCAGTGGCGGATCCAGGATTATGTGGCCAAGGGGGCTTAGCGTAAAAGTTCTGAAATTTTTCTATAAAGAAAATAATGCTAAAAAGATAGAAAGATAGTACTTCCATTCATAATTCATAACAAAACCAATAATACAAGTTACAATTGTCCACGACGAGTTTTCATATTCTGAAAACATTGCATTATAGTTTCGTTATCAATACAAGCAAAAACATCTCTCTCAATGTAAACAATCAAGCTATCATTCAACCATTGATCTCCCATTCTGTTGTGAAGTGGATTTTTAATAATATTCATGGCGGAAAATGCCCTCTCCACTGAAGCAGTTGCAACTGGTAAAACCAAAGTCAATGTAAGAAGCAAATACACATAAGGAAATATTTCATGCATTCCTTTCTCCACCATTTTTTCTGCAAGACTACTAATCCCTTCCAATTGAGAAAAATCAATACTCGAACGCATATGATGAACATAAACACCAAGTTGATCTTCAAGCATCAATAAGTCTCTATCCGAAAAATCATAAGGATAAAATTGAGCAAGACGAACTAGCTTTCGTTTGTCAAAAGCTACAAAGTTATTTTTCGGACTCAAGCATGCCAAACAAGTAAGTAACTCAGTACTTACCTCGTTGAAGCGATCATTTAGTTCCACAAGTTGTCCATCAATTACATGAATAAACATCTCCACACAATAATGATGATAATTTGTCTTCATTGGAGCATTACGCCGTGACCTCCCTGGAATTACATATTCCTCATCCATGGTAGGAACTATAATATCATGTTTGTAACAAAACAAAGATGCTTGCTCAACCAATTCTTCAAACTCATTATCCCTCATGAACTGTAGGTTTTCCTCGCATGTTGCCACTAAACTCATTGCACTCACAATGTCTTGATTTTTTTTTGCAATGCTAGAGACAAAGTGTTTGTTATTCCCAATATAGCTTTCATTAAAAATAAGTGAAACACAAACTCAAAAGATTGTATTTCTCTTCATAACTTATAGGCTTCACCCGAACTATCATTAGGATTATCATAAACAATCATTTGAAGCACATTCACCACAGATGGGAACATAGAAATGATACTAATCAACGTACCATAATGTGAGTTCCATCGTGTATCGCCGGCACGTTTGAGAGTAGTTTCTTGATTTAAGTCCCGCCCCATTATAAGACAATCTTCTTCAAAAGCTCTCACAAGCTCTTCTTGGTATTGTGCTCTAAGTGCATCCCGACGCTTACAAGATGCTCCAACAACATTGACCAAACTATTAGCCGTTGTGAAAAAAGAGTTGACATCAATGTTTTTCTTTGCTACCGCAACAAGAGCTAGTTGAAGTTGATGAGCAAAACAATGAACATAAAATGCACAAGGTTGTTCTCTCAAAATCTTTGTCTTAAGGCCATTGAACTCACCTCTCATATTACTAGCTCCATCATAACCTTGTCTTCGTAGCTTGGAAAAACTCAAATTCGCAGAAGAAAAGAATTCATCAATGGCTTCCTTTAGTGCACTTGAAGTAGTATCGGTCACATATTGAACCCCCACAAACCTTTCAATTATTTGTCCTTTGTCATTCACATAACGAAGCACCATCGCCATTTGCTCCTTTATTGAAACATCACGTGCTTATCCACCATTATGGAAAAATATCTATCTTTTACATCACTCAAGATAAGACCAATGGTTTCTTTAGCACAAGAATTGACAAGATCTTTTTGAATTGAAGGAGCTATTAACTTCAAATTTCCTGGAGCATTTTCCAACACAACGGCTTTAACTTTTTCATCATGATTCGCAAGAAATTGCAAGAGCTCTAAATAATTCCCTCTATTACTTGATTGTGCACTTTCATCATGACCACGAAAAGAAAGACCTTGTCGCAACAAATACCTAGTGCACTTAAGTGATGCATTCAAGCAAGTGCGATAAGCTGTGCGAGCTTGGCTTGTTTGCTTGATGACAATTGTTTCAATGTGTGTAGTTTGATGCATCAAATTGTAAGCAACTTCTCTAGCTTGGTTGTGAACACTACCAACCGGTCCAACATGAAGGTTAAATCTTTCTTTCGCCTTCTTCCAATTATTGAAGCCTACCCCAGTGAATGCATCACCACCCACTTGATCAAAATTTGATTTGAAGAGATAACAATGAAAACAAAATGCAGCATCTTTAGCAATACTATATTCCAACCAATCATGATCATCAAACCAATTAGCAATGAAGCGTCTATTAATTCCTGATTGATTAGTTTGTGGGAATTTATAACTTCTAGGTTGACAAGGTCCCTTTTGTAGATATGCTCTTCGAATCTCATCCCGAATATTAGGACTATAATCCGCCATTCGAGTTCTTAGTCCAGGGTCTGCCTGAAGATTAGCTAAGATCTCATCTACTTCAATTGGTCTTGCATTTGAACTACCCGGATTAGACGGAGAAGGACTATCCGTAGATAATTTTCTTTTAAAGAATCGTTCCATAAATCTACAAATCAATTAATTCAATCAATCATTAATTTTTACCCAAATTATCATATGAATATGAAAATGTCAATAACCCACTCTCAAAATTCAATATACTCCCTAAACCCATATCAATCAATATTCAATATACTAAATTATCATATCAAATATCAATTAATATTCAATATACTCAATCAATTCACATTTTCAATCAAGCATAAACTCAATCAATCTACATTAATATGATTATCACTATGATTCATATCATATCCATAAATTTCATTACATACAAAAAATATCAATATTATTCATATCCATAAATTTCAAGCATTAACTCAATAAAGCATAAATTCAATAATCATATAGCAATAAATTAAACATTTTCCATAAATTTCATATCAACAACAACAATAAAATTTAATATCAACAACAACAATAAAATTTAATATCAACAACAACAACAATATATATTAAACATTTTCCATAAATTTCATGTCAACAACAACAATAAATTTCAATATCAACAACAACAACAATATATATTAAACATTTTCCATAAATTTCATAGCTAAGCTTACTTGTAGTTGAAAACAATGGAGGAGGGAGGAGGACGGCGGCGAATGGCGGTGATTGGTGGCCCAGCGAAGAGTTGATGATGGAGGTTGTTGGAGGTTGGGAGGTTGGGAGGTTGGGGGAGAGGTTAGGGTTTGAAAGGGTGGGGAGAGGAAGTGTGAAATTGGAAATGAAGGGTTTGGGGCTGTGCTGTGCAAGGGCTAAGTTGTTTTTTTTTTTTTTGGCTCAAAACGACGTTGTTTTGAGGCCAGGTCATTTAAAAAAAAATTGACTGAGCCTTTGCCAAACGACGTCGTTTGGCAAGGCAGTTTTTTAAAAAAATTACACGCAGCGCAGCAAGCTTCCTCTTCTCCTGGGACTTTCATCGAGCAGATGGCGTGCATCCAAGGGGCTTCCAGCAGCTGTCCAATGGGGCTTCTATGGAGTCCCAGGCCATTTTTCTAACCTTCCAAGGGGTCGTCCGACCCCTGTTGTCCCAACGTGGATCCGCCACTGACAGTGGGGACATGTGTGTTGTGGGTTAGGGGAGTTGCATGGGAAGGCAAGGTAGGATCTGCATGAGTTGCATGTTGTGAGACATGAGATATCATTGGATGCATTGAACCTAAGGGGGCTGCATGAATGGATGGGACAGTGGGGACATGTATGTTGTGGGCTAGGGGAGTTGCATGGGAAGGCAAGGTAAGATCTGTATGAGTTACATGATGTGAGACATGAGATATCATTGGATGCATTGAACTTGAGAGGGCTGCATGAATGGATGGGACAGTGGGGACATGTGTGTCGTGGGCCAGGGGAGTTGCATGGGAAGGCAAGGTAGGAACTGCATGAGTTGAATGCTGTGAGACATGAGATATCATTGGATGCATTGAACCTGAGGGGGCTGCATGGATGGATGAGACAGTGGGGACATGTGTATCGTGGGCTAGGGGAGTTGCGTGGGAAGGCAAGGTAGGATCTGCATGAGTTGCATGCGGTGAGACATGAGATGGTGCAGTCGGTGCATCATCATGTGATGTTGTTGGTGTAGCTGGGGGAACTACAACAACTGGAGCTCGCGAGTTGGGTGGTGGGCTCGGCAAGTCGCACCTGCGGAGGAGGAGACAATGGTATAGAAGGGCTCGGCAGTGGGGGCTGCGGAGATGCAATGGGCTGAATGTCAAACAAAATTGTTGGAGATCCACTAGATACCTGCAAGTTAGGAAAAGGAAAATAATCTTCTTGAAAAATAACATGACGGGAGATATAGACACGACCCGTGGAGGGGTGGAGACACCTATAACCTTTATGACTCTGATTGTAGCCAATGAAGACACATTCTAAAGAATGGGGAGAGAGTTTGTGGGATGTATAAGGGCTGAGGTTAGGAAAGCATGAACAACCGAAGCGATGGAAGAGTTTGACATATGGGGATTCCCAATTTAGGAGGGGTGTAAGAAGAAGGTTAATGAGATGAACTGCGGTGAGAGCCGCTTCAATCGAATATGATGGTTGTAAATGGGCAGTATGAAGAAGAGTGTGAATCATGTCGGCAATGTGGCAATGTTTACATTCGGCAATGCCATTTTGTTCAATAGTGTAAGGGCAAGAAAACTGTTGTTGGATACCTAAGGTGGTATAAAAAGAGGCGAAGGCATTGTTCACATATTTGGTACCGCTGTCACTTTGTAAGATTTGAATACTAGAGTTGAAGAGATTTCGTGTCATGGCAACAAATGTTTGAAAGTGGGTAAACACTTCCGATTTACGGCACATGGGATAAATCCAAAAGTAACGCGAAAAATCATCCGTAAAAAGAATATAGTATTGAAAACCACTAATAGATGGCACAGGGGACATCCAAACATTGGAGTGAATTAGTTGAAAGGGAAATGAGACTGAATTAATACAGTTCGAAAAAAATAGTTGAGTGGATTTGCTTATAGCACAATCCTTACAGAATGTCTTATTAAATTTTATTTCTTTGCCTAACAATGGCCCTAGGTGAGAAAGAACGGAGGATGACGAGTGGCCGAGACGATGATGCCAAGTAGATGAGTGAAGAGTGGCAAGAGCATGAGGAGCAGGGGGTTGACGTATGGAGGAAAGCTTGAGTGGATACAGGCCATCTTCACATGGGCCCTGAAATAATAGTGCACCGGTAAACAAATCATAAATTTGATAAAAATATGGGGCAAAAAGGAAAAGGACAAGATTATATTTGGTGAAGCGAGCAACGGAAAGTAAATTTTTGCAAATGGCAGGAATGCGAAAAACATCACGAAGAGTGAATTTAGAAGATCCCAAAGGAAAAGGAAGAGTACCTGTGTGAGTAATATTCATTGAATCTCCATTACCCATAAATACATTTTGATTACCATGGTAGGGATATAGGTTCTGAAGATATGTGTCGGGACCAGTCATGTGGTGAGTGGCACCGGTATCCGGATACTAAACGAGATCAGCCGCAACGGCAAGTTGGGCCATATGTGCACCAGCAAATGGAGGAAATTGGGCAGGGCCTGCGTACCTGTGTGTACAGTGGGCCTGGCTATGTTGATTTGTGCTTCAATTGGGACACCAAGTAGGAGGAGGACCCAACAAACCTTGATTTGAAGCAGACCAAGGAGGTGGACGTGGAAGCCATGGTTGCTGACCTTGCAGCTAGTGGAGATTAAAACCATTGTTGTTGTTGTAGCGGCGGTTGGGGTTCTGATTATTGCTGTAATTACCACCACGACTAGAATTGTTGCGATGGAAACCCCTTGGATTATTAGGCCTATTTCCAAAGAATGGTTGAGGTGGGGCTTGGTGTTGAGGGGCCGATGGTGGGGGTGGTTATTGAAGAGAGCATGGGAGGATGGAGAGGAAGTGGTAAGGTTGGGGTCTTGGGCTTCAAATGCAATAATACGAGAGCGAAGTTCAATGAAGGTGGGTAGGGAAGAACTTTGAAGAATGGAAGTTCGAAGCATGAGATATTCGGGACCAAGGCCTCGAAGAGTGAGAAATACTTGGGATCCACAAGTTTGTTGATTGCAACTAAGGAGTCAGCAATGTGCTTGACTTGGAGCAAGTACTTATTAAGGGATTTGGTCCCTTTCGTGATGTCAAGAAGTTGAAATTGGAGCGATGCAGAGCTAGCAATAGAAGTTTGGGAAAAGTGGTGGTGAAGGCATTCCCAAATGGCCTGAGCTGTCTCACAACCAATGGTTAGAGAAATAATTGGTTTGGTCAGTGTAGTGGTTATGTAACTGACCACTAGTTGGTCTTGTTGAATCCATGTGAGTAAAGCCGGATTAGGGCTATGAACAGTAGCAGCAGGAGCATCGGTGGGCGAAGAAGTGGTGGGGGCCACGACACGAATTATGGCTGGAGGCTTTGGGTGAGAGCCATCAACGAATTTGTAGAGTCCTTGGTCAATAAGGAATGGTTTCATCTGGCGAAGCCATTCAGGATAATTGTCTTCATCTAATTTCAGAAAGCTAGCAATGCTAGGGCCAGAAGAAGTAACAGAGGTAGCCATGGGAGAGTAGGCAAGGATCAGCTACGGTTTTTCAAGAAGAAAGAGCCTAGACCTAGCCGATACCATGTAGAAAATGATTTTCCCTTGTTTTATTCATTCCCAAAGTTACATGATATATAGAATACATTTGATACGGTAATTAATTACAATTGAAATCATTTGATACAATAATTGAAATCATCAAGTCAACCCTATACAACATTCTAAATTTAACTCAATCAAGAGGATTGGGGGGAGATATGTGGAGATGATGGAATCTCGCTAATAACAACTCCTCAGAACCTGATGAAGCAATGACTAGGGGAACTAGAACAAGAAGAGCTCCTAGATGGCTAACTGATTATGTGAGTGGAGAAGAACTAATATATGAAGAAAATGGTGTTCACTTTGCTTTGTTCATTGATAGAGATCCAATCACCTTTGATGAAGCTGTTAAAAGCTCAAAATGGAGGAAAGTCGTGGATATTGAGATAGACGCCGTTCAAAGAAATAATATATGGGAGCTTACTGATCTTCTTGTAGGAGGAAAAACAATTGGAGTCAAGTGGATCTTTAACACAAAGGTCAAAGAAAATGGTGAGATTGAAAACAAGGTTATTAGCTAAATGATACTCTCAAAAGCATGGTATTGATTATACATAAGTTTTTGCACCTATAGCTCGACATGATACCATTCGATTAGTAATTGCTTTAGCTGCCAAAAATGACTGAGATATCCACCAACTCGATGTAAAATTAGCATTCTTGCATGGAGAATTAAATGAGCTAGTCTATGTGGATCAACCCATTGGCTTTGAACAGAAAGGGCAAGAGCAGAAGGTTTATCATTTGAAGAAAGCTCTATATGGATTGAAACAAGCTCTTAGAGCTTGGTACAGCCGTATTGAAAGCTATTTTTTGAAAATAGGTTTTGTGAAGTGTCCATATGAACACACCTTGTTCATAAAGCATCAAGAGGGAGGTAAAATCTTGATTATTTGTCTCTACGTTGATGATTTAATATATACAGGAAATGATACAGCTATGTTCATTGAGTTCAAGACCTCGATGATGAATGAGTTCGAGATGACAGATCTAGGAAAGATGCATTACTTCTTGTGTATTGAAGTGAAGCAATCTACAAATAAAATCTTTGTTGGGTAGAAAAGATATGCAGAAGAAGTGCTCAAAAGGTTTTGTATGGTTGATTGTAATGTTGTACAAAACCCAATTGTCCCAAGAACCAAGCTCATTAAAGACACTGAAGGACAAAAAGTTGATAGCACTCATTTCAAGAAGATTGTGAGGAGCCTAATGTATTTGACTAATACACGTCCAGATTTAATGTATGTAGTTAGTCTAATAAGCAAGTTCATGGAATCACCTACTAAAGTGCATCTTCAAACAACAAAAAGGATACTTCGGTACGTGAAGGGAACCACATATTATGGTTTGTTTTACAAGAAAGGATTGAAAGGAGATTTTCTGTTAGGATACAGTGACAGTGATTATGCTGGTGATTTAGATGATCGAAAGAGTACTTCAGGGTATGTTTTCATGTACGGTTCAGCAGTTGTTCCTTGGTCCTCAAAGAAACAACCAGTAGTTACACTTTCAACAACTAAGGCTGAATTTATTGCTGCTGCCTCATGCACATGTCAAGCTGTTAGGTTAAGGAGATTACTTAATGAGTTGCATTGTTCATAGTGTGAATCTACTCTGATATACTATGACAATAGTTCAGCTATTAAGTTATCTAAAAATTCAGTTATGCAAGGAAGAAGTAAGCATATAGATGTTCGATTTCACTTTCTGCGAGAACTCACTTAAAAAGAAGTGGTGAATTTGGTTCATTGCCGAACTCAAGAACAGGTTGCAGATATTCTAACAAAGCCATTGAAGTTGGATGATTTCAGAAGGATGCGCAGTTCATTTGGAATCTGTTCAAGTTTAGATGTAAACTAATTGCTTGATCGCATTCAGTTTAAGGGAGGATGAGAAGATATTATTATTAGTTGTTTATTTTTAAGTTGTTTGAATAATACCTTAAGTTGTAGAAACGTAGTTGTAGAGGTTTAGGACTTGTTATTCGTGGGATAACGCTTCAGCTTTTTCGTTGGTTTCAATTCATGTAAAGGCTATATAGCCTAGTTCTTTTATCTTGAATAAACACTGTGAGAAAAATTATTCTTCTCAATCATATTCTCAAGCAAAACTTAGTTTCATACCAACAATGGGTTAGATCTTTATAATTCTCAAGATGGCTTTTGGAGCAATTGAAAGTTGTGTGCTTTTTGAAAATAAATAAATAAATTGACTGATGCACAGGGTCGGCGGTGAAGGACCAGACATATGATGTGCCGGTGGTGATGAAGGGAGGCAGTTGGTCGGCAAGAGGGAGAGAGAAGGAGAGAGTTTCTCTATTTTATTATTATTATTATTTTACTTTATTATTTAGTTTTAAATACCTTAAAATATTTAAAAGCAAAAGTTAATTATGGTTATCTTTATAAATAGATGTCAACTTTTTATAAGGATGGTGAGGATATACATTGAGTTAAAATGACCAAAAATGCTCCCTATAACCTAAGCCAGTTAATTGGCAAGTCTGAAAAGGAAGGCGTGGCATAAGAGTATACTGAAGCAATAATAAAACGTGGGACACATCTATCTTCCTTTTCTCTACTTTTTTCCTTTTCTTTGTTTGCATAATTGAATGATGTCGGATACCTTTCTTTTTGTTTCCATATGTCTACATTTTGTCCCTTTGTGTGAATGTGATTGCACAAGTGTCTATACCCATGTTTTTCATCCTACCACATGGATTAGCTGGCAGGCTAACTTAAAAGGCTTCATTCTTATTTTACCCATAGAGTCGAATGTTCATCTCAATTTATCTCATGAAATTTAAATTTTCTCATTAACTTCGTTTAACAAATCTGTTAACTTGTTGATGTGGCATGAGCGGAGCCCATTTATTTGCCGATGTATTTGCCACATCAACAAAATTTCAAGTCTCAAATGGAATTTGAAGTGGAGAGAGAGAGAGAGAGAGAGAGAGAGAGAGAGAGAGAGAGAGGGTTGTTTGGGTGTGGCTTACGACGGGTTGGAGGTGGGAGTAGGGAAAATTGCAGTGTTGCTAAGGTTGGGGTGGTAAATCGTGTTGGGTTTCTAATTAAGCCTTAGAGCATTCACAATGGACTCCCTAAACCACCTCCTTAGACAAATTTCACGGAAGAATTAAATACAATCTCAACCATGCTCCTTATCCACCTCTTAAAATAGGGAGACCTCTAGGAGCACCTAAATCTGAGGAGAGGGAAAGGACTCCTAGTGGCTTCCTATAATTTAATGCTGCTTTATTTTATGAGTATTTCAATCCTTTAATTAATGTTAACTATTTTATATATATATTTTTTATATAGATGGACCAATTAAGAAAGAGTTATAGCATTTATGAATCCTAAACTATAGAGTATGATTGGAGTTAAAATTTTATAGAGAGTTCCTAAAATAGCTTTTATATGTTTTTAGCTAAATTTTAACTAAAAAATAGAGAGCATGATTGTAGATGCTCTTACACTGTCAACATTAGCTGCTCAGTCTCACAAATAAAGAAAGTAGCATAAATGGAAATGAAAGTAGGAAAACAAAGCATGAAACACGGGAGAAAAAGAAGGGAAGAAAGAGAGAGAGAGAGAGATATGATTATTTTAAAAATCGTTAAACAAAAAAAAAAAAAAAAAAAAAAAAAAAAAAAAAAAAAAACATTTTTTTTTTTAACAACTAAAATTACTAAAATGTTTCATGCTATGTCAGCAAATTAAAGATTTGTTAATGGAATTGACGAAATGAGTCAAAGTGGGACACGTAATAAGGTTCTAGAGTGTTACGTGGAAAATTTTAAGTTTCAAGAGTTAAATTGAGATAGAAATTCGAGTTTATGGGGTAAAACAGGAATTTAGCATAACTATTAAATTAAGCCCAAACAAAGATACATATATAACTTTTGAAGTCCTCGTGGTGTTAAAATGCATAAATCATTAGCATTCATATGAAGATTATTTCTAAATCAAGTGTAAAGTTTACAGAAACTGTAAATTCAAAATATTTAGTACTTATTAATCTTCAAATTCGTCCTTACAATCTATACTCATCTTCCCAACCACGAATTATAACCCTAGTTAGCCAATACAGGTAATCATCAGTAGCATTGTATCGAAACCGAAAGCCTTCATCACCTTTGCTCGTTCAGTTCGTTTGTGGTGGTAACATCATGTACATTTGGAACCTGTACTGTGTTTCATTCGCTTCCGTAGGGTTCATGCTATTCTTGGCTTGATTTGATTTCCACCTTATCAGAGTTCATCATAAGGTTGAGTTGGACAACTTCCTCATTGTTCTTAGAAGGCTTGTCGTCCCTATATCTACATCTCTTAGTTCTGTGGGAGATTTAATGGACATAAAAACAGTATTTTGCATGGGGGATTTAGTGCTACACCAACGTTCTTCGGCCATTAATATATATATATGTATAATTTTATTTTTTAAAACATATATATATATATATATGTTAAAAACGTCGACATGCGCTCATAATATAATATATATAATTTAATTTTTTTTTATTTTTATAATGTTAAATCTATATATATAAAGCAAAAAGAGAATAGTAAAACATTTAAACTATCCATTAATTTTTTTAATTTTAAAATAAAATAAAAAATTTTAAAAAAACCAATTGGCACACGCATGAGTGCGTGTTAAAGGGCTAGCTAGTATATATAAAGTTATTGTTATGTGATCTGATTAACTCACTAATTCATCTTCTTTTCCCTCATTCGTGGCTGGGTATTCTTCGTACATGATGAATTTTACCACCTCAATAAATGATTGAAAATTCATCTTTACTCCTTGATGGCGATAATACTGCATAAATCAATTTCAATATATGTTCAGAAAAAATACAATCATATAAAATTATTTAATTTTCTAAAATTTTGAAAATATGTTCGACTTACCAATAAAACATTCATCTTCTAAGTTTAATGTGGCAATACAACTATATAAAATGTATGTATACTATATTAAAATTGTGTGACCTAATTGACTCACCGATTCATCCTCCATCAACGCATTTTCCTTGCTGGTGGATGAACCTAACCACCTAAACAGTTGATTGAAAGTTCTCTCTCTGTCTCCTTCATGTCGGTAATACTGCATAAATCATTTTCATATCTTTAGGAAACATGAAAAAATTAATTAAGGATGTCACAGTAGCATAAGAAAAGTTTATCTCGGCTATTTTTCCAATAAAAGTCTATAGATCTTGAGGTTTTCAAAATTATGTAAAATAACTTCATATGAGCAGTTAATTTGATACCATGTCAGATTTTCTTCCATTAGATCTTGATCCGTAATCGACGTTCCAATCCTCGAGTTCAAAGTGTATGCACACTCTCATCATCCACCCCTATGGCGCCAACTATATGAACATAGTTAAGTTCTAAAGAAGCTCTAGTAGTTTTGCAAATCAATATGAGGAATAATATAGGAATAGCTATTAGTTCTGTCTGCGCAACTCCTCATGCTTAGTACAAGAGCTCCCAATTTCTCTAGGTTTTGGAGTAGAGGCCAAGCATAAGTCACCAAAATGAGTTCTAGAAGATTGGTAAATTCTGTATCAAATAACGTAAATGAGTATTTCAGTTGTGGAGGTAGAGGGTGCTAATGAGAAGTTTATTTGTGAAGTACTGCTACATATCTTGAGAGATAAAGAGAGAGAGAGTTATAACGGCTAAAAAGCGCAACAAATCAATACAAAGGGAGAAGACATGAGTGTGGGTGTCGAAAGAGAGAGTTGCTCTAGATTTATAGGGAAGAAAATTTCTCCTTTATTTTTAGTAGATTATACAAGCTTCCTTCAAATTCATGTACATGAAAAATTAGGTGTCTAAATATAGAACTAAATGAGAGCATTCAATTTATTTCCAAATTAAGAAATGTATGTTGTAGCAAATTAAAGGAAAGTGAAAACAATATTTGAGTTATATTTTCAAATTACATTTTTTTTTTCATGAGCAACCATTTTCATCCAATGCACATGGCCTAGAAAGAGAGAAAGGCTCTAGATTTATGGGAAAGAAATTGTGTAATTTTGTTTTGGTACAAAAGCCAAGCTTCCTTAAATGTTATGTACATGAACAAGGATGTGTCTGGAAATAGAACTGAATGAGAGCTTTCAATTTGTTGCCATATTAAGAAAGTTGTTGTAGCAAGTTAAAGGAAAGTGAGTTCAATTTCAAATTACATATTTTTGATGGCTTATGTGGCTATGTGAGATTTTGGAAAAAATTGAACTCCACCAAAAATGCCAAATATCATATTATTTTATTATATTTTTAAAAGCAAATAAGGCTCATATGTAGGGCTGGCAATGGGTCGTGTCGTGTCGGGTTCGGGTCGTCTTTTATCATGCGGGTTTCAAGTCGTGTAACAGGTTCATAAATAATAACATCCATGTTATGAAACTCACAACCGAAAAAATTTAAATTAAAAAAAACAGAGAGAGTAGAGAAAATATAAGGAAAAGAAAGAAAGAAAAAGATAGAGAGAGGAGAGAAGAGAGAAGGAAAAGAAAAAAAATAGAGAGAGAGAGAGAGAGAGAGAAGATTGAAGGAAAGAAAGAAAGAAAAAAGAGAGATGAGAGAAAACTAAAGAGAAGGAAAGAAAGAAAAAAAAAAAGGAGAGAAGAGGAAAGGAAAAGAGAGGAAAAAAAAAGAGAGAGAGGAGAAAGAGAAAGAAGGAAAAGAAAGAAAAAGAGGAGAAGAGAGACGGAAAAGAAAGGAAAACACAAAAGAAAAAGAAACATTATAAATATCAAAAGGTATACCATAAAATCACAAAGTTGTTTGTAGCATGGTGGATAAGATATTTGAGAGAAATGAGGGTGGTAGGGGTTCGAAACCCCTTGTGTGTGTGTTGAAGTCCCCATTTCTCTTCATTTTTTAGCAGGTTAGCGAGTTGTACATGGGTTGACACGACCCGTTTAATAAATGAGTTAGACAGGTAATATAGCGGGTTAGCGGGTTGACCCGTAACCCACCCGTTTATTAAACAGGTCAGAACGGGTTGACTTGAAATTGACATGTTTTTTTATTGTGCGGGTTGAACCCGCTAATTTCTCATACAGGTTTCGAGTCCTATATCGGGTCGTGTCCGAAGAGATCAAAATAGAAATGGAAAGAGCAAGATAGAGCCAGCCCATGCTCCCACAATTTGGACAGGGAAAACCCATTACCCTAATTAACAAGAGCAAGTAAATCGAACAACAATCGAGTGATTTTGGTTTCCCTTGGGCCTTAATTAAACGTGTGATTTACAATTTGAACTTTTAACAACCTCTTCCAATCATGCAAAAAGAAATTCAAAGTAAAAATGAAAATTTATATTCTAAAAGCATCTCCAGTAGGGTGCTAAACTCAAAATTTTAAGACCCAAACAATAAAAACTAGCTCTAACTCAATTTCTTAGACAGGCTAAACAGCCCATAAGTGTCACAAAAGAGAACTGTTTTGGATGTCACAAGCCACACAAAAAGGCACAAAGCCCAAGAGGACTCACATAGGAAAGGGGGAAGGTCTTGCGGTTTTATCTTGAAAAGGGTACATTCCGAATTCATTACCAACGTGCATCAGCTGCAATTATCTTAGGGCTTGTTTGGGAGGGATTGTGGGAGGACTATAATCACTTATGGGGAGAAACACCTCCCACGTGTTTCTCCATCAAATCACTTAAACCCACTTAAATAAGAAAGTGATTCTCCATAAAAGTGATTCTCCATAAAAGTGATTGTTGGGCCTATCTAGAATCATTTCCAAACGAGCCCTTAATCATCACTCATTTGTGTGAACATGAAAAATATTGCTCATGATCATCCCACATGTTGCATCATCTTATAATAGAAGTATTTGTCTTTCTCCATCAAATTTACTAGCATTATTTCATCCAATGATTGTTTAAATTGTTAGAGATGTATGTGTGATGGTTTGATTCATGTAGTAGTCTAGTTTTAAGTTTTTTATTTATAACTTGAATATGTATGATCAATTATCTATTGGTATATTTTTATTTTTTGATGTTTGTAGAGGAAAAAATCAAACTTCAAATCTTTTTCAATATTGTGAAAAATTATCAATAAATTGTTAGCTGGTTGGCGCTCTTGATCTATTACCATTTCTTTTACTAATGCTAGGATAAGTCCCAACTTGTGAGTGAAGTGGTAGTTTAAACTACGAGAGAGGGAGGTTTCTCTCACACACACTACCAAGGTGTCATGAGGGTTCGAACCTGAAACCTCTGGTCTTCTAGTAATAACCCTTTTCCATTAGACCCATTGGTAGATAAGTCCCCACTTTAAGGGCCGGTTTGGGATTGCTGTCACTTAAAAAAAAATTGTTTATGTTGTGCTTTGAAAATAATTAGTCATAAAGTGAAGGAGCTCCATGCTTGGTATACAATATGTTTAAAGTCTTGTTAGTATAAAAAGCAGTAACAAATTTTAATATAAAACTGTTGTAACTGTGAATAATGACTAAAATATATATGATGTTGAAGTGTTATGCGCTAATTGTTATTAAAAATTGTGGTTTTTCCTCTTTTATAAAATTCTTATTTAAAACCTTAGATATAATTAATAAATAAAACAAAGCTTAAATAGTAAAGTAAAAAATAAAGAGATAAATAAATAATAAAGAGAATAATTAAGAAAGCAAGCCTGGTATAGTGAAAGCACGTCAAAGACGTTGTCCAAAAGCCTTTGTAGCCTCCTACGTGCAGGTAATGACGGTCTACAAGACTCCAAGATACGACCCCAATACGCAGGCTTAAGGTTCGCTATGAGCACGTTCATAGTCGGATAGAAATCTCCAAGCCACAGAACCGTTGCCCAAAAATAATATGGAAAGTAGGGAATATATGAAAGTAAGAGAATAGAGAAATCTAATGTAGTGTGTTGAAATGTGAAGGAGGAATGGCCTTTTATAGGCATCCAATACTCGTAACCTCCAGACACATTTAACCAGAAAAGTTGGTGCAATGAATAGAAAATAAAAACTGAAAATTAAACAATTTGTAACTCCCATAATAAATAAAAGAAAATAGTCAAAAATTAAAACAAAAAATAAAACGTTAAAATTTAAAATCCTTTCAAATAATAACACTAATCATGTTGTAGTAGTGGTGGTGGTGATGGCGGTTGTGGAGGTGGAGGTGGTGATGCCGTGGTGATGGTGGTGGCAATGTAGGTGGAGGTGGTGGAGGAGGAGATGGTGTGGTGGTGGTGGTGGTGGCGGTGTAGGTGGAGGTGGAGGTGGAGGATGTGGTGGTGGTTGTGGTGGTGATGGAGGCGGTGGCAACGTGATGGTGGTGGTGTTGGTGGCAGAGATAATAGTGTGGGTGGAGGAGGAGGAGGTGGTGGTGGTGGTGGTTGTGGTGGTGATGGTGGCAGAGAAGGAGGAGGATGTGGTGGTAATGGTGTTGGTAGCAGTTGTGGCATGGTGGTGGAGCTGGAGGAGAAGGTGGTTGTTGTGGTGGTGATGGTGGCAAAGTAGGAGGATGATGTGGTGGTGGCGGCTGGAGGGAATGATTTTCCCCACGAGAATATTCGTCAAAGATTCCTTCGTCTTCTCCGCTTCTCTTTCTCTCTGCAAAACAGATCGGAGTAAAAGGACCACACCCGGGGGGTGTTGGCCAAAGGCCCTCCGATGCCTAAGTTAGGTAAGGTATTTCAAGGAAAACCGGGTGGCCGGAGCCGTGTGTGGTGGCCGGAGCCTTGTGTAAGGGAGAGAAAGAAAGTGGTGGCTAGGGTTTGTGAGAAATGATTTCTGCAGAGTTTCAGTAGGAATTTAGACGTACATCAACCCTTGTGTGTGGCTATGCTTCTATAATGGTCTTGGAGGCTAGGGTTTCAGAGGAATAATTCCGTAGATGGAAGGGAATTATTCCTCCCCTTTTCGGAATTGATTTGATTTATTAGGGTAAATCAAATCCCTAATTGTGGTAGGTATCAAATCAAATCCTAATTCAATTAGGTAACTCCTCATTTAATGGGGAATCGTGGTAATTAACCAAATCAATTCTTAACCCAATTAGGCAACGTTCAATTTAATTGGGTAATCCCCAATTAAATTGAGTAACTCCCAATCAGGTTAATTAATTCCCAATTAGGTCAAATAATCCCCAAATGGAATGAATTATTTGACCTAGGGTTTTGGCTTAATTTGGTTACCACAAATGCCCCCCAGCTTCTGCATGGCGCGTGGTGGCATGTAGGAGATGTAACTGCTTCGTTGGGTTGTCCAACTGTAACTGGGCTTCCTTCGTGGACCTGGGCTCCTGAGTAGAGGGAGGTATTTTGACTTGCCAATTTTACGAACTCCTAAGTTGGAAAGAGTTTGCGATTCCTTGTAGGTCAAGGAATTTTGATCCTTATAAATGTGGGGCTCCTCCAATTTATTTTTCACATCAAAAAGTCTATTCCACCAATTTTGTAAGTGAGAGAGAGAGAAACTTTGGAGAGCTTTCCCAGCGTGCTTGAAAACTTCATCTTTGCTGTCCATCCAAGGTAATTAGCCTAGAAGAATTTTTGTCTCTGACTTTTAGCATCTTGGTCCGACTTTTGGCAGCAAGGAAGTAGTCCATGCCTTGTGATTGGACTGGGGCATGATTGGAGGTCTGGAAGGCTGGCAGGATCAGGCCTTGCACGTGGTGGGCTCGAAGCAGGGGCATGGAGGCGTTGGACCAAGAGCTGGAGCAAGGGGGGAATTGGGCCATCGCGCGACATGGGCTTGCGCTAGGCAAGCTGGCCACGTGCTCCAATTTGGGGCGGTCTGGCGCATCACTTGGGCCTCGCATGCGGAGCGGGCCTCGCTGGGTGGCTCGAGCTGGGCTGGAGACTCGCGCTGGGCTGGAGCCCCGAGTTGGGCTGCGCGCGCTGGGCAGTTCATGCTGGGCTGCTGCTCTCTTTTTTTTTTTTTTTTTTTCTTTCGACTTGCGAATTTTTTCCGGTATTCTAACTTGTAGAATTCTTTCTTTTTTGGCAGCCACTCGTTGACCAACTATGTCTTCCGGGGACGGTAGCAAGGCTCCAAGCTCTCAAGCACCTTTATACTTGTGGGGAGGCTCCTTAGTGCCTAGCAAGAAATTCGTGGCCAACTTGCACCGCGTGACGACCGATGCTCAGTTCCAGAAGTGGCGGGCTGCCTTCACATCTGCCATTCCAGATGACGTGCAGGTCAAGCTACTGAAAGTCTTGGGCTGATAGCAAGCCTTTGGTAGATGCGAATGATCCCGGCGCTAGGGTCATTACCTTCCGTCCTTTTTACTTTTCCTTGGGCTTCAAATTCCCACTGTCGAAGCTCTTCAAGGAGGGTTCTGCGCCATGGAGTGTGCTCCGAGCCAGTGTACTCCCAACGTTTACCGGGCAATCATGTGCTTCGAGAATCTGAGCCGTTTCTTCACTTTGGAGCTGACATTGCGCGTGAGTTCTTTTATTTTTTTCGAGGTGAGGCACTTTGAGCAGTATGCCCAAGTTCGCACCTACAAGACCAAGCTGTTTCGACGGTCTCAGTCAGGGAGATCACGCTTGGCATGACGACGTGTTGGAAGTTAGCGGACGGTGGGAAGGCGACGTTCGTGACGGCCCACTTGTTCCCGTGACCTATTGCCCTGGTATGTCTTTTGTGACTTTTGATATGTTCCTTTTTATTTGAATTTCTTAAAGTGTGGTTGACTAACTTCTGTCTTCTGCTTATAGTAAATGACATCAGTAAGCAATTGGAGCTTGGACCAGACATGGCTAAGGTCCGTCGTGCTTTGAACATCCCTCAAAAGTTTTCGCGAGTGGCGCTGGCTGTTGAGCGAGTACCGAGAGGTAGATGGTGGTCTGCCCCCTGCCGAGGATGTCGAAAGGTGGAAGCAGAATGGACCTGACCCTGACGATCTGCCTACAGTACAGGAAGAGTGTTCTGCTGAATCTCCACCAAAGAGAAAGGCTGCTAGCAAATCTTCCAGAGGTGAAGCCACTTCTTCGCATGCCAAGAATGGGTCTCCATCGAGGAAGAAGCCAAGGCTCCCTTCTGCTGAGAAGGCTCAAGTGGGGTCTGCTCCGTCATCATCTGCCCAGGGTCAAGCATCTCGTGGGTGCAGATAGCACGAAGGTTGGTGGTATGCGCGGTGCTCGGGGGGGAAAAAAAAAAAAAAAAAAAAAAAAAAAAAAAAAAAAAAAAAAAAAAAAAAAAAAAAAAAAAAAAAAAAAAAAAAAAAAAAAAAAAAAAAAAAAAAAAAAAAAAAAAAAAAAAAAAAAAAAAAAAAAAAAAAAAAAAAAAAAAAAAAAAAAAAAAAAAAAAAAAAAAAAAAAAAAAAAAAAAAAAAAAAAAAAAAAAAAAAAAAAAAAAAAAAAAAAAAAAAAAAAAAAAAAAAAAAAAAAAAAAAAAAAAAAAAAAAAAAAAAAAAAAAAAAAAAAAAAAAAAAAAAAAAAAAAAAAAAAAAAAAAAAAAAAAAAAAAAAAAAAAAAAAAAAAAAAAAAAAAAAAAAAAAAAAAAAAAAAAAAAAAAAAAAAAAAAAAAAAAAAAGGGGGAAAAGAGCTGACCAATCGATATTGGATTGAGACCAAAAACTTGGGGAACATCACAACATGGTGGGAGGAGTCATTTGGTGGATATTGAGTGAAATCCAATTTCTAGAAATATGCAATACGCCAACCAATGCATTACAGACCAAAAATCTACGAACTTGAATTGTCCGATTTCAAGGGCCAATCAATATCGAATTGAGTCCAAAACTTGAAGAACATCATAATTTGGTGGGTTTTGGGTGAATTCCAATCCCTAAAACTATGCAATACACCAACCACTCCATTTTAGAACGAACTTCTACGAACCTGAATAGTCCGATTTCATGGACCAATCGATATCGGATTGAGTCCAAAACTTGGGGAACAACATAATATGGTGGGAGGAGTCATTTGGTTGGTTTTGAGTGAAATCCAATGGCTAAAACTATGCAATACACCAACCACTCCATTTCAGAACGAACTTCCTACGAACCTGAATAGTCCGATTTCATGGACCAATCGATATCGGATTGAGTCCAAAACTTGGGGAACAACATAATATGGTGGGAGGAGTCATTTGGTTGGTTTTGAGTGAAATCCAATGGCTAAAACTATGCAACACACCAACCACTCCATTTCAGAACGAACTTCCTACGAACCTGAATAGTCCGATTTCAGGGACCAATCGATATCGGATTGAGTCCAAAACTTGGGGAACAACATAATATGGTGGGAGGAGTCATTTGGTTGGTTTTGAGTGAAATCCAATGGCTAAAACTATGCAATACACCAACCACTCCATTTCAGAACGAACTTCCTACGAACCTGAATAGTCCGATTTCATGGACCAATCGATATCGGATTGAGTCCAAAACTTGGGGAACAACATAATATGGTGGGAGGAGTCATTTGGTTGGTTTTGGAGTGAAATCCAATGGCTAAAACTATGCAATACACCAACCACTCCATTTCAGAACGAACTTCGTACGAACCTGAATAGTCCAATTTCATGGACCAATCGATATCGGATTGAGTCCAAAACTTGGGGAACAACATAATATGGTGGGAGGAGTCATTTGGTTGGTTTTGAGTGAAATCCAATCTCTAAAACTATGCAATACACCAACCACTCCATTTCAGAACGAACTTCCTACGAACCTGAATTGTCCGATTTCATGGACCAATCGATATCAGATTGAGTCCAAAACTTGGGGCAACATCATAATATGGTGGGAGGAGTCATTTGGTTGGTTTTGAGTGAAATCCAATCTCTAAAACTATGCAATACACCAACCACTCCATTTCAGAACGAACTTCGTACGACCTGAATTGTCCAATTTCATGGACCAATCGATATCGGATTGAGTCCCAAAACTTGGGGAACATCATAATTTGGTGGGAGGAGTCATTTGGTGGTTTTGAGTGAAATCCAATATCTAAAACTATGCAATACACCAACCACTCCATTTCCGAACTTACTTCGTACAAACCTGAATTGTCCAATTTCTTGGACCAATCGATATAGGATTAGCCCAAAACTTGGGGAACATCATAATATGGTGGGAGGAGTCATTTGGTAGTTTGAGTGAAATGCAATTGTCCATGCAAATACACCAATCACTCCATTTCAGAATGAACCTGAATTGTCCAATTTCATAGACCAATCGATATCGGATTGAGTCCAAAACTTGGGGAATCATAATATTATGTGAGGAGTCAGTTTGGTGGTTTTGAGTGAAACCCAATTGTAAAAACTATACAATACAATAACCACCCCATTTCATAACGAACTTCGTACGAACCTGAATTGTCCAATTTCATGGACCAATCGATATCGGATTTTGCCCAAAACTTGGGCAACATCATATGGTGGGAGAAGTCATTTGGTTGGTTTGAGTGAAATCCAATATCTAAAACTATGCAATACACCAACCACTCCATTTCAGAACGAAATTCTACGAACCTAAATTGTTCAATTTGATGGACCAATCGATATCGGATTGAGTCCAAAACTTGGGAACAACATAATATGGTGGGAGGGGTCATTTGGTGTGTTTTGAGTGAAATCCAATTGCTAAAACTATGCAACACACCAACCACTCCATTTCAGAACGAACTTCGCAAGAACCTGAATTGCCCAATTTCTTGGACCAATCGATATCGGATTGAGCCCAAAACCTTGGGAAACATCACAATATGGTGGGAGGAGTCATTTGGTTGGTTTGAGTGAAATCCAATCTCTAAAACTATGCAAATACACCAACCACACCATTTCAAAACGAACTTCGTACGAACCTGAATTGTCCAATTTCGTAGACCAATCGATATCGGATTGAGTCCAAAACTTGGGGAACAACATAATATTATGGGAGGAGTCATTTGGTGGGTTTTGAGTGAAATCCAATGGCTCAAAAACTATGAAATACAACAACTACTCCATTTTATAACGAACTTCATACGGACCTGAATTGTCCAATTTCATGGACCAATCGATATCAGATTGGGTCCAAAAGTAGGGCAACATCATAATATTGTGGGAGGAGTCATTTTGTGGGTTTTGAGCGAAATCCAGTCTCAAGAACTGTGCAATACAACATCACTCCATTTCATAACGAACTTCGTACGACCTGAATTGTCTAATTTCATGGACCAATCGATATCGGATTGAGTCCAAAACTTGGGGAACAACATAATATTGTGGGAGAAGTCATTTGGTGGTTTTGAGTGAAATCCAATTTCTAAAACTATGCAATAAACCAACCACTCTATTTCATAACAAACTTCGTACGAACCTGAATTGTCCAATTTCTTGGACCAATCGATATAGGATTGAGCTAAAAAATTGGGCAACATCATAATTTGGGGGGAGGGGTCATTTGGTGGTTTTGAGTGAAATCCAATCTCTAATATTATGCAATTCACTAACCACTCCACTTCAGAACGAAATTCATACGAACTTGAATTGTCCAATTTCGTGCACCAAATAATATCGGATTGGGTCCAAAACTTGGGAACACCATAATATTGTGGGAGGAGACATTTGGTGGGTTTTGAGTGAAATCCAATCTCCAAAACTATGCAATACAACAACCACTCTATTACATAACGAACTTTGTACGAACCCTAATTGTCTAATTTCTTGGATCAATCGATATCAGATTGAGCCCAAAACTTGGGCAACATCTGAATATGGTGGGATGAGTCGTTCACTGGGTTTTGAGTGAAATCCAATCCCTAAATTTATGCAGTGCACCAACCACTTTGTTTCATAACGAACTTCGTACCAACCTAAATTGTCTAATTTCATGGACGAGTTGATGTAGGATTGAGCCCAAAACTTGGGCAACATCATATTATGGTGGGATGAGTCATTTGGTGAGTTTTTAGTGAAATACAATCTCTAAAAGTATGCAATGAACCAACCACTCCATTTCATAACGAAGTTCGTATGAACTTGAATCGTCCAATTTGATGGACCAATCGATATCGGATTGAGTCCAAAACTTGGGGAACATCATAATATTGTGGGAGGAGTCATTTGGTACGTTTTGAGTGAAATCCAATTTCTAAAACTATGCAATACAACTTCCTCTTCATTTCAAAACGAACTTCGTACGGACCAGAATTCTCCAATTTCAGGGACCAACCAATATCGGATTGAGTCCAAAACTTGGGAAACATCATAATATTGTGGAAGGAGTCATTTGGTGGGTTTTGAGTGAAATCCAATGTCTAAAACTATGCAATACAACAACCACTCCATTTCAGAACGAACTTTGTACGAACCTGAATTCGTCCAATTTCATGGACCAATCGATATCGGATTGAGTCCAAAACTTGGGGAACATCAGAATATGGTGGGAGGAGTCATTTGGTGTGTTTTGAGTGAAATCCAATGTCTAAAACCATGCAACACAACCACTCCATTTTAGAACGAACTTCGTACGAACCTGAATTGTCCAATTTTATGGACCAATCGATATCGGATTGAGTCCAAAACTTGGGGAACATCATAATATGGTGGGAGGAGTCATTTGGTGTGTTTTGAGTGAAATCCAAATGCCAGAACTATGCAATACAACAACCACTCCATTTCAGAACGAACTTCGTACGAACCTGAATTGTCCAATTTCATGGACCAATCGATATCGGATTTTGTCCCAAAACTTGGGGAACAACATAATATGGTGGGAGGAGTATTTGGTGTTTTGAGTGAAATCCAATCTCTAAAACTATGCAATACACCAACCACTCCATTTCAGAACGAACTTCTTACGAACTTGAATTGTCCAATTTCATGGACCAATCGACATAGGATTTTTCCCAAAACTTCGGCAACGTAATAACGTGGTGGGAGGAGACATTTGGTTAGTTTTGAGTGAAATGCAATCTCTAAAACTATGCAACACTCCGACCGCTCCATTTCAGAACGAACTTCGTACATACTTGAATTGTCCAATTTCTTGGACCAATCGATATCGGATTGGGCCAATCGATATCGGATTGATTCCCAAACTTGGGAAACATCATAATATGGTGGGAGGAGTCATTTGGTGTGTTTTGAGTGAAATCCAATATCTAGAACCATGCAACACACCAGCCACTCCATTTCCGAACGAACTTCGTACAGACCTGGATTGTCCAATTTCACGGACCAATCGATATCGGATTGAGTCCAAAACTTGGGGAACATCATAATATTGCGGGAGAAGTCATTTGGTTTGTTTTGAGTGAAATCCAAATAAAACTATGCAATACACCTACCACTCCATTCAAAGAGAACTTCGTACAAACCTAAATTGTCCAATTTCATGGACCAATCGATATCGGATTGAGTCCAAAACTTGGGGAACATCATAATATGTTGGGAGGAGTCATTTGGTGTGTTTTGAGTGAAATCCAATGGATAAAACTATGCAATACACCAACCACTCCATTTCAGAACGAACTTCGTACGAACCTGAATTGTCCAATTTCAGGGACCAATCGATATCGGATTGAGTCCCAAACTTTGGGAACATCAGAATATGGTGGGAGGAGTCATTTGGGGTGTTTTGAGTGAAATCCAATGGATAAAACTATGCAATACACCAACCACTCCATTTCAGAACAAACTTCGTACGAACCTGAATCGTCCAATTTCACGGACCAATCGATATCGGATTGAGTCCAAAACTTGGGGAACATCATAATATGGTGGGAGGAGTCATTTGGTGTGTTTTGAGTGAAAATCCAATGTTTTGAACCAAGCAACACACCAACCACTCCATTTAGAACGAACTTCGTACGAACCTGAATTGTCCAATTTCACAGACCAATCGATATCGAATTGAGTCCAAAACTTGGGGAACATCATAATATGGTCAACCCGTTTTGTGTTTGCTCCTTTGATGGAAGGGTAAAGTTCCCCATTGACTTGAAAACCTTTGACTGGTCAAAAGTCAACTTTCTTTAGTGTGCGAGCGTGCCACTGCTTGCAATAACAATTCTAGCAGACTTCTTAAAATAGATAACTTGCGCCCCAAGTTACTGATTTCTAAACAAGCGATTGTGAATTTGGGTGAGGAATATCTCCCAAGTAAGTTCTTTTCCTGCCTCAGACTGGTGAGGACTTTATAATTTTATCTCAGTACAAAATTGATTGTTCTGGCCAAAATAAATGATAATAAGGTGGACTGTTTAGGCAGACTTGCCTTTTAGAAAACTAGAAAGGAAAAAATCAACTCTAGAAAGACAAAAAGAAAGCTGGAATTCCATTTCTGCCTGTATGGAATTCTCTGATTCGAGTTGGACTGGGTATGTCTGTACTGGACTGAACTGTCAACAACTTCAACTGCTAAGCTTCAGTTGTAAATCGATACCAAAGTTTGAGTTTGACAGAGCTTTAATCTATTTCAAGCCTTGGAAGGCTTTTTGAACGGGCAGAATTGCAACTTCTTTGGTCTGAACGAGGCTGAAGTGGCTGGATTTGAGGATTACTGAGCCAGAACTACACTATGGTACCTGTTCTGCTTGGTCAAGGCTCTCCATAAATTTGTTGAGGTCTTCATATTTGTGAAAACTCAAACTTCGCTTGTTTTGGCTTTTGTTGAACCAAATTTGTAACGAGAGGAATCTCGTTTTGAATGACTTATTTTTCTAAGTCTGAATTTGGAAGTTCTGATTTATAGCTGGCTTCTTCTGTGGCTTGAATGAGCTTTTGGTTGCTTCAGTTTGTTTGGGGGTTCTCAAGGATCAAGTGATCATTTTGAGTTCTTGTCTTGGGTTGAGTTTTTGATTATTTGATTGATTGTTTTTTTGTGTTGTCCTTTGCTTTGCTCACCCTCTCTTCTATTTATAAGAAATGCTAGAGTAGGGTTTCTGATTCTTTTAATAATGGGCGGCAAAAAATTCTCAAAAGATCTTTCATTTTTAAATGCAAAGAAAGAAAGGGGTTTTATCAATTCTGGTAGATAAACCCTCAACAGTCAGTTCCTATGGCAGTCACTTCCCTGTATTTTTTGAAAGGAAACCTAGCCCTTCTACCAATTCAATTGCCCTTTGTAAGAGCTCAAACTGTGATGGTTAGTTTTGATTTTCCAGTTTGAACAACTCCCTGTTTTCTGCTTATTTCTTTGAGATTGTAGTGTGCTTATCTTTTAGTAGTATCACTTGCTCGGACGCAAAATTGTAAAAAAGGATTCTGATCTTTTAGCCCCAGAGTTTCAGACAAGTCTTTTGCTAATGACTTGCTTTCATTTAATTCCCAATCAACTTTTTGTGATAGTTGAATTTGTTGACTTTTCCAAGTCAGATAGTCACGTGGGTTCTAAGAATAGGCTCTCTAAAAGATCTTTGCTAATTTTGCACTCTGGGTTTTGAGATCAGTGGTGAGCCAGAAGTTGGGCCCCATCTAATTTTTCTTTCAATTTTTACTGACCTTCTTCAGTGGTTGATTGCTATTTTGTAAAAATCATGGGCCTTCTACTTTGGTTTTGGGCTTTCTCTATTTTTTGAATCAAAGCCCAGTCATCCGTCTTTTCTATTTCGTGGGCTGTCGTGCGATTTCTTTTGGCCCAAACATTGCCCCCTTAAGTCTGAACCGTTTTAAAACGGTTTCAAACTTAATGATTGGTCATTCAATGATGCGTGCCATTTCCTGCCATTGCACTAGCGCACGTCTACCTATTTGATATAGACTTTGTGGGGAACTGGGTTCTAACGGCTAATTAAATCTGAATAAAACTCCCTTCTTTCTAACTTCCTACGATCTTCCTACCCAGTTTATAAAATTTGTCGAATCCTCATTACTATTTCATCAAACCCTAGTTCTGTCTTAGCTTTCTATTCTTTTCGAAACCCTGTGTTCTTTTGATTCCGTTCCTTTCAATTCCCCTTTTTGTTTGTCTAATTTGAAAGAGAGAAAGAAAAATGTCTTCCCCAAACACTCGCGCCAAGAGCTTCTCTTCTTCACGCTCTCCTGCCTATCTCACCGGAGATGGGGTCGATCAACATGCGATTGAGGTGCGTAGCAGACTTCATCCATATGCGCGGAAGAATTTGGATGAAAACGTTCTTCATCTGTTCAAAAACACCCTTGTCTTGGGTCCTCATTGGTTGGCTCCGTGCCGGAAGAAATGGCAGACTTGCTTAAGGAAGATGTTGAGGCTCCTCTGTGCCTTCAAAGTCTCACGGCTCTGTCTTCTCATACTTGGGTCAGTAAGAACTTGAGTCGTTCCTATCCTTCGAGTGAAGTGATGAACAGTGCAGTGAGGTGGTCTGATTGGATCGATAGACTTCTCCCAAGGCATGGAGCTTATTGGAAGATGGCTGGGATTTATGACGTGATCCTTCTGTCTAGGAACTCTGTCAATAGGGACGAGAACCTGTTGGCTGCTGCCTTGTGTTTCTGGAACTCCGCCAGCAACACCTTCGACTTTCATTTAGGTCCCATGAGTCCAACCCTGCTGGATCTGGCTCAAATATTTGGGTTCAGGCCCCATGGGAGGCCTGCTGATGCTGTTGGTGACTACCATAGAGGAAAGAATCGAAAGAGTTTGGCCAAACCCTTTACCATTCCTACTGCCACGATCAACCAGAACTGTTTCTTCTCCAATTTTTTGAACAAGTTTAGTACTGAAAAGGATAAGGATCAGAAATACATGTTGTTCCTTCTATACTGGTTGAACAGGTTCATCTTTCCCAACCGCTCCTCGGCAGTTTGGCTGGAATACAAGCATTTGGCAGAGGCCTTGCATAATCATGCTGATGTGGGACTTGGCCCCACAGTTCTGGCTCACCTGTACAAGAATCTTCATAGCGCCACTCTGGAGAATCCTCTGAACATCTCTGCTCCTGGCGCATTCTGGATGATCCGGATCTGGCTGCAGGTCTATTTTCCGGAACTGAGATTCCTAAACATTGTTCTGCCTGAAGATCAGGTCAGGGCGACCCCCTTGATGTCGGGAGAGGTGCCTAAGCGCTCCATTGAAGAATATCTCATGTTTTTTAGGCACTGCACCAAGAGGTCTGCTACGCAGTGGCAAGTAGTGCTCAGAAGATCATACCCTTGGTTCCAGTCTGGACACAGACTTTTTGAGAAAGAGCCAGAAGAGGAGGAGGCAAAGATTGATTTCATAAAAAAGTTTCTAAGTGTGACGTTGCCTCAGGACATGCCCTTTGGTGGAGGGAAACCTCCCAACTATCATCTGGGGGCAGAAGTGTATCACCCCAATTTATGTGCCAGGCAGCTTGGCTGTCCTCAGCTCATCCCTCTCAAATCCTATAGGAGTTGTAACCGTGCTACCTCATGGAGGGACTTAGATGATTTGGACGTGCAGAAAGACTGCAGGTGTTCGGTGAACAAGATAAATAGCAGTGTGGATGCACTCTACCCATCTTAGGAGCCTAACTCTTGCAGCTCTGGTGAGTTTGATGCCTAGTGGAAAGCTCACTTCGCTGGTCTGCCTGATGCCAGTACTGCTGTGAAGACCTTGTTTGAAACTTGGAATCCTAGGACTGTCCTTGCAAAACCAAAAGCCAAAAAATTCATAGTGCAGATGGTCAAAGGCATCAATGCTCAAGTGATTGAATGTAAAATTGCCAGTTCTGTTCCTTTGTTTTGGATTTCTGCATTTTGAGTTGTGCCTTAACTCTATTATGCCCGTTTATCTCAAATCCTTCTATGACAAGCAATCTTGGGAGCCAAAGTGTCTAGGCTAGGGAAGTAGTTGGTAAGTTCTCGAATTCTGCCCTTTAAGCTTGTTTCTTTGCTGGACTGTCTGCTAACCCTTTTCTCTCTTGTGTAGTTACTTCTGTTATTGCTGCTGGAGGCCTGGAGCTTCCTTTTGGTGATGAGGAGGATTATTATGAGACTTTGGCAGAAGCTAGTGTTGAGATAACTTCTTCTACCCGAACGAACAAAAGGAAGTCACCCAGGCTCAAGATAGTGTTGTCCAGCCTGATCGCCTAGGTATAATTTTTGACTTTCAATTCTGTCGATTTTTTGATCAGTTTTGCACTTAATTCTGACTTCCTTTCTTTGCGCAGCCAAAAGATCCCCTCCTCCCTCCAAGGCGAAGAAGCTGAGAAAGAAAGCTGTTAATGAGCTTGATGAGAAGGAAGAGCTTGCAGCAGTTCTTGCAGAGACCACAGAAACTAATGAAGAGTTGCGAGAGGCCTTTGAGGCCGTGGAACAGGAGAAGGAGAAGGAGATTTTGGAAGGAGAAAAAGAAAAGAAAAAGGATGGAGAAGAAGAAGTGGGTTTATAGCAAGAGATCCCTTCCTTTGGCATTTGTTCTAGCTTTGTATTGTATTCCTTCTGACTTGAGTTATGTCTTTCTGTAGAGAGCATTGAGCTGGCGAAGAAGCACCAAGAGGCCCAAAGAACAGAGCCCACCAGTTCAGAATTGGCTCTTTTTGATGATGTGGAGGCAGAACATTCTGCTGCTATTCTAGCATTTGAGGTAGTTCTCATTCTTTCTTAATTTTGTTTGTGTTCTACAACCCTTTCTTCCTCTATCTTTCTAATTAATTGAGATTCCTTTCTTTCTAGGTGGAGGAGGGCAAAACTATTGGGATGTTGGCTGTAGTGACCAGTCCTCTCAAGCCTCCCATTGTGGCTGTAAGTATCGTTATGCCTTTAGTTTTCTTGCTCTTTTTATTTTTTAACTCTCAGCATGGAGTTTCCTAAAGATCATTTTTTTGCAGATGCCTATCCACTTTGTTCCTAGTTCCCCAGCTACTGCCTCTTTTGCTGATCCAGAGCTGGCAGAATTTGAAGCCATGGATCTGGATGCTCAACTGGACAGGCTAGAGCAGCTCAGCTCTACTCCAGGCAAGGCCAAGTCTAAAGCAGTGGATGAGGCAATGGACAAAGTGAAAATATGGCAGTCAATGGAGCTGGATTTGGATGAAAATAAAGAGGCCATAGATCAGCTAATGCAGGATCTAGACCTGTTGCATAGGGCGAATGTGGCTCCCAGGCCCATTATTGAGATTAGCCTTGGCTTGGCAAGAGACGTGCTAAATCTCCACAATCGCTATGAAGATCTCCAGCCCTCGTTCAAAGCTTCTGAATTCTGCAAAGCTACTCATGAAGCTAACCTTGCTCACTATCAGAAATAGCAAGCGGAATTGGACATGATGGTTGCTGACTATAAGGAAACCAAGATCGTTGCTAATAAACTAGAGAAGCACATTGAAGAACTTCAGAAGCAGCTAGCTAGCTTGTGGGGCAAGCAGAACAAGCTTGGGCTAGACTGGGCACCAAGACCAAGGCTACTTTTCTTATACAGAACATGGTAGCTGCCTCTAGGCCAGCCTTGAAGATTACGGAGGCCTCTCTTCACCAAGGGATGCTTCTCCAGCAGGAAATTTCTACCAAGAAGGCTGGATTGCAAAAGACTCTTAGAAAACTAAGACTTTAAATTTCAGATTTCAAATGTAATAAAATTTTAGTCATAAGAATTGACTATATTTAATATAAAAGTTATTTTTGTGGAACTCTTTCTTGCACTTGCAATTCCTTTTGTCAAAATAATTAAAAAAATAAACTCAAAAAGTGAAATAAAAGTGGCACTTCTGAAACAAAATTCAAACAACAGTTTTATTTCGTTCCCTCTCTATTCTAGGATCTGTTTGCCCAGCATGAACGTCTCCATCTCGATCCTTCAATCTGTATGCCCCCATTCTGAGAATTTGCTTAATTATGAAGGGGCCTTCCCATGTAGGTGACCATTTTCCATATCCAACTATGTGTGTTCCAAGGGGCAGAACTGCTTTCCAGACTATTTCTCCCTCTTCAAAACTCTTGTTTCTAATTCTCTTGTTATAAGCCCTTGACACAGCCTGTTGTAAGCTTAATCCTGCCAGTTCTAGCAGCATGGCTTGAGAGTAGTCTTCTCCAACCAAATTGTGTTGATGAGCAATTCTGAGGGACTGGACTGCTATTTCCATAGGCAGAATTGCATCATGGCCATAAGTCAGAGCATAAGGGGTCATGCCAGTTGCCTCTCTTTTTGAAGTTCTATATGCCCACAGGGTTTCTGATAACTTCTCATGCCATTGCTTTGGATTTTTCCCAAGCATCTTCCTAATAATGTTGATGATCACCTTGTTACTTGATTCTGCCTGTCCCTCAGAGAGATTTTAAGGGCAGTTTGAGCCATTTGGATGAAGTGCCTTTCTTCCATAAGGATCCGGCATTTCATCTTAAGTTTTCTTAACCTGGTTATGAAGTCTTAAGGAGGCTTATCTTCACTCTGTTTGAGGGCAGCAAGATCACTGATGGTGACATCTGGCTGGATCCTGAAACAGTAGTCATGGAAAACATTTTCCATTTGTTCTCAAGTTTGAACAGAATTAGCTGGTAGGCTGGTGTACCAAGTGAAAGCTTGTCCAGAGAGAGAATTCCCAAAAAGCCTTAGCTTTAACAGAGGGTTATTTTCTATGGCTATGCACTGGACAAATAACCTACCTATGTGCTCAATTGATGAAGCATGGGAATCTTCTCCGTTGAACAAGGTAAAGTTTGGGACCTTGAAACCCGGGAACAGAGGTATCTGATCAATGTAAGCTGGATATGGCTTTCTGTAGGTGGGCCTTTCTCCTCTTCTGGCTTCTGGCTCCATCATCTCCCTGATCATTCTCTGTAGTGCCCCCATGTCATTCAGAGCATTGACAAGGTGCAGATTTCGTCCCCGTTCTGGCTGGGTGTGGTCAATCCTGTGCTCCATCCTGTATGGCCTGGGCAGAACTTCCTCCCTATGTTCTTCATGTTCTTCAAAATCTGGATGATTCTTTCAGTTTGCCCCCGGTATGTTCCTGTCATTGTTGGCAAAGGGGTTGATTCCTCCTCTGCCTCTTCTGCCTCTTCTGCCTCTCACCGATGGAGGGAATGGATTGGGATCCATCCTTCTGGGTATGTAGGGTAGCACAGCTGGTGCCTCAGGCAGAAGTGCCAAGGGTTGATCATGTGGGGCCATGGGCTGTGGAATAGGCGGAGGTTTTGGCTGATTCTGTTGGACGTGAACCGGTGCAGGGCCTTCTGGCCGGACTGGGCATCATGTTCTTAGATGGGAAAGGCTCTTCCCCTTTGTCCAGCTTGGATCTCTCCACGCCCCGGTATTCCAGCCATCTGTGCTATGAGAGGGTTCTCCTGGTATGACCACGCCAATCCTGGTGGAGGGCCATAAGGGAGGTCTAGCTGCTGGATTACAACATCTAGGTTTGGAATTCTGGCCATGGCAGCCTCACAGTCCTTCCTGAACTGCCCGTTAACTTGCCATTGCATCATGGCTGTCATGGTGTTCATAGTATCCTGGCTCCTTTGTGCTGTAGCTCCCTGTCATACTTGAATTGTCCAATTTCATGGACCAATCAATATCGGATTGAGTCCACAAACTTGGGGAACATCAGAATATGGTGGGAGGAGTCATTTGGTGTGTTTTGAGTGAAATCCAATCTCAAGATCCATGCAACACACCAGCCACTCCATTTCAAAACAAACTTCGTACGTACTTGAATTGTCCAATTTCATGGACCAATCGATATCGGATTAAGTCCTAGACTTGGGGAACAACAGAATATGGTGGGAGGAGTCATTTGGTGTGTTTGAATCCAATTCGAGTGAAATCCAATTGCTAAAACTATGCAATACCCAACCACTCTATTCATAACGAACTTCGCACGAACCAAATTGTCCAATTTCTTGGACCAACCGATATCGGATTGAGCCCAAAACCTGGGCAACATCATAATATGGTGGGAGGAGTCATTTGGTGTGTTTTGAGTGAAATCCAATGCTTTAAAACTATGCAATACACCAACCACTCCATTTCAGAACGAACTTCGTACGAACCTGAATTGCCCAATTTTGGGGGACCAATCGATATCGGATTGATTCCAAAACTTGGGGAACATCATAATATTGTGGGAAGAGTCATTTGGTGTGTTTTGAGTGAAATCCAATTGCTAAAACTATGCAATACCCCAACCACTCTATTTCAGAACGAACTTCGTACGAACCTGAATTGTTCAATTTCTTGGACCAATCGATATCGGATTGAGTCCCAAAACTTGGGGCAACATCATAATATGGTGGGAGGAGTCATTTGAGTGAAATAAAACTATACACAACCACTCCATTTCAACGAACTTCGTACGAACCTGAATTGTCCAATTTCATGGACCAATCGATATCGGATTGAGTCCAAAACTTTGTGGAAAATCATAATATGGTGGGAGGAGTCATTTGGTGGGTTTTGAGTGAAATCCAATGTCTAAAACTATGCAATACACCAACCACTCCATTTTAGAACGAACTTCGTACGAACCTGAATAGTCCAATTTTGTGGACCAATCGATATCGGATTGAGTCCAAAACTTGGGGAACATCATAATATGGTGGGAGGAGTCATTTGGTGGTTTTGAGTGAAATCCAATGGCTAAAACTATGCAATACACCAACCACTCCATTTCAGAACGAACTTCGTACGAACCTGAATTGTCCAATTTCATGGACCAATCGATATCGGATTGAGTCCAAAACTTGGGGAACATCATAATATGGTGGGAGGAGTCATTTGGTGTGTTTTGAGTGAAATCCAATGGCTAAAACTATGCAATACACCAACCACTCCAGAACGAACTTCGTACGAACCTGAATAGTCCCATTTCTTGGACCAATCGATATCGGATTGAGTCCCAAAACTTGGGGAAAATCATAATATGGTGGGAGGAGTCATTTGGTGTGTTTTGAGTGAAATCCAATGGATAAAACTATGCAATACACCAACCACTCCATTTCAGAACGAACTTCGTACGAACCTGAATTGTCCAATTTCATGGACCAATCGATATCGGATTGAGTCCCAAAACTTGGGGAACATCATATAATATGGTGGGAGTCATTTGGTGGTTTTGAGTGAAATCCAATGGCTAAAACTATGCAATACACCAACCACTCCATTTCAGAACGAACTTCGTACGAACCTGAATCGTCCAATTTCATGGACCAATCGATATCGGATTGAGTCCAAAACTTGGGGAACATCATAATATGGTGGGAGGAGTCATTTGGTGTGTTTTGAGTGAAATCCAATGGATAAAACTATGCAATACACCAACCATTCCATTTCAGAACGAACTTCGTACGAACCTGAATCGTCCAATTTCTCGGACCAATCGATATCGGATTGAGCCCAAAACTTGGGAACATCATAATATGGTGGGAGGAGTCATTTGGTGTGTTTTGAGTGAAATCCAATGTCTAAAACTATGCAATACACCAACCACTCCATTTCAGAACGAACTTCGTACGAACCTGAATTGTCCAATTTCTTGGACCAATCGATATCGGATTGAGCCCAAAACTTGGGGAACATCATAATATGGTGGGAGGAGTCATTTGGTGTGTTTTGAGTGAAATCCAATTGCTAAAACTATGCAATACACCAACCACTCCATTTCAGAACGAACTTCGTACGAACCTGAATTGTCCAATTTCTTGGACCATCGATATCGGATTGAGCCCAAAACTTGGGTAACATCATAATATGGAGGGAGGAGTCATTTGGTGAGTTTTGAGTGAAATCCAATCTCTAAAAGTATGCAATACACCAACCACTTCATTTTAGAACGAACATTGTAATAACCTGAATTGTCCATTTCTTGGACCAATCGATACTGGATTGAGCCCAAAACTTGAGGAACATTGTAATACAGTGGGAGAAGTCATTTGGTGAGTTTTGAGCTGAATCCAATACCTAAGCTTCATGTTAGGATGAACTTCGTGTTAGGATTTTGGCTCATCAAATATGTCCTAGTTGGTTCAGGATTGTTTTAAGAAAATTAGAGGTATACCAATTCTTGTCCTAGAGGGATTAGGAAAGAATTTCAGGTTTCCTTATTCAATTTAGGGTTGGATTCTAGAAGTCTATTAGGATTTGGATAAGTGTAATTTCCTAATCCACTTAGGAGTAGGAGTTCAATCAGCATTGGGAGATGTTAGCCAACTATATATCCATAAATAAGGTGTGGCAGGGCTTATTTTACAGCAGGGAAAACAGCCACAGACAGCCGAGTGTTTTGAGATTAAGTTATAGGTTTGCAAAAGTTCTGTAATCTCTATTATTAATCAAAGGAGCGGTGATTTCTCTACCTAGAGAAATCACAACTGGACGTAGGCAAAAGGTCTGCCGAACCAGTATGATTCTTGTGTGTTTCTAAGTTTTCTAATATTTGCTAGTTTAGTCTATGTCGTTGGTTACATTAAAGAACAAGATCTAAGTATGCGGTTAATTTAACAATTGGTATAAGAGCCTAGGTCAAGGGGTTCTACGATGTCTAAAGGGAAGATGAATGCGGATCTAGGACTTGTGTTAAAGCCCTTTGATGGCAAGGATGACTTCACGAACTAGTAACGGATGATGAGAACATACTGATACAGCAAGATTTGGATAATGCACTCAATGGTGAGAAGTCAGTAAGCATGACAGACACAGCATGGACTAAGGTTCTGAAGAAGGCAAGAGTTCCATCGAGATCCATCTCACAAGATCAGTTTGGGTCACACATCACCGAAAAGATGACTGCCCAAGAAGCATGGGAAAAGTTGGAGAATGTTTATATGGGCAAAACCGTGTCCAATAAACTTTTTTCTAAAGGATGAACTATTCAGACTTCGACTAGAAGAAGGAGGTGATATTGAAGATCATGTATGCAGGTTCCAGAATTGCATAACTAATCTTCAAGAGGTCGAAGAACTTACAAAGATGATGATATGGCTATCATCTTGCTAAGGTCTCTACCTTCGTCTTTCAAGCACTTTCGAACAACTCTAATGTTTGGAAAAGAGTCCCTGAAGCTTGAAGACGTATTCAAGCTCTTTAGTCATATGCTAAACTAGATGATATAACTGAAAGCTCTCAAGGCCTTTATGCCAAAGGCAAGAAGAGGGGGGCGGGAAAAGACAAAGGAAGAGAAAACGGCAACAGAGGTAGGTCAAAATCCAAGAAGAAAAAGGAAAAGAAGGAAGGTTGCTTCGAATGTGGTTCAGTCGATCATTGGAAGAGGAACTGCAAGATTTTGGAAAGAGAAGAAAGCCAAGAGGGAAGGAAGCTCAGGTTCAGCTAGTGCAGTCACCGAGCATGAGAGTGACGGGGAGCTTCTTTCAGTAACATCAGGCTCCAAGGCTTTCACAAATTGGATTTTGGATACCGGATGCACTTTTCATATGTGTGCAGTAAGAGAATGGTTTGATACTTACAAAAAGTCAGCAATGGGGAAGTTTTAATGGGGGACGATTCTTCATGTCCTGTAAAAGGAATTGGCACTGTTCAAATCAGAATGTTTGATGGGATGATACGAGTTTTGGGGAACGTTAGATATGTCCCTAGACTAAGAAAGAATTGATTTCCTTGGGTACTTTAGATGAGGCCGGCTATGGGTATGAGTCTAAAAAGGGAAGAGTCAGGGTAGCCAAAGGATCACTGGTGGTAATGCGGGGTGACCTACAACCCAATAAGCTGTATAAGTTAATTGGGACCACCATAGTTGGGGGAGCAGCTGTTTCTGTAAATCAAGGTATAGAAGACAAGACTGAACTCTGGCATCATAGGCTCGGGCACATAAGCAGAAGGGTTGCAAGAATTACACAAGCAAGGCCTGTTGGAAGGCGTGTCATCTTGCAAACTGGACTTTTGTGAATATTGTGTTCTTGGAAAGCAAAGGAAGGTATCATTCACGAGTAGCAGTGCAGATAACCGAAGCAAGGAGCAACTCAGCTATATTTCACTCAGATGTTGTTGGGCCCTGCACCAACCAAATCAAATGGTGGAGCCAGGTATTTTTGTTACTTTCATGGATGTTTTTTCTAGGGAGGTTTGGGTTTATTTCATGAAGCAGAAATCCGAGGTTTTGCAAAGTTCAAGGAATGGAAACAGAAACCGAGAATCAAACTGGAAGAAAGATCAAGTACCTGAGAAGTGACAATGGAGGTGAATATACAAGTAATGAGTTTACGATTACTGCAAGCAAGAAGCATCATAAGGCACTTCACAGTAACGAAGAATCCCCAAAATGGAGCTGCTGAGAGGATGAACCCGAACTCTCATGGAGATAGAGAGAGAGAGAGAGAGAGAGAGAAGAGAGGCGCATGTTTTCATGCAGGATTGCCTGCTGTTTTTTGGGCAGGAGGCTGTTAAGCATGCAAGTATTTCATTACCTATCACCATCTACAAGTTCTCGATTTTAAGAGTGGAGGAAGATATGGTCCTGAGAAGCCGGTGGACTATTCCAAGCTCAGGCTTATTCTTCTGTAGGGCTTAGCCATACCCAAGTGATGAAAGTCCAAGCTCAAACCAAGTCCACACATTGCTATTCTTTTTCATCTTTGAAACGATAGAAAGGTTGGCGCCGCGATGTTTGCTTGATTAGAACAACCAATGTAAATAAGGCTAGAGCAGGAGAGGGAGAAGAAAGACGAATGAAAATTGAAGCAACAAAAGAAATTTGTGCCAGACGCAAAGAAGAAGCTTAGGGTGGAGCAAATTGAAGGCACAGAGCCGAATCTGATGGTTTTTGAAGGAAAAAAAGAAGAAGGTCATCATCATCGTTCACCATTTAAGGAATCATGAGCTGGAGTCAAGAACTAGGGCTGATATTTGTTCCCTGATCGGCACTCCCCCTCCGGTCCCCCCCCCAAAAAGAAACCATTCCCCAAGGGGTTTCGCACTCCACCAACCTCCACTCATTCCAGAGAGGCATAACACTAGACAACCTATCGGTAACAGAAAGAAACCTAAGGTTTGGTTTCACCCCAAGACAAGTTATTACTCTCACATTAGTCAAGGAATCCACCACTACTTTTATCGAGAACTATAGCACGTGATCGAGGTCTGGGGCCAGGGTGAGGACTTTTGGCATAAGTTCTATGCACAGGTTAGAACTGTAATTGGATTCAAGGGGTAATTTAGAATGGGTCTCTTTACAAGAACTTTGTTGGGCCAAGTTGTTCCTAAATATAATAGAGAAAAAAAAAAAAAAAAAAAAAAAAAAAAAAAAAAAAAAAAAAAAAAAAAAAAAAAAAAAAAAAAAAAAAAAAAAAAAAAAAAAAAAAAAAAAAAAAAAAAAAAAAAAAAAAAAAAAAAAAAAAAAAAAAAAAAAAAAAAAAAAAAAAAAAAAAAAAAAAAAAAAAAAAAAAAAAAAAAAAAAAAAAAAAAAAAAAAAAAAAAAAAAAAAAAAAAAAAAAAAAAAAAAAAAAAAAAAAAAAAAAAAAAAAAAAAAAAAAAAAAAAAAAAAAAAAAAAAAAAAAAAAAAAAAAAAAAAAAAAAAAAAAAAAAAAAAAAAAAAAAAAAAAAAAAAAAAAAAAAAAAAAAAAAAAAAAAAAAAAAAAAAAAAAAAAAAAAAAAAAAAAAAAAAAATTCAAGCATTACGGTCCCTTGTTTATAAGATAAACATAATGAATAATAATATTTAAAATGACGCTCCATATGAAAAATAAAAGTCATACGTACTCGATTTAAGGTAGGACTTCCTCCGTATTATCCAAGACATATAGATGTGCCTAGTTCAACAAGTCCCGATCAACTACTAAGCTTACTGTGCAACCTGATATGGCTTTGAAACTCCCATCTTCTGGCTTGAAGGCACTCCAACTGTACTAACATCAGATAAATGCTCGATGCAAAACTCTACAGCTGCTTCAGCTATATACTGCTCAGCAATGCAACCTTTTGAACGATTACAGTTCTGAACATACCCTTTTAGCATTTTCATATACCTTTCAAACGGATACATCCATCTAAAATATACTGGGCCACATAGACAAACTTCTCTGACAAGATGTACTATTAGATGAACCATGAAGTAACTACTACATCTTCTTCCAACTTATCTAGCTTGGAAACATCTACCGTCTTTGCACATATAGAATTGAAGAAAACGCACAATCGAGTTATTGCATACCTTGTAGGCTTCTCCAAAATAGAACAAATTGCCACAAGGAGCAATTGTTGCATCAAGGTATGACTATCATGAGATTTAAGTCCAAGAAGTCTTGAATCTTTTAAAGATACAAGATTTTTTATATTTGAACAATAACCTTCAGGGACCTTCATACCATAGAAAGAATTGCAAACCGTTCTCTTCTCTGCTCTTGACAAATTCCAAGGCCCTGGAGGCAAGTGAGTACGTCTTTGTAGTTTTGACCCCCATGTTCAATAAATCTAACCGAGCAGCAATCTCATCTTTATTTTTTTCAGGGATCTCCAGCAATGTACCAATGATACTATTGCAAACATTCTTCTCAATATGCATAACATCTAGGACATGCCTCACATGAAGGTATTTCCAACACTTAAGATCAAAGAATTTTGATTTCTTCTTCCAACAAACTCTATCACCATCATTCTCACCAACACTTCCCTCATTTTTCGAGCCCCATATGTAATTAATATCTTCAATCATGTGGAACACTTCTTCTCCGGTTAATGGCTCGGGAGGCGTGCCATATTCAGGTTTCCCATTAAAAGCTGCACGCTACCTCCTATATGGATGATTGATTGGTAACCATTTTCTATGCCCAATGTAACAAATTTTGTGACCATTTTTCAACCTGTGACTAGGTGTATTAGCGCCACATATTGTACAAGCTTTATATCCTTTAACGACACAACCAAATAAGTTGTCATAGGCAGGAAAATCATTAATTGTCCACAATAATACTCCTTTGAGTGTAAAGTATTCTCCCATCCCATAGAGATTTTAAATCATCAATCAAAGGCTCTAAGTAGACGTCTATATCATTTCCAAGCTGTTTAGGACCGGAAATCAATAAGGTCAACATCATGAACTTCCGTTTCATGCATAGCCATGGTGGAAGATTATATGTAACTAAGATAATTGGCCAATAACTGTATCTGCTACTTAAAAAACTGTGGGGATTGAATCTATCAGATGAGAGAGCCAATCTCAAGTTTCTCGGCTCTTTACCAAACTCGGGCCATTTATCATCAACAAGTTTCCAAGATGGGGAATCTGCTGGATGAGACATCTGACCGTCAACTGATTTTCTAGCAGCATGCCAAGTCAAACTCTTAGCTGTCTTATGTGATTGAAACATCCTTTTAAACCTTGGAATTGGAGGAAAATACCACACCACCTTCGCTGGCACACCCTCTTTCAAAATTGAATCTTTGCCTTCCTTCCACCTTAAGACACCACAAGTAGGACAATTAGTTGAATCTTCATAATCCTTCCTATACAAGATGCAATCATTGGGACATGCGTGGATTCTCTCATAACTCATCCCTAAAGCAGACAATGTCTTTTTTGCCTCGTACATAGAGAAAGGTAGTGTATTTCCTTCCGGAAGCAAATCTCCTTGAAGTATCAATAATTCTGTAAAACAAACATCACTCATCCCATGTTTTGCTTTCAAATCCGATAACATCATGTACTTACTGCTACCAGGGTACAAGGGTTGATCTCCATCCCCAATCACATTGGCAAACTCATAAGGATCAAATCCAATATCGCCTAAATGATTATCATCCATCCCTACTTCTTCATAAACAAAACTGAACCTACTTTGCTCATCTTCTTCCACATTTCTACTAGCATTAGTAGTCCATTCCCAAGGTTCTCCCTACCATGTCCAAATCTTATAGCTTTGGTCAATTCCATTAAAGTATAAGTGGTCCGTTATAATTCCAACTCCAAACAATCAAATATTCCCACATTTAACACATGGACAACAAATATGAGTTGTATTTCCAAGATTTTCTACAACAAAATTCAAAAATCCTTCCACACCTAACTCATATGCCTTCGATCTTCTATCAGCATGCATCCATGACTTATCCATCTCACACACTATAAAATCATACATATGATAAAGTGAAAAGACCAGCAATGAAACAATACTATATTGACAGAGAAGAGAACAAAGTGGAAAAAAAATAAAAAAAAGATTCTACAAGAATCAGATGACGGTTTTTACAAAATAATAGTCGCGTAACATAGATTAAGACGACGGCACATCTATTTACCATCGTCTTTAAGCAACTAACAAGATATTTGTTAAGGTTAGGGTCGACGGCGGTAGTAAATAAAAAGCCGACGTATAATAAAAATTTAGATGACAGTTGGTCCCACCAACCGTAGTCGTGGTTTATAAAAACCAAAGCATAATTCTTCCATCCCCATTCCTTTTCAAAGAACCCTTAACAGAATGCAAACATCAAAACATAAAAGAATCCATATATAGCTCCCATCAAGAACCCATAGCTCCCAAAACATAAAAGAACCCGTATTAAGAAACCAAAACTGAGAGAATATACAAACTAACATAATATTTAGAGAGATCTGAGAGAATATACAAACTAAGAGAATATTGAGAGAGAGCTGAGAGAATATATATATATATATATATATACAAACTAATAAGAGAATATTGAGAGAGAGCTGAGAGAATATACGTACATGGATATTGAGAGAGCTGAGAGAAAATATCAAATGCTTGAGAGAGCTTAGAGAATATACCCAATGCTTTGAGAGAGAGCGAAAACTTTAAGACAAATTTATGTTGAAGAGAGAGAAGGAAATACTTTAGGGTTAAAGGAAAATTCTGAAAATTTTAGATCCCGGTCAAAAATTTCAAAAGACCGTGTTTATTAAAGACGACGGTAAATACAACCTAGTCATCATTGTATTTCAGACTTACAACGGCGATTATGTTAGACCGACGCCGTTGTAAAGCGTTTTGACGCCGCCCATACAAAAACCGACGTCTAAGAGCATCCACAATGATGCTATCTATTTCTTAGCTAAAATTTAGCTAAAAATATAAGAAAGCTATTTTAGGAGCTCTCTATAAAATTTCAACTCCAACCATACTCCCAAATTTGGAGAGTCATAAATGCTATAACTCTTTTTTGATTGGTCCATCTCTATTAAAAAATAAAATAAAAAGTAGTTAGCATTAAATAAAGGTTTGAAATACTCATTAAATAAAGCAGCATTAAATTATAGGGAGTCACTAAAAGTCCTTTCTCTCTCCTCAGATTTAGGAGCTCCTAGAGGACTCCTTATTTTAGGAGGTGGATAGGGAGCGTGGTTGGAGTTGCATTTTTACGATTCCTCCCTAAAATTTGTCTAAGGAGGTGGTTTAGGGAGCCCATTGTGGATGCTCTTATGTATTAAATAATTAGATTTGCTTTGCGTTTCCTAGGATTCGAACGCGCGTAATTGACCAAAGAGAGGGAGAGAAACCAGCGTCGTTTCAATAAAACCTAGACCCTAAATTTTACAATAATTATAAAGAAATACACAAGTATGAGAAAAATGAACCGAAAATTGCTACGGACTCCTTACAACAATGCCTTCTATATTAGTAGGCTAATATCCATATTAAATCATTTTGAATTTTATGACCACCAATGGATCACATAAACCTTAGGGTTATGTTATGGAAAGTATATGACTGTTGTGCTTTGTCTCTTAATCCTTTGACTTTTGTAATCACTTCTAATTTTGAAATCTAAAATTCAAATTTTCATGCATGTGGGGGGGAGATATTGCCTCAATGAGTGCATAGAATTTGTCGGTTTATTTTTTGGATTTTTTTTAATATATTATGAATATTAGTAAATAAATACAAATAAAAATATTTTAAAAATTAAATTTTTTAAACATTTAGGGGAGATAAAATCTTTCAATGAGTCCATGGTAGTTGTCAGTTTATTCTATGGAATTTGTTTTGAAATTATTATGAATATTAGGAATAAAATATAAAAGTCATACAAAAATTAAATGACAAATGTACATAACCGACGTTGCATCCGTTTACAACGACGGTACATAACACATAAAGCCATCCTAGAACACATTAGACGTCGTAATGTACTCCCCGACGTGGTTAGTATGTTACTACGTTAACCTTTTCTTAATAACCGACATAAGTAGAATTTACACCGTCAATAATTATGTTAATGATGACGTTGTTTAGATATACAACGTCACGTTTTACCTTGTAACCGACGTTGTACTCTTTTAACACGTCCTCTCTGCTGTAGTAACGGACGTTGTATGTCTATATTAACTGTCGTGTATATCAACCTTACATGACGTTTTTGAGAAATGCAGTCGATGTTTTCTTTCCCTCTACTTCAAGACAACGGTTGTTCATAGATATGAGACATGTAAATAAGAATGAGACATCGGTTTTTCGGATTTAATTTAAATTTTTATGATATATTTTCATTTTATTTCATTTAACGACATAAATATCTTATCCAAAAAAAAACTAGAAACAAAAATATATTTCATTTGATTTTTTTGATGAATGTTCAATTAATTACCAAAAATATTTTTATATACATTATCAAAAATTAAAATAAACCTAAACATTTTAAAAATAAATTATATCACTTATAATTCTGTAATTGCTTGTTCACAAATTTTGCCCATTCTAGCCTAACTTCGTCAATAAGTTCTTGAGTATACACAACTGGTTCCTTTTTCTTGTCAAACTACAAATAAAGAACAAAAACAGACGTGTTATAAATATTAAAATGACGGTTTTAAAAGAAAACGTCGCGGTATTAAAACAAAGAAATTATATCTTAAATTTACCTTCTTCTCAAATGCTAGGCCTAGATCATGAATTATATCTCTCATGAAACGCATCACGTAATAGCCACACTCTACATTTGTTGGTTGTCTAGGAGTGCCTTGTAGATTTTTCCATATGGGTGATTTACGTGATGATTGTTTCCCTGTGTGACAGTTATACATTTTGATTGAACTATTTCAATAAAACAAAAAGTGTTAATGACAAAACTAAAAATCAGCATTAAAAAATATTAACCGTCGTGGTAAATAAGTGAAGACGATGGTTTGTTAAAACAAATGACGTCGTATTTTAGTTCAAACGGTGGAAAATAAGAACTGTCGTTGTGTATCATTCTAATGTCGCTGACGAAGAAAAACAACGTATAACCAAAGCTGTTTTTAAATTTTAAAGTTGAACAGAAAAAATTAAAACGTCCTAAAATGAAAAACACAAACGACGTGGTATTTCAATGAAGACGACGGTTTCAAGAAAATACTGACATTGTAAATGATTTCAAACGTCGGTTATAATATACCATCATTATATTTTCACTACAACGTCGGTATTTGAAAAATCTGTTGTATCATTCAGATGCATAAATAAAAAATCTTACTTTTTTGTTAATATACTTACGTATTCACTATATTTCTCATGTCCTCGTCAACAGAGCGGTTTGGCAATGAATCCATGTAATAGACAGTCTCCTTAGCTAGTCTCACAATTATTAACACCCAATGACCCCTACACAAAATGATCCATATATATTAAATATACTACAAAAAAAGAATATTACAAGGGACCAAGTATAGAAGGGGACTAACCCTGGATTATAAGGCACCAAGTAAAATTGATCCTCATTTGCGTTTTTCAGGCGTTCTGAAAGATATTTTGAACGGTAAGATAACGTTCCAGATTGAGAACTGACTTATCCAAGGTCCACGAGGCCAATAAGGTTTACCATATTTGCCATTTTAAATAGTCAAATAAGTACCTAATTAAATATATGAAATTCAATTAAATGAGATTTTACTTTAAAAGAAAGGAAATGTAAAAAAAACAAAATTGGATTTCTAGAATTACCTCATGTATACTGCAATCACTGTGGATCCAATCTCAACCATGGAAACAAACTGTAAAATGTCGTCACTCAAGAGCCAGGTATCATGATTAGTGCCAAACACTTCCTCTGGCATGTGAATTCTAATGGTCCTGTTAGCAGGCTTCAACTTGGTCTCGACATATTGGCATAGGGCTAATAGAGGAGCTGGCATGTCAAGCTTTGACAAATCCTGTAACAAGAAATAAATAAAGTTTGTACATGAAGTAAAATAAACGACTCCAACAAATCAAAAAACCGACATGGTATATAATATCAACAACGGTTTCTAAAACATACTGACGGGGTAAAGGTTATAGACGACGGTAAATACATAACAATCGTTGTGTAAATGTTATACCGTGGCTACACAATAAGAAGGTCGTCTAGGTTAAAATAGAAGATGGGTTGTGTTTGTGCCTAATAAATCACGGTCATAAACTGATTGAAGGGACTTCCTCTCGGTCCTGGCACCTACCGTTTCGTTAGGCATTTCGCCTTCCTGAAAACAAAATAAAAGCTCCAAAGACAGAATCCTCTCGGCCTCGCAACCGCAGTATTGTAGGCCGAAGCCAAAGGCCGTAAAAGACACGGCCGAAGATACTGTGGTTAAATCACCACGTGGCCTCAGGGTCCCACGCCCCATTTAATGAAGTAATGCCTCTGACTATTGCAGCAAACCCACTAGTCGCAAGAAGCATTTAATGCACAAGGGAAGAAGGGAAGTGACTGAAGTCAGGATTTAGTTATGGAAATCAGAGTGGTTAGGCGCAGACATTCTCACAAGTAATCTTACGACTTGAGGTCAGATCACCAACCACCAGACCAGGGCATTAAATGCGTTCCCACAGCAAAGGTGGCAGAACCCACGATCAGGGCGGTGGCCGAGATTTACCGGGATTTATGGGGGTCACACCACCATGCTTCACGATCCCAAATGCCAATTTGACTACCCACTTGCCCCGATCAGGCTCCACCACGCAGGTCTTTTCAGCCTCGATTGTCCCTCCAGGACTCCTCCTATAAATACTAAGCTCAAGACTACATTCAAGGGGTTCAAACACCAAACCAAAAGCCTCCCACGGAGCAAATTATATTTTCCTGTAATACACTTTAAATACCTTTATTTGCTTTCCTAGGAGTAGTGGTAGATTGTAAGGAAAATTCATTCATCAATATATCATACGACCCTTGATTTTCAAGACGCCGGAGCACCATATCTGTTATCATCTCACTCACCCTATATATCATACGACCGTCGCTCTCTGAGCAACGCGCCGGAGCATCGCCTAAAACCCGCCACCAACACCACCACTAAAACGGCCTTGTAGCTCAGGCCGTGAACCTGACAGCCGAGATCAGTTCTCTCTCGGCCACAATCGTTTGATCTGGAGTCGAACGCAAAACAGGCGCATCATTTAACCATCTTCTACCCAAACCTCATCACCATCTTAACGCACGGTAGATCGTGCTGGCACGCCCGCGCACAACCGCATCGCATCCAAAAGAAGGACGTCACGTGTTGACGCACATCCCCTCGGCTTGGAGCATCAGGCCGTGAGATTTGCGCAGACAATAGGTTGTAAAATAAAAATCGACGTCTATTTAAAATTTAAAATAAAAAAAATCAAATGTTAGAGATTGTACCGTTCCATCTTGACGGTTTTCAGGAGCATCAGCATCATTCATGGGATTGTCTTCATCCAATTCAAGGGCTCTCACATTAGAGCAGCTTGCTTTGTCAGACATTGGATTTTTTGGGCTTTGATCTTGAGGAACTTGAGGAATTGGAGTAATTAGTGTAGTTGGAATTTTACCGAGCAAGTTGGGATCAAAGTTGGGAATTAGTTGACTGAATTGTTTCAACAAAATTTCCCTCTCTACCTTGACTGCCTCCATAACACTTTCCTTTGCCCTGGCCTCCATCTTTTTGGTTTCCTCTCTCCCTACTTCCATAACACTTTCCTTCAATTTGTCAGCAAATTTTACTCTCTGCTGTCTCGGCAAATTGAAGAATTGAGTTGGGGAAACCCCAGCTCCAACACCTCTGACTCTCCCACTTGCTCAGGGGTTCCCAAAGCCAAAGACAGTCAGAGTGCCCTCAGAGACTTAATTTTTCAAATCATCCTAAGAGTGAGAGAGAGAATGTTAGTGAGTGAACTGATAGTGAAACTGATTAGATAAATAAATTAATAAAAATATTAACCAACGTGGTAAAGTGATTAAGACAACGGTTTATTTAAAAAACAGTCGCAGAAAAGAATTTAATACGTCGGCCCAGAACTACCGTCGTGTTGTATACGTTAACACACGTCGGTCCATGAAAAAAAATCCTCATTTATTTGACATTAGAGATATAAAAAAAAACTTAACCAAAATATTCATTGATCCAGATATAGTGTACAAACCAATTGCAGAGAAATAGAGAGGGAGAGAGAGTGTGTGTGCGTGTGAATATGAAGAAAGTTCAAAATTTAATTTAAAAACCTAACACATAAACACAAAACCGTCATTGTAATTCTATACAGACGTCTGTTTTATAAAAATATTGACGTTACATAATTTTTAAAAGGCGGTAAATAAAAACCGTCGTGAGGTTTCATGTCTAATGACGGTTACTAAAAATATCGACGTCTGAATGAAAAATAAAACCTCTGTTTTACAAGTTTAAAATAGAGTCAGTGAGACTTACGATTGATTTTTCCTTCTCTACAACCTTTGGATCGGGGATGTTTCCCTGTTTATCTTCTATTTCCTTTTTCCATAGCAGAGATCGATCAATTTCTTCACCAGGCATGGTTTCTTCCAATTCATCCTCCAAACCAACGTACCCTTTTCGATACAACCTATGGTTGTACTCGCATTTCTCCCTTCTCTGTGACTACTCAAAATGCACAGCCTCAAAATATGGGGATAACCTTGAAGCTACAAAGACATCCCATTGCGATTTCTCTATGAATTTATAAAGCTGAGGGGGCTCTTTTAACTTCTCCTTCTCATTTGCGAATGGAAGGATAAACTGCCTAGTTAAGGTAGACTTAAAATCCTTCCATTTTTTGGCGATAGACGACAACACCATCTTCTTGCCCCCCTTCCCCAACAACATAAGCCATTTGAACAGCTTCCCAAATTTGCGACTTCAAGTCCTTGGGCAATTGAGTCCATTTCTTGTCCACAAGAGGGACTCTGGTGCGTGCCAAAACACCAATGTAACTCAGCATCTCAATAGCAGCTTTGCCATGTGGTCTGCCACTTTTATTGTACTCAACCACAGGCTTAATCTTCTGGATTTTCCTCTTCACAACACGGCTCATTGTGTTGATACCGTGAGTCGATTTCGTCACTTCATCAAATGTCACAGAGCTTGGGTCTTTCTTGGAGGATGAAGTAAATCTCATCTTCTTTGCGGGATTACTTGGAACAGATTTGGATTCAGCCATTTGTGCCTTTGAAACTGCAATGTCCTTGCCTTGACCTTTTGCAGCTTGAGCCTCCTTACTTTGAGATTTCGAAACCATGTTTAGAGAGAAGTACAAACTGCAAGAAAAATAACGACAGTTAGGTAAAATACAGACGTAAAATGAAAGTTCAGACGACGGCAAACAAGAAGAACCGTCATGCTAATCTATAGAAAAGTGGATGTGCTAATACGACGTGGTCATTAACTTAAGACGACGATAATTAAATACAACCGTCGTCGTATTATAAGTTCATATATAAAAAAAACCGCCCAGTTTTTTCTCTCCCACGTTCGTTTCAAATCAAACGACGGTTTTCTCTTTCAAATGACGTATTTATTAACACATCACGTCGGTTATTAAGAACAATCGTGCTATTAAAATAGCACAAATTTAATTACCGTCGTGGTGTATCAACAAAAACATCAAATTCAATAAAAGCCAGTCGTCCTCACATGAACTGTGAGTGGGAACAGTGAAAGATTTGGCATTTTCATACCTTAGTCTTGTTTCAAAAATCAGTGCGACTCGTTCTTTAAAAAAAAAAAATTCAAATGAAAGAAAATACCTTTGGCTTGCAAAGAAAGTTTTCTTCGGAATAAAATTTTGGAGACGAAGACAAGGAAGAACGTAAAAGAGAGGGAAACTGAGAGAAAACTGAAAATTTTAGAGAGAACATCAAAGTTTAGGTCAGGTGACCAAAAAGTTTATAGTGTCCCAAAGATAACTACAACGACGGTAATCATAAAAACCGCCCGAGTATGTACTTACCACGACATTAAAATAACATCAACCGACGTGGTTAGTAAAAAAACCTTTTGACTTTTTGTATTCCGAAAACGACGTGGTTAGTTGGGCGCTACATGTCAAAAGTTTACTTTTAAAGAAGTATTATAATAAGTTACAACGTCACTTTTTTATAGGTAACCAACGTTGTTTGTCTACACCTCGTTGCCTTTAGTTTAATAACCAACGTTGTTTGGTATTTAATACGTTTTCCGTGTTTCAAGAACTAACGTAGATTACTCTGTTAAACGTCGTTAGGTGTAATATAACCGGCGTGTATATGAATTTTTTTATATATAAATTGAGGTTTTTTTCACGAGTTCTTTCATTTTCAGTTTTCAATTAGGGTTCCAACTTCTTCTGTCTCACCTCTTAGGAGGCGATTGTTTGGATGTTGATGTGTGTGTGCATTTGTATATCTGGAGGACACAAACACACACACACATCATCAACTTCCAAAAAATTGTCTCTCTGAATGCAAATCTGTTTCTGCCGTCGCCAAATTTTAGAGGCAATTATTTGGATGTTGATGTGTGTGTGCATTTGTGTATCTGGAGGACACAAACACACACACATCATCAACTTCCAAAAAACCGTTTATCTGAATGCAAATCTACGGCTGCCTTCGTCAAATCTTAGAGGCAAATTTTTGGATGTTGATGTGTGTGTGCATTTGTGTATCTAAAAGACACAAACACACACACATCCTCAACATCTAAAATATTGTCTTTCTGTGGTCCAATTATGATGAAGAACAGAGTTCCATCTGGTAAGATTTCGTAACTCTTGAGATCTCAGAAAAATCTGATTCTGTCGGCGGTTTTCTATATAAACCGTCTTGGTTATTCTCAATTCTTGTCATTAATATGATCTACTGACGTAAGAAACCAAAATAATATAACTAAATTGAAAAAAAAATACTATTAAGACGACGGTTTAGATATAACGTGAGACGTATAAAGTCAATAAATACGACGGTAATTTTAAGTTCACGACGTATCTCTTGGGATCTCAGAAAAATTTGATTCTGTCGGCGGTTTTCTATATAAACCGTCGTGATTATTCTCAATTCTTGTCATTAAGTTGGTCTACCATCGTAGGATATCAAAAAAAATTGTACAAAAATATTATTATCAAGATGACGGTTTATATGACAGGGTTGACATATAAAGTGAATAAATACGACGGTAAATTTAACTTCACGACATGGTAAATTTTATTATACAGCGTTAATTGAACAAACCACCGTGGTTAGAGTTAAAGATACCGTTGTAGTATGCTACAAGAAATAAGTGGATAAATTTATCTTTAACGTCGTTGTACATTTATTTAATACGACGATTTTTTGTAATTTACCGTTGTCACATCCCGGGATCGGCTCCGCCGTAGCACGATATTGTCCGCTTTAGGCCCCCTTCTCTACACTCACGGTTTTGTTTCTGAGAACTCACAAGCAACTTCCCAGTGGGTCACCCATCTTGGGATTGCTCTAGCCCCAATTCGCTTAACTTCAGAGTTCCTTTGACTCCTACGCCAGTGAGCTCCCAAAAAGCCTCGTGCTAGATGGAGGCTAACATGTATATATAAGGCACATCACCCCCTCTTCGTTGGTCTATGTGGGATGTTACAATCCACCCCCTTAAGGGCCCGACGTCCTCGTCGACACAATCGCACCACACGGTAGAGTGACTCTTATACCAAATTGTCACATCCCAAGATCGGCTCCGCCGTAGCACGTATTGTCCGCTTTAGGCTCCCCTCTATGCCCTCACGGTTTTGTTTCTGGGAACTCACGAGCAACTTCCCAGTAGGTCACCCATCCTGGGATTGCTCTAGCCCCAACTAGCTTAACTTCGGAGTTCCTTTGACTCCAAAGCCAGTGAACTCCCAAAAGGCCTCATGCTAGATGAAGGCGGACATGTACATATAAGGCATATCACTCCCTCTCTGTTGGTCTATGTGGGATATTACAACCGCTGTGGATTCTTTTGAAATTATACGACGCCGGATACGAAAACTTGGTCATGTTTATTACAGAGTAAAAACGGCCGCTATTTATTTACAACGTTGTCTTTACTTTCTAAGTCGGTACATTCATACCTTCTACCGTTGTTTTTTGGCTCAGAGTTTACTCTGAGGAAAACCTTTTTCAATAAGATGTCGGTTTTAAAATTAGGTGTGTCGTTTTTTTCAGAACACTCTTTTGAATCTTCATTTTTTAGTTGTTTAAGCTAATCATACACGGCGGTTTTATAAAACCACCGTCTTTTCAAACACAACGACGGTTTTCTGTTGAACTGTCATTTTTTTCTAGTCGTCTTTTTCACTTTTTGTAGTAGTGGTGTCTCAAGTTTATTGAATAAAGGGGGTTAATGGTTCAAGTCACTCTTTTTGGCATTTGTTGCTTGTTGTTAGTAGTACAGATAATATACTACAGATTTTATTGCTAAAAGGCTATAGTTTTGGTAATGGGCCCAGCATCAATGTGATGTCGGAATTTCCACAGGATTCGTCTAGGGTTCCGAGGAAGTTGGAGCGGGTTCTGCCAAGTTTGTCCATATTTATTATAAAATTCACATCTCACTCATCATAGAATTGAAATACTCCTGGTCCTCATAGTCTGACACAATATTGTTATTATTTCTGATACGAAACACACCACGGGAACCGACTGCAGGCATTATTCACTTAAGCAGCCATGTGTAATGGTTTTCCTCTTTTCTGTTTTGACTTGAATAATCTATTAAAAAATTAAATTGGAAATGCAAGAAAACACCCAAAATGGGGTTTGAAATTATAAAAAAAACCCAAGCACTATTTAAACATATAAACACACCCAAAACCCATCATTACATACACTCAAAACCCATTTATAAACACACCCAAAAAGTTGACTTTGGGGTTGATTTTGGATGTGTTTCTATGTTTAAATAGTGCTTGGGTTTTTTTATAAATACATGTCTAGGATTGGGTTTATTTATAAATTTGTATTTTAAAAATGACATTAAATTGGCAATTATAAATTTTTTACCTCGTCACCAAGATTTTGACCGCTTTGAATGTTTGTCCACAACCCTCCGGCTTCGATGGAAGAGTCCATTTGTATTTTTACACAAATGAAATTGAGTAGTAGAATTTTTGGTGTGGAAAGTGAATAATATTGGAATGAGAAGAATTTGTATGAAGATTTGGTGTGGAAAGTGAATAATATTGGTTGGTATTTATGGGAAAAAAATTTTCTGAATTTTTTGGTATTTTTTACAATAAATTTCTAATTTTTTTCAATTTTTTGGCGGTTGGATTGGAGCACAAACCCTAGATCGAACCCTCTAGGAGTCGCCACGTGGCTTATAGCCATTGGGTAAAGCTGTGTTGATGCCAAGCAGGCGTCAATGCAAGTTTTTCAATTTTTTTAAACGTAATTCACAAGCCAACAGTAGAAAAATAATAATTAATTATTGCGTCGAAGCCAGCATGGCGTCAGCGATGACGTAAGCTGCCCAAAGGCAGCAGCTAGGGCCATTTCTCCCCGTGGGCTAGCCCGGGTTAGTGGGCTTCACGCCTTGCCCGGGCTTGCTGTTGCGTGCTGGAACGTCCTCGGAGGGCCAACTCAGAAATTGTCAAGGGCGCACAATGCGTGGTTGCCGCTTGAAAACAAAGCCGCAAAACTTGACTTTTAAGACTCAGAAATTGTCAAATTATTAGGTCTAAAGAGGGGGCCTCCACGGTGAGAGGACCTCCTTATTTCAAAGCTTGCGATCAATCGAAGCACTTTTCTTCTTCCAACTGTCGCAAAAGGCTTGTCGCACACGGCATATGCGTCAGATTCACAATATCCATGCCTAATCGAAGCACTATTCATTTTGGATGGCTCAACCCTCATGGAAAACCTTGAGGAATATATAATATGAAAGAAAAAGAAGACATATTATGAGAAACACAATGAGTAAAATATAAAGTACAATGAGTGTTGTTCTTCTACTTAGTGTGTTAGGTCTTCGGCTGTCTATAAGTCTTATTTGCATACTCCCTTTGCACACCTGTTCTGAGGGAGCATTAACTTTCTTTCATATAGCCATAGCCTTGCAGTTGTACCAATAAAATAGGATATGAAATCACATTCACAATAGAATCACCAAGATTTAATATCTCAAATGGCATTCGGATGGAACCTTGCCGAAAGTTTAATGTCAAATTAAGAATATTATTGTATTGTCCTCCTGTCAAATTAAGTTCGTTTCACTTAATTCTTTGCATCCATAAAATATATTTGGAGTGACTTGGATAGCCAAATGTGTCGGTTTTGCCAGTATAAAGAACAATATGTAGCAGAAGTTTGTATTTGTTGCTTGCTTTGCTTTCATAAGCCTGCGGACTGACCTGTGTTGCATTAATCTTTTATACCCATTTTTGTATTCAGTTGATCTGGTATTCATGATTTTTCAAAGCCATAACTATAAGAACAAACTGTGCCTTATTACATAGGGAACAAAAAAGAAAAGAAAGAAAAAAAGAAAAGCAAACAAAAAATGTCAAATAAAAATTACAATAATATATGTCTAGTCTCTAAGCCTTCTTTTCATCGTGTTGATGCGCACTGTTACCATAACATACAACCTATCTTGTATATTGTCGATGAATCGAAAATATACGTTTCTCCATGTCTTGTTAACAACTAAAGAACCACATACTCCCCAAAATCCTACTATGAATCCCAACGCAGTGAAAATAAAAAACCATAGAAGTTGATGAGGCTCATTGTCCAGGTCTTCGTTGTTTGTGTCATCTTCATCAATGCCCTTATTTGATCCGCACTTATTTGGAAGTGGGGCACCACAAAGTTTTGGATTCCCCTCAAAGGCAGAAGTGTTGAAAGTTTGGATCTGAGTGCTTGTTGGAATTGGTCCTCCAAGATTATTGTACGAGACATTAAATTTTTTCAAGAAAGTAAGGCTCGCCAACGACGATGGAATTCTTCCAGACAAATGATTCATGGAGAGATCCAAAACCTCTAAATTTTGTAGGTTAGATATTTGGTCTGGAATGACGCCAGAGAAGTTGTTGGAGTGAAGAGCCAATTGGCGGAGAAGGTGCAATTGTCCGATCTCAGTAGGTATATCACCAAAAATGTTATTGTTAGATAAGTCTATCATTGTTGGAAAAAGAGAGAATTTATACAGTCGAAAATTTTGATTTGTAGTTAAGCTGCTGTAGACAGGCAATTCAAATTCATATTGGTCTACTTGAGATGCAATAGGTTCATAAACCAACCTTGGTAGTCTACAGAGTTGCTTTGGAAATTCACCTGAAATTTGGTTATATGACAAGTTGATAAAAAAAACAGTCTAGGAAGATTCCCCAACCAAATTGGAATTGGCCCGGTGATTTGATTAAAAGCTAGAATCAAGATCTCTAGATTCTTGAGCTTTGATAACCACACAGGTATTTCACCTGTGAGGTTAGTACCAGCCATATTCAATGCCCGAAGATTTTGGAATCCGTCAAAATCAACCATGCCATCATCAAATGGCATTCCCTCACCTACAAAGGAACCAACAAGCGAGAGTGTATGAAGACTTTTGCAACTCATCAATATCTTCATGGTGCCTGTGAGGTTGGTGAATCTGTTGTAACCAAGGGTGAGGAAGGACAGGGATTTCAATGAAAGAATCTCAATTTGTATTTGTCCCTCTATATGATTTCTAGTCAATGCAATGGCTTTTAGGTACCTACATGAGTAAAGGCTTACTGGAAAAATACCAGTAAAGTTATTGTACCTTAGGTCAAGTTTTGTAAGTTGACTAAATCTGGAGAAATTAAGCATGGAGATATCTCCTTCAAAGTTGTTGATTCCCAAACATAGTTCTACAAGGTTTGTGCAATTCATCAAAGATGTGGGAATAGTACCTTCTAAATTATTGAAATCAACGGTCAAAAACTTCAACTTGGAGAGCTTCCCCAAATTTAGAGGAAGCTCGCCGCTCAATTGATTAAGGTTGAGGTCAAGGATTTTAAGGTCCGTGAGGTTGACAATTTTATCACTAATGGCTCCATGTAGTGAATTGATAGGTAATGAAATTTCTTCAAGTTTGGTAGCATTATAGATATCTTCTGGAAGTAACCCTGAAAGATTATTGTGACCAACACGAAAAACCTGCAGTTCAGAACACTCCCCTAGCCCAAGAGCAAGGTTGCCACCGAATTGATTGGAAGAAAAGTCCAATAGCCTAACAAAAGGAGAATAATGGAAACAAATAGAGGATGGGACATACCCTGTGAAGGTATTGTTGCTGACATTGAAACTAGTCAAGTTGCTTGCTTGTTGGAAGAATGAAGATGGAATTGCACCAAAGAAGTGATTGCTCGACAAATCGACTATCCGAATTTTTCTGGATGGTAGAGAAAGTGGTAGCTCCCCATAAAGATAGTTATAGCTCAAATCAAGGATTTCAAGACGATTCAAAGACAACAAGAATTGAGTCTCAAGTGAACCATATAGTGAGTTGTGGGAAAGGTTCAAGTGGGTGAGATGTGTGAAATTTCTAAGTGAAGTGGTAGAGATACCTCCTTTGAGCCCTTTGAAAGGTAAGAGCAAATGGGTGACCCAACCATCTTGATCACAAGTGATGCCCTTCCAGTGACAGCAATCAAGGGATGTCCAATTTAAAGGAGGAGAAGAGAGAGTGGAGGCAAAGGACAGGAGGGAGCAGCGTTCAATTTGGTTGCAGGCATGAATATTTATAGATATAAAATAAGAGAATAAGAGGAAGAGAAGGAAGCCACGAGCCATTAAGTTATAAGGCTTTGTGTATGTGTCGTTGCTCACAGGTTTGTGTATATATATATCCTTTGGAAGCCTTTATCATAAGGAAGTTTACTAGGTTACTTGTTAGAGTAAGGAAGTTTGCCACCGCCCCTGTAAATAAATCAAATACAGCTGGCAGACCCTGCTAAGTATTATCATCATATAAAAGAGCAACGATGCTTGAGCATCCACAATCATACTCTCTATTTTAATATAAATTTAGCTAAAAATATATAAAAGCTATTTTAAAAGCTCTCTATAAAATTTAGTTAACATTAATTAAAAGTTTAAAATAATCATAAAATAAAATAGCATTAAATTATAGGGAACCACTAGGAGTCTTTTCTCCTCATATTTAGGAGTTCTTAGAGATCTCCCTATTTAAGGAGGTTGATAGGGATTGTTCCCTAAAATTTGTCTAAAAAGATGATTTAAAGAACTCATTATAAATGCTCTAAGTCTCCAAACAGACAGCTGCATGAAGCAAATAGGGAGCCCACTGGGAGACCACCTGCAATTGAGAAGTCAGCAAACAACAACCGCGTGAAGCAAATTATTCACATTCAAAGAGAAGACCTCATTGGGTCTTAAGTGGGGGCTACCAGAGAGGACTTTGCTACTTAATTCAAAGGACTCATAGTTTATGTTTTGTTGATAATTTTTCTTGGAAATTTGGAACGTTACATTGCTAGTCAAGCCTGATCTCAACATTTCATCAGCGTGACGTCCAATATTCTCAACATTTCATTGTTGATTTTTAGTACAACAGTGGCGAAAATTCGGTGGTATATTGGTGGTACAGGTGCAGTCACTGATCCAAAAGATAAAATTGCATCTTAAAAATTAAGAGCTGAGATTGAATGACCTGATGACTTGTTCAATCATTTCTTATTGAACATCACATGAGTCGTATGTGATTGAAAGAAAGAAAAAGAGATCCAAACTCATGCGCTGGAGGTCTTCCACGAGAAAACCCAATACGCTGCCAAGACTTCATCGCCGACTGTCTACAGCCAATCCCAAGCGAGGTCCTCCAACTCTTCTCTCTTCATCGCAGATGCTTCTTCTCATCTTCTTCAGTATTGCCGGCTCTTCTCTGGCCACTTCCCTAAAACCCATATGTAGAAAGCTACAGTTCATAGGCAAAACCTCACTCAATTAGGCTCTACCTTTCTTAACGGGCTTCCATTTCATCTAATGCTCATCCAAATGAGAGATATTTAGTTTGATTTGTTCTTGGGCATGATGAAGTTTGTTCGTGTCAATTTTATTGGTTTTTAGTGAACATATAAACTATTAATTGACAATTGTATGCTATCAAAATTTCTTCTGGAAAGCTTAATTTCTCGGCCCTGTTGTTTTTTTTTTCTTCAAGGAAATTTGAGATTGGCCTTGTTAGTTTGCATCAGCATAGGAAAAATAATAAACTTGATGATTCAAATAATAGTGGTTGAGGACAAAATGTGAATTTTAGAAAGCATTGCAACCTTATTGTTCATAATTTATGAACATTTCGTTTTCTTTTTTCTAGTTGTTTTAGGAAATAAGGGGTCCTAGTTTCTTCTTGACTTTAGGGAGACATAACCTACATATATAAATGAGATTTTCCAATCAAGTACAAGACTGCACTAATTTAACAATATCGATTTATGCAATTGCATATTGTAAACTAACAATTGCACACAGACGCTACGAAATTGCATACTACAGGTATATGCAATTGCATATTGTAAACTAACAATTGCACCCAAACACTACGAAATTGAATAAAGGTATATGCAATTGCATATTGTAAAGTGTGAGTTGCACATATGCGCTATCAAATATGGTTCAATTTTATTTTACATTAATTCAATGTGGTTCAATCATTCGACTATGTAGTAATTCTTTTTGTTGAAATTTTTTAAATTCATATTTGTATCAATAATAATATGTATTGATTTTTTTTTTTTTTTTTTTTTTTTTTTAACAATATATAGTAACAATTGGTGATAATCAACAAAGTTCAATTTTCTTTCCATTAGTCCATTGTGGTTCAATTTAATAGTAAATCACAAAAGTTATATTGAATAGTTTATTTTAACGAACTTACCTAACAAATGTTAAGCGACTCGTTCGTCGGGTAAATAATGTCGTCCCTTGACCAAATTACCCAACAAATGCCCTGATTTACTTAATGAACGAGTCCCTCAGGGTTCATTGGGTAAATTATGTCATTCGTTGGATAAATCACTTAACAAACACCTTGACAAAAAATTAAATCACTTAGCGAATGAAATAGTTTACCTGGTAAACGAAAAAGGGCTCGTTTGTTAGGCAAACAATATTGTTCGTTGTGTAAATTACTCAATGAACACCATGATTTACTCAACGAGTGTCTCATTCAGCGTTCGTTAGGTAACATTGACGTTCGATGGGTTATAGGCATTTGGATTCGTTACCAAGCAAACAAAATAATTTACACAACAAACGCTAAGGGGCTCGTTCACTGGGCAAATTATGTCGTTCGTTGGGTAAATTACATAACGAACGGAATAATTTACCTGGTAAATGATAAAGGGTTCATTCGTTGGGTAAATAATGTTGTTTGTTGAATAAAATATTGAAAGAACGCCATGATTTACTCAATGAACGACTCCCTATGCGGCCGTGTGCTGAGTGTCTGGCATCACTTTCCTTTGACTCCAGTCCTTCCCTGAGAGCCACCTGGTTTATCTCCATGGCATGGTGTGGGTTTTGGCTAGAGCTTCCAATATTCATAAACTTGAGAAGAATTCTGTGAGAATATGTATACTGAGAAGTCCCACCGGGCGTGCCAAATTGTTCACCCCGTTTTGTGATTTCTCCTGAGATGGAAGGGCAAAGTTCCCCACTGCCTTGAAAACCATTGACTGGTTAACAAGTCAGCTTTCTTTGGTGTATGAGCTTGCCACTGCTAGCAATGAAGATTCTAGCAGACTTATTCTAGAATAGATAACTTGGGCCCCAAGTCACTGATTTCTATAAACAAACGATTGTGAATTTGGGTGAGGAATATCTCCCAAGTAAGTTCTTTTCTTGCATCAGACTGGTGAGGACTTTAACAATTTATCTCAGTAAAAAGAGGTTGTTCTAGCCAGAATGGTTGATGGAATTTAAGTTGTCTTAGGCAGAACTGCCTTTTACATAACTATAAAAATAAATACCCACGCTAGAAAGATAAAAAGATAGCTGGAACTCCATTTCTGCCTGGATGGGAGGCTCTAATCCGGGTTGGACTGGAAATATCTGGGCTGGACTGAACTGTTAACAACTTCAACTGCTGAGCTTTAGCTGTAAATTGATACCAAAGGTCAATTTTGGCAGAGCTTTAATATACTTCAAGCTTTTGTGAGGCTTTCGAGTGGGCAGAACTGCGGCTTCTTCAGTCTGAAAGGGCAGAAGTGGCTATTCTTGAGGACTTCAGTGGGCTAGAGACTGCACTGTGAAATTTGTTGAGGTTTTCATGTTTGGGAAAAGCTCAAACTCTACCTGTCTTGGTTTTTTGCTAAACCAAATTTGTAACGAGAGAAATCTCGTTTTAAATGACTTATTTTCTAACTCTGAACCTTGGGAATTCTGATCTAAAGCTGGTTTCACTTGGAATTCAAGTGAGCCTCTGGTTGATTTTGAGTTGTTTGTTTGGTTGATGATTTGAATGTAGGATTGATTGTCCTCTGCCCTGTTCACTCCTTGTATTTATAAGAAATGTTTTCTGGAGTAGGGTGATTCTTTTAATAATGGGCGGCAAATCCTTTTCAAAAGATCTTCCCTTTTTTTCTTTAAAATGGAAAGAAAAAGGGGATTTCATCAGTTTTTGGTAGATAGGTTCTCAATAGGCAATCACTTCCCTATTTTTCTTGAAAGAGAACCTAATCTTTTCTTTTAATTTCAACTGCCCCTTGTGAGAGCTCAAAAATCGTGATGGTTAGTCTGATTCCTAGTTTGAACAACTCCCTGTTTCCTGCTTATCTTTTGAAATTATAGCCTGCGTATCTCTCTGACAAGATGGTGCCTCCTTTGAAGTGGAGACAATATCCCAGAATATACATAAGAAGGGATTTGATTTCCAACTGGCAGAGTTTTAAAGAAGAAATTATGCCTGATGGCATTAATTTTCCAATCACTTCTCCTATGACAGTTGCCATTGTTGACTTTTCCTATCTCAGAGATGTCATGGGTTTGTTTCCTGTTTCTGGGCTCCCCTTTTTTTGATCACAACGGGCCTGTTTTTGGAGCCTTAGGGCTGTTTTGCTTTTTGAGGCCCAAGTTTGTTTGTTTGGTTTGATAAGCTTTGGTCTGGGCCTTTCTGGATTTTGGGCTTCTGTTTTCCGTTTTTTCAAAGACCAAACTGTTTGAGTTTTGTAGTTTTATTCTGGGCCTCTTTTTGTTAGGCTGGGCGTGCCAAATTAGGCCCAAACAATGCCCCCATTAAGTCTGAAATGTTTTGGAACGGTTTCAGATTTAATAACCTGGCCATTAATTTGCCCGCCAGTTTCTTTCATTAGTTCCTGCCTGCCACGTCTGCCTAGCACGAACTTAAAGTTCGTGGAAAACTATTCAGTTACTAGCTCTTTACTAGCTAGTCAATATCAGATGACGCCTTGTCTTCTCCACGTCCCTGTCTTCTCTTTCCCACGTTTTCGAGCTTCTTTTAAAAGAGATTCAAAACCCATTGTTCATGTTTGTCCGAAAACCTAGTATTTCAGACCTTTACTCCTTTGAGCTTATCTTCGACAACTCTCTTCCTTGCTAGAAAAACTGTCTTTCCTTTCCTATCAACTTTCTTTGCTTTTTCAATCAAAACAATCTGAGAAATGGCTTCCCCGAAATCCCGTGCTCAGTCTTCCTCTGTTCCAGTTCCACCATATCATATTACTGGGACTGGGATTGACAAGCACGCGATAGAGGTCAGGAGCAGGCTCCATCCTTTTGCCAAAAAGAACCTGGATGAGAATGTCCTCCATTTGTTCCAGAATACCCTGGTCTTGGGTCCACATTGGTTTGGTTCTGTTCCTCCTGAAATGGTGGGACCTGTTCAAAGATGACGCCAAAGCTCCCCTATGTTTCGAAAGTTCTCCTGCTCTAGCTTCTCATTCTTGGGTTTGCAAGAACTTGAGCCGTTCGTTCCCATCTAGTGAAGTGAGAAACAGTCCAGTCAAGTGGGCTGACTGGATTGACAGGCTTCTTCCCCAGTTTGGGGCTCACTGGAAGTGGGCTGGTATTTATGACATCATCTTTCTGTCTAAACAGTCCATCAACAGGGACGAAAATCTCTTGGCTGCAGCTCTCTGCTTCTGGAATTCTGCCAGCAATACCTTCGATTTTCGTGTGGGCCCGATGTCGCCAACCCTACTAGATATGGCTCAGATCTTTGGATTTATGCCCCATGGAAGACCTGTTGATGCTATTGGGGACTATCATCGAAGGAAAAACCAAGAGAAGCTGTCCAAGCCTTTCACCATTTCTCCAGCCGTGATCAACCAGAACTATTCTTTCTCCAATTATCTGAGTAAGTTCAGTGTTGAGAAGGACAAGGATCAGCAACACATGTTGTTCCTCTTGTACTGGCTGAACAGGTTCGTTTTCCCAAATCGTTCCTCAGCAGTTCTGCTTGAGTACAGACACCTGGCAGAGGCTTTACCTAATCACACTAACGTCGGACTTGGGCCTACTGTTCTGGCTCATTTGTTCAAGAATTTGCACACTGCCACCCTGGCGAATCCTCTCAATCTGTCTGCCCATGGCACGTTCTGGATGATCCAAATCTGGCTGCAAGTTTATTTCCCGAAACTGAGGTTTCTGAATATAGTTCTCCCTGAAGACCAAGTTCTAGCCCTACCTCTAATGTCAGCAGAAGTGCCCAAGAGATCGATTGACAAGTACCTGATGTTCTTCAGACATTGTACCTGATGTTCTTCAGACATTGTACTAAGAGGTCTGCAGCGCAGTGACAGGTGGTGATTAGAAGGACATACCCTTGGTTCCAGCCTGGATACCGGCTTTTTGAGAAGGAACTAGAAGAGGAGGTAGCTAGAACTGACTTCAAGAAGAAGTTCCTGAGACCTTGCCCAGGGATTTGCCTCATGGAGGAGGGAAACCTCCAAATTACCATTTAGGGGCAGAAGTCTATCACCCTAATTTCTGTGCAAGACAACTAGGCTGCCCCCAACTTGTTCCGCTTAAATAATACAGAAGCTGTAATAGGGGTTCTTCCTGGAGGGATGCAGATGACTTAGAGGTCCACAAGGATGCCAGGTGTGCAATAAATAAGATCAACAATAGTGCAGATGCCCTTTATCCTTCACGGGAACCGAATTCCTGTGTCCCAACCATTAAAAAGGACCTGAAGTGCAGTACTAGAAGCAGGCATATCACGGAATCTAGCCTTCCACCAAGCGTCAAACTCGGCACAACTGCAGCAACAGACTCATAAATTCATGGTGCAGACCATCAAAGATATCAATATGCAAGTTATAGAAGGTAATTTTTCAATTCTGTCTGCTGCTTATCTTTTATTCTGCCTGTAATCAGATCCTTCTTTGACGAAGAACATTGGCAGCCAATCTGCCCAGAGTGGAGAAGTGATTGGTAAGTTCTCTTGATTTTCTGTTCCTCTTATCATTTCTCTGCTGGATTGATCCCTGACTTCTTTTTCCTGTACAGTCACCTCGGTTATTGCTATTGGGGATCTGGAGCTGCCCTCTGGGATGGAGAAGAAGAAGAAGAAGAAGATCAGGCAGAACAGACTCCTGTTGAGGCCACCTCTTCTGCTAGAAGAAAGAGAAAGGAAATTGCCTAACCTGGGACTCCAGGTATATTTTGACAGTTTTGAGTCCTTCATAATTCTGTTGTGCCCTAATTCTCTTATGTCGTGTCCTTATGACCCATTTTCTGTTTATTACAGCTGGAAGTCCCTCTCCTCCCCCTACTAAGTCAAAAAGACTTAGAAAGAGGATTGTAGAGGAGTATGTGGCCCCGGAGGGAACTGGGGCAGTTCCTACCACCACCTCTGGCACAGATGATGAGCTGAGAGAGGCTTTCGAAGCTGTGGAGCAAGAGAAAGAGCCGGAAGATCTGGAAGAAGTAAGAGAGGGGCCTGAGGAGAAGGTCAAGACAGTGGAAGAAGAGGTGAGTTTTTGGTTTTCTGACCCTCTCTGCCTTCTCTCTTCTGTTTTCTGACTTCTGCTTGTTTGTAAGAGGAAATCCCTGCCGAGGTCATAGCAGAGAGCATTGACTTGGCTCAGAAGCAACAGGAGCAACAGGAGGATATAAGGGCAGGGCTGACTAGTTCAGAGTTGGCCCTGTTTGAGGATCCAGGGGCAGAACATTCTACTGCTGTTCCAGCAGCTGAGGAACAAACGGAGCAATCTACATCCGAGCCTGTGGAGCAGGCAGAACTACCTGCTGCCCCTGAACTGATGGTAATTTTCTTCTCATTCTGTCCATATTTTCCTACAATTTTGTTCTGTTCTGCTTCCTTAATTGTTGTAGTCCTTCCAGGTAGAAGTGCCCAGGTCTGCTGGCGTTCTGGCAGTGATGACCAGTCCCTTGAAGCCTCCAATTGTTGCTGTAAGTGTTCATAATATTTTTTGGCTTTTCTTTTCTATTTCTGCCCGGTTTTGACTTATGCTTTCTTCTATAGATGCCTATTCATTCCCTTCCAGGTTCATCTGCTACGGCCTCCTTTGCTGATCCAGAACTGGCAGAGTTTGAAGCCATGGATTTAGATGCACAACTAGACAGATTGGAGATGCTTAGCTCTCCTATTGGCAAAGCAAAATCCAAGGCAGTGGAGGAGATTATGAAGAGGCTGAAGATCTGGCAGTCTACTGAACTAGAGCTAGATGAGGATAGGGAAGCCATTGACCAGCTGATGAAGGATCTAGACCTGCTGCACAGATAGAACATGGCCCCTAAACCTATACTCGAGATGAGCCTTGGTTTGGCAAGCGATGTGCTCAACCTTCATGACCGCTATGAGGATCTCAAGCCCACCTTCAAAACCTCTAAGTTCTGTATAGCCACTCATGAAGCCAACTTGGCTGATTTTGCAAAGCAGAAGGCAGAACTGGATCAAATGGTGGCAGGGTATAAGGAAGCCAAAGCCACTGCAGACAAACTGGAGAAGCAGATTGCAGAGCTTCAAAAACAGTTAGCAGAGTGCAGGGAAGTGCAGAACAGGCTCGGGGCTAGACTGAGCTCCAAGACTAAGGCTACCTTGCTTGTGCAGAGCATGGTTGTAGCTTCCAGGCTAGCCCTGGAGATTACCGAGGCTTCAATTCATCAGGGGGTGTAACTTCAAAAGGAACTCTCCATTAATAAGACCAACTTGAAAGAAACCCTCAAGAAATTAGGATTCTGATTCTGTTATTTATTTACCCTTTTAGTTTTTTCTTCATGATCAACAATTTGCCATGGGGAAGGCCTCATGGCTATTTATTTTAAATAAAGTTTATTTTCCTTGTTGCAATTTTCGGGTTTTTAATTTCTTTTGATGAAATAAACAAAAGTACAAAAGGAACAAACTTTAAACAACTTAGAACAAAGATGACTCCAAACAGAAATAAAAGCTTTTTAGTGTTGTCCCTTCTCTATCCCAGGATCTGTTTGTACAGCTTGTGAATCCCACATGGTTGGATAAAACTTCTTTAACCATTTGCCGTTGATTGGGGCTGCATGAATTTCTCCAACTCTATCCTGCAACCTGTATGCCCTCATCCCAAGGATCTGGTTGATTATGAAAGGGCCTTCCCATGTAGGTGACCACTTCCCATAACCAGCCACATGTGTTCCAAGGGGCAAAACTGCTTTCCATACTATTTCTCCTTCCTCAAAACTCTTGTTCTTTACTCTTTTGCTATAGGCCCTTGACACAGCTTGCTTTCTTGCCAGGAGTTTATTGAGGGTATCAATTCTGCTTGCATTCAATCCTTCCAGTTCTAGCAGCATGGCCTGAGAGTAGTTTTCTCCTACCAAATCATGTTGGTGAGCAATTCTGAGGGACTGAACAACTATTTCCATAGGCAGAATTGCATCATGACCATAGGTTAATGCATAGGGGGTCATGCCAGTTGCTTCTCTCTTTGAAGTTCTATATGCCCACAGAGTTTCTGACAACTTCTCATGTCACTACTTTGGATTCTTCTCAAGCATTTTTCTAATAATGTTGATGATTACCTTGTTGCTTAATTCTGCCTGCCCATTGGCTTGAGCATAATAAGGAGTGGATTGAAGCAGTCTGAATTTGAATGCCTCTGCCATATCCAGCATTCCTCCTGATATGAAAGAGGATCCCCTGTCAGTTGTGATTGATTCTGGGATGCCAAATCTCTATATAATCTGCTCTTCTATGAAAGTGATAATCTCTTGAGATGTAATGGATTTAACAGGCTTGGCTTCCACCCATTTAGTGAAGTAGTCTGTAGCAACAATGATAAAACAGTGCTGCTGACTGCTGGCTAGATAGATCTTGCCAATGAGATCCATTGCCCATCCTCTAAAGGGCCATGGCTTTACCATTGGATTCATGGGAACTGAAGGAGCTTGCTGAATTGGGTCATGCCTTTGACAAGACTCACATCCCTTGGAATAGTCAATGCAATCTGTGAAGACCTGTATTTTAAAAATATATATATATATATATTATCTTTTGTACTAATAAATATTTATATCTTATTCCATATATATTGTATTAATTAAATGTTCAAATTATAATATTAGAAGTAAGAGGTGGCTTTAGCACATGCAAATATAGTAATTGACTTACAAGTGGCCATCATAAATATTAGAATATGAAAGATATTTTGTATTCTTGCCGTCATTGGTTTGATGTAGTTATCCAAAACTTGGATAACAAGTTTGTTGCCGGCCAATAAGTGAACATTGGTTTGCCTCTTGTCTTGTTGTTTAAATAGGAAACCTTCTACAAAACTTGCATAGAAATAAATGCAACGAGAGAGAGAGAGAGAGAGAGAGAGAGAGAGAGCGAGAGAGAGAGAGAGAGAGAGAGAGGAGAGAGAGAGAGAGGAGAGAGAGAGAGAGAGCTAGAGAGAGATACAAGGAAATTTGATATTGGATGAGATAGGTAAATGGGTTGTCTTGCCAATTTATTTTAAGGGCTCTCATTGTCGAGGTGAGTGGTTTATGTAATGTGTTCTAAAAGTTCTTATTTTGTGATAAAATATGAAAACCATGAATTATCGTGGATTTGTTCTATTTACAAATATCTCTCTATTTCAAGTCAAGCATGTCTAATTTGGTGCAATTTTTCACACTATATATATTTTGACTGGAATATTTGTGAAGTATGTATTATTCATGGAACATGAGAACTTCAATGTTGGGGTATCCAAGGGATAGATGTACCACACGGGGACATAGGGCAGTAAGGCCAGTAGGGGTCACGTGGTTGGTTACATGCTATGAAGGATAACCGAGATATGAAGGGATGATGTGATATGATCTGGATTGGTGTATCTTTTCATGATATTTTCTAGAGTGGGTAAAACGGCATTGCTTGACTGGCATATTACATAATCTACTAACTGAGCGGTGGTTGCTCATCTCTCACTTTGTTTAATTTTTCAGATGAATTAGTGGGCAAGACGAGGACTAAATCGATTGAGGCTGAATTAGATGAGAGTAGTAGAGCTTTATTTATTTCTTGTAAAGTTGTAAGATTTTGGAGCTATTTTTATGAAGAAGTTTAATTTTAAACCCATCTTTCGGCTTTCTTTTAATTTTTTTTTTCATTTTCTTTTCTTTTTTTTTTTTTTTTTCTTTTCACGCGCAGGTCGCGGGATTTCCACCTACTCCCGGGTCCGGGGCGTGACACAATCTTTCGTCATGGTTGGCCAGAAGTAGCCCGAAAAAAAGGAGCCAAAAAAAAAAAAAAAAAAAAAAAAAAAAAAAAAAAAAAAAAAAAAAAAAAAAAAAAAAAAAAAAAAAAAAAAAAAAAAAAAAAAAAAAAAAAAAAAAAAAAAAAAAAAAAAAAAAAAAAAAAAAAAAAAAAAAAAAAAAAAAAAAAAAAAAAAAAAAAAAAAAAAAAAAAAAAAAAAAAAAAAAAAAAAAAAAAAAAAAAAAAAAAAAAAAAAAAAAAAAAAAAAAAAAAAAAAAAAAAAAAAAAAAAAAAAAAAAAAAAAAAAAAAAAAAAAAAAAAAAAAAAAAAAAAAAAAAAAAAAAAAAAAAAAAAAAAAAAAAAAAAAAAAAAAAAAAAAAAAAAAAAAAAAAAAAAAAAAAAAAAAAAAAAAAAGGTGCATCGGGTGCACCGGTACAGCCCATCACGTGAGGTCACGTGAGGTTTTTTTAAAAACAGGAGAAACCTTAGCAGCAGGTCACCAAGTTAAACGAATTCACGCGCCTTACTGTGGATGTCATCTTCTTCCCTAAACGCATCTGTTGAAGTTCAAGCTGATTTCTGGTCTTCAAAGTCATCTTGTTCAACTCCTCTTCGTGGTCTTCAAAGTCATCCTCTTCGTGATCTTCCTCCTCTCTGCAACATCTGGTTGAAGTTCAAACTGAGCGTCAACTTTTCCCCTTGCTTTAACCTGTTAACCAACACAGCCGTTTTCCCTTGTTTTAAAAACACCCCCACGACACTCCTTCCCCTTCTTCCGAATACCTCACCTACCCTTCTCTCTAGACTCTAGTTCATTTTCTTTCTGTTTGGCTCAATTCTAACATAGTATCATGACTGATTTATCTTATCACATGCTTAAATCTTGAGAACCCTCTTCTTAGAAATCCCAAATTTATTTGATTTCTTCTATTTCCCCAAATCTGATTCACCCTTGATTCATTAAACCTCAACTATTATTTATTATGGCTTGTACTAAATCTCTAGTTGCTGCCCTTCTACTAAATCCAAATGGAGCAGATGCACACAAAGTTGCAGTCATGAACTGATGAAAACTTCCATCTCCTGCGAAATATGTGAAAAATGGAGAAGCTGGGATGGGTTTGATTGATTTTTGGGTTTAATTGTGTTCGGGTTTGATGGAGCTGTGTTTGATTCTTGATGTCTTGGTTTGATTGATTTTTTATGTTTGTGTTTCTTTTAGACGGGAAGATAGAGAGACAGGGAGGGAGGGAGCTGAGGGAATGGGGGAGGGGGAGAGGTGTCGGGAAGGGAAGGAGGGGATGGGTTAGCTATTTTTAGTGGATGGGCAATTTGCTACATTCAGAGTCATTAATCTATACCGAGTCATTCCATTTTTGCGTCATGGTACGTGCAATTGCATAGTCTTTTTACAATTATCCAATTATTATGAGTAATTACATATAAGTTCACAGTATGTCTTGAAATTTTATATGCAATTATTTACAATAGATATGCAATTGCACAACAATTCTAGGACATGCATTAAGAACTGAAACATCGACAAAGGCGTAGTCTCTTTGAAATTCTTTCCACTATTTGGAAATTGCATAGTTGTCAATACAAATGCTAACGACACAAATTACGTTCAATTACACATTACTCATATCGCAATTGAATTTGTAACTTACTTCCTAAAGTCGAATAAGTATAAGAAATCGTTGTTACACTTCATAACTTAGACCCTAAAGCCTAATAAGCATATAATTTAAATAAATAAATAAACCCCTTAAATATCAACATACCATCCATTGGTATCACTAATAATCCTATCGCTCAAAATAAGTGACCGATTAATTGGTTCTCCATTTTTCTTGGCAAAAAAAATTGGTTCTCTTTTTTAATTGTTACATATACTATATACTCATTAAAATATTATATTTGACTAAAAGAAATTAAATATTATATAATAATGTATAGATACCCATAGAAAAGAATAATTAGACTATCTATATTATATTTAGACCAAAAAAATTAAAATGAATATAACTAATGTAGGGTTTAACATTGCAATTGAGAGCCCATACTGTAAATCTAAGCTATTTCATAGAGGTAAGGCCAAGGATTAAAATATCAGCCATGCAAATAATATTGGGCCTCCAATTTACGGATATTTTGGGGGATATATTGTTATCGTTTTAGGTATCGGGAAGAAAAAAGACAGATATAGGCATTGAAACACATAATTTTGGTATAAAACTTTCACAAATGTTATGTACATTATCAATAAATGTATTGAACAAATAAAACTCAAAATTTACTAATAATAAGATATACATATGATGAAATATAAGTGGTATGTAATGTGCATTAATGAAAAGTTTGAAAATAAAATGTTGATTACACTAGTAAAAAATAACCCTTGCGAGACCAAATTTTGCGCGATGAAAAATTATTCGTTGCTCAAAGTAACTTTGCGC